AGACACAAAAGAGCCCTGTATCAGTATTTCTTTTCACTACCTCCCCGACTGTTGGGATTGGGTAATTTGCGCGCCTGCTTCCTTCCTTGGATGTAGTAGCCGTTTCTCAGACGAGTTGATGGGATAGTTGTACACACGAAGTTGCAGGAGCTTTTCTGTTGTAGCTGCGTGCTTGATAATACGCAAATCAGTTACGACTTCTCATGTCACGGGTGGTTTGGTTTGAAATCCATATAGAAAGAGCTATTGCCATGTTGTTAGCTAAATGGATACATAAGTGTCCTAAATTGCGAACGAACACATCTACACATCAAATTGAGCATGATTATCCATCTTCATCTAACCTTTTGTCGGTCGCTTAAGCACTCTCACCCATCTCGTACTTTCATACTATGTACCTACCTATAATTAGGTATTATTTTCGCATCAAGGAGTACTTCCGCGGATTAAGATCACTAACTTGGGGCGTCGGAGAACACGAGGTCATCGCGCATCCCGAAACCATCGTATCAATAGGCATCATGGAGCTGAGGTTAAAGAATGTCCAAGGGAAATCCCTCCCCGTAGAGATAGCCACCACATTCCCAGAGGAAGTTACCGAAACCAAATACCAGATACTCGAGTCTGGCGAAATACCTCTGATTGCCTCCGATAACGCAGACATGGACGAATTTCACGAGCTGATCAAGATCAAGTCGTTCAAAGAAGCCTTACAAGTAACAGCGACGAGGGTACTTCCCTACAGAAGGGGGACCGGCCAGATATTTCCGACTAGATTCGTACCGCCGTCACCAATTATAAAACCATCCGGGATATTTATTCCTTGTCTCCTGATGACCGGTACAGTACCAGTCTGGCGCTGCATCAACAGAAAGGACGCAGGACAGTGTATCCTTTGCCTCGGTAGCGCCTGTTTCGATACAAACCTACCCGAAGCTAAGGCAGGCTGGGCTATCGTCCTCAACCAATTCGAGACGTGGGACGACCCTACGCATACTTTTACTTCCGGTCGCCTGGAGAAAGCTAGCCCTTTTGGAGATTGCGAGCAGCAGACAAGCCAACGTGCAATACTTCGAGCTGCGGTGGGGGCACTCCGATACCGATATTGGCCCGACGAGGCGCACACGAGCATAGTGTTGGCCACGGACTCGGAGTATCTCGTCGATAGCGCAACAATGTGGGTTAAAGGTTGGATGCGCAATGGTTGGAAGACGAATGCGAGGAAACCAGTCAAGAACCGAGATCTCTAGGAGTTACTCCTCGGGGAGATTGAGAGATGGGATGAACACGACATTAACATAATGTTCTGGAAAGTACCAAAGGAGTGGAATAAGGTAGCGAATGAAGAGGCTAGATTGGCTGCGGAGAATGGGATTACTCCCGAGGCGTATTGTGATGTCAAGGGGATCGATCTTTAATGCTTTTGTTTCTGATGGTCTTGTTGGTGCCCCGGGGATGCAGTCTTGGTTCATGGTCACTTACTCGAACCGGGCATCACTCATAAAGCGAAGAGTATGAATAAGGATAGCGAAATTGCCGATTGGGTAGTTTTTCTAGATTTATCATTATTATTACGGATAGCGTTCATATTTTCTAGTTAACTTATAAACAAATAGAAATTAAATAAGGGAGTGAAGGTATTCGGAGTCTCTGTTTATTAGCACTTGTTCGCTAAAGATGATGCTGTGTAATGTCAACTGCGGGGGGTCCAGCGTGGGGGCGGACGAGTATTAAAGCTGTCTTTGCGAAGGCTTCGTTCTCACTACCTAACATCCATCATGACTCTATATAAATTATATTTTTAACAAAAGGCCAATCGATGAGCTAACTCATTTTACATGTATGATACGTCGATCAAGTCGCTCAGCCGAGGTATAGAATCGAAAGAGAAGAAAAGGGGTAACTGAGTGGAACCAGTGTCAATATTTGTAATGACCGTGCCGCAGAGGCGTCAATTGCGATATTGTTCGACATCGATTCCAGGTTGAGCTTACAAATATAAGTGGAAATATTTGCAGGGTTCTTTGTGCTTAACCATTTAAATGATCAGGGTAGCCCCAAAACATGAATTCCTACGACAAAAGCGTGAGTACGAAGAAGTCTACAAACACAGGAACCATCGTGGCGTTATGCCGGCTCGCCATGTCTCTATATTCGAGTTGGACACAATTCTTTCCTCCTCGCGATGGCGCGCCACTAAAGGAAGTTAATCTGCCAAGTCAAGTTGGAAAGGTGTTCATCGTAACAGGCGGCTCATCCGGTTTAGGATATGAATTATCACGCATATTATACGGCGCGGGTGGCAAGGTGTATATACTGACGCGGACGAAGAAGAATGCCGAAGAGGCCATTGCTCGCATACAAGCTCACTATCCAGAAGAACAGGGGAAGGAAACAGGCAGCTTGGAGTTCATACACATGGATCTAGAGGACTTCAACACTGTTAAATCAGCTGCCCGAGAGTTTCTGAGTCGTGAGGGGCCAGACGGAAGATTGGACGTCCTCTTCAACAATGCAGGCACTGGCTCCTTAAAGGACGCCTCTCCGAGTCGCCAAGGGCATGAATACCATTTCACCACGAACTCGCTTGGGGGCTATGTCCTTGCCCGGCTACTTACGCCAATCTTGACCAAGACAGCCCAGCAATCCCCAAAGGACAGTGTACGCGTCATATGGCCTACATCACTTCTCGTCGAAGCGATAAGCCCGAAAGGTGGGGTACGAAAGGAATTTATCGAGGACGAATTCAGTGTAAAAAATTCAGACGAACTGTATGCCTCATCCAAGGCAGCGAATTGGTTCCTCGCTTCCGAATTCTCGCGTCGACAATCCGAATCCGGGCCCTTTGGATCCGGCGTTGTCCATATAGCTGGCAATCCAGGGAACTATACGACAGGTATATGGCGCCATGTCGAAGGTCGGCTCATTCATCATTTCTTCAAGCTTGTACTCCGCGATCCGGTTCACGGCGCAGAGACATATCTCTGGATGGCTTTCTCGGAGGAGATCACTTTGGAGGAAGCTAAGGCGGGCCGATACGTGATATGTGACGGAAGATGGCATCCAGGGCAGAGGAAAGACTTGCTTCTAGCGTTGAAAGGGGAAGATGAAGGCGGGTCGGGACGGGCGAAAGAGTATTTCGAATGGTGCGAGGTTAGGGCGAAGGAGTTCGTAGATTTAGAATGATATGCTACTGATTTTGAGGCGTATATTGTAATCCTTACCAACCAAATTTGTGAAACAATTATGAGATACGACATATACCTCGGTAATTCTGGTTCCGCCCAGTCAGCATTTCTATTTTCTGTTAAGATTAACATGAAGGTAATTTCTGACTCTCACCGACGTTCCGCCTCCCCGACTGTCGACGTCGTCCGACGGCACCACCCATATAGTACTATAACCAAGATAATTATTATCCAAGCACAAGCTCCACGGAGAATTCGCCCTCTTCCGTGGCAAGTAAAGTGGCTGTGCACTTTCTATAAGGGCGTCTAAGCAATTCCTAATTGGTTATTTCATTGCGGAGTTCATCTACTAGCTTATAAACGTGGTTGGAAACAGTATTTCTGTATTAGGATTGATAATCCACTCTTCGTTTCTTCACTAGTTGGTTCCTGGTTCTGTAGTAGCTTCGTAAATCCTACGACCCCACTTGACTCTATTCCCTTACTTGTTCCTTTATACGTTGAGATGGGGTAGATAGATCCAGTATTTCACTTACTTAAAGGTGTGATTCTCCTCGGGAACTCATCGATATGATCAACTGAAATCAAAGACCTTAATCTAACAAAACTACCACCATGGCCGAGAAGATTGACAAAATATACGAAGACGCTATTGCAGCGGGTCTGCTTCCCGGCGCCTCGGTTTTCGCAGGAGATAAAGATGGTAATGAAGTGATATATCCCTGGAGTATTCACGACCACACGGTTAACACATGAATTAGGGAACATACTTTACTCGAAATCGTTCGGAAAGGCCAGCCTCAAGGAAGGCAAAAACGAGCCTTTCACTGAGTCAACCATTGCAAGCATCGCCTCAATGACCAAGATCATGACCTCGGTGGCTGCTCTGCAATGCGTCGAGGACGGAACTCTCGGATTAGATAAGGACCTCAAGCCCTTGTTACCTGATATTGGAAAGCAAGGTGTGGTCACCGGTTTCGATGACGAGAAGAACGATGTCATCCTCGAACCCGTTTCCACTCCATACACCCTTAGGTTGTTACTCACTCACACATCCGGCTATGAGTACGACTGGTTTAACCCGCATCTTACGAAATGGCGCGCCTCGCGCGGGGAAGCGCTTTGGTTCGGCAAAACTGTCGAGGAGAAAGCCGCCTTACCCGTATTTCAACCGGGGACGGGTTTCGCGTACGGCACAGGATATGAGTGGACCGGCAGGGCCATCGAAAGGGCATCGGGATCCACACTCGAGGATTTCATGCGCGAGCGCATCTGGAAGCCCTTGGGGATCGAAAACGACACCAGCTTCTGGCCTAAGACGAAAGAGGGAATGAAAGATAGGATAGCTGACGCAGGCACACTGGAGAACGGGCCACCGGTCGTGCACACTGACAACTTCGATACTTTAGTCGGGTCAAAGGATTGTCTTGGAGGCGCGGGTGTCAATACGACTGCGAAAGCGTACTATACATTCCTCTCTGCAGTCCTGCGGCGTGACGCCAGGCTCTTGAAGCCGTCGTCATACGATGAATTGTTCCGCCCGCAGCTCGATGAGCGGTGTGAGCAGGCGCTCAACGATTACATCGCCTTGTCCCCTATCCACACGAATTATCTAGGGATGCAGGTCCCGCCGTCGGTAAGGAAGACGTGGAGCTTTGCGGGAATGTTAGCGAAGGAGCCCCAAGAGGGACGACTTGTAGCAGGAACTGCGCTTTGGGGTGGATTTCCTAGTTGTGCGTGGTTCATCGATAATGAGACCGGGATATGTGGGACGGCTATTTGCCAGGTCATTCCAGCGATGCACCCTGATATAATGGCGTTGCATGAGAGATTCCATAAGGCTGTGTTTGAGCAAGTTAAAAGAAAATAAGATGGTGATGTTCTCTTTTCCCCATGTAGGAAATGGTCAACACGGAGATAAGGATTCGACGATTTAGGTACGAAATATATACAACTACTTACTAGATAACGTGATATATCACCATTCGGAAATGGCATCGCCCTATTACAAGAATGTGCGATGCTGCTCTGATTAGTTGGGAAGGGGTAGGGTCAATCGCCGTCTGTACTTTGCTCTTCTTCGTCTAACCTGAGCCAGTGGTACACGTGCTCAATATCCTCTTGTGTGTACGAACCAGATTCAGCTAAAGCAGCTGCGAATGTATCTCTATTTTGTCGGTGTAGACGATGTGCGAATTCGCGAATCCGTGGCCCGAGGTTGAAGGACATCCATTCTAAATCCTGGTAGTCATTGATCCCTTCTCTTATACTATATGCGCCTAACTTCGCCTTGAAGATACTTTCTGTATTGAGAATTTTGTAACGGCTGGTTCCCCATGGTGTCCTCGCAACAATTTGGATTGACCCGTTTGCGATGTCTTTGGGAGCGCCGAGGTGGCCTTGGAAACTCAGCATTAGCTTGTTTTTAAAGGGTAAAAAATAGAATTACCACTCATAATTAAGTCTACCTCGACGGGAAGTGACTCGACTCGCTCATTATATTCGGGTCCGGTTCGCACAAATATACGAGCAATCCCAGTCGAGGCCGCACCCGGACGTGGTCGATAAATCCTTGAATCATTGTAAGTATCTAGTCGTTCAGATACAGTCTATAATTATAAAGTACCGATGATCCTGTGCTACTATCTCATTTAGGATACGAGGTTTCGTATCCACGGCTATGTCGACATCCGTAGTGATACGAGAGAGGAACCCACGAAGCTGCATACTAACACCGCCCATTACGGCATACACGATTCCTTCGCGATCTAGCATCCGAACAACATATTCAAGTGCATAATATAGATAATTCTGAGTCGCCATTTCGGATTGTTCCTCCAGTTCGAAAAGCTGATCGTCGGTATACTGTAGGGGCTCAGAGGATGATGTGTTGGATGACTGTTGCCCACCTCGATGACTTTGAAGATCATTGTGTGAAGACATCATTGAGCAAAGCAATTTGATATGCACCCGTGATTCAATAATTTGAGGAGAAACATAGGGAATATAGCGTATGGCAGCAAATTAAATCAGTAGAATTATGTATATGTAAATTATGAGTAGTTGTGATGCCAGAATCGTCGCTTTGATTTTTGTCACTAAAGAAATGTGAGGACGGTATGCTCGTAACGTATGGAGGGTATAAGTCCTATCGTAGTCAATGAGTTTCTCGAATGCCCTATTTATATCTCTTAAATATAATGAGATATTTCAATGGAATTTGGGATATTTGGCCGTTGATTTAAAATGTGTTATTTCAGACTGCGACCGCGGTTGGTATATGTAAATTGTTGAAATTGAAATGAGCACTGCGACCGTTAGGTGATGACGTTTAGTGATCGCATGCGTCGCACGTGACCTTTCTTCAGAAGGTGCATCACCTAAATGTTAACTATCGTTAGGCCCTAACGACCCTAAATATGTACCTACAGTAACTACGACTGAGCGTTTTTATTCCATATTTAGCAGGAAATGCCTTCTATTCTTCACTGCCATCGCAATACTAAACACTACATCTCACAAGATGTTTATTATAATTACAAGTACACATTAGATGTACCTTCTTAACTACTATTTCTCATCAAATGCTGCTTTTCGCAGGCCCTTAGCACTCTAATTATGGATCTCGAAGAACCCTTCCTAACATCGGAACCAGTTGTACTTGCAAAGACTGATGCGAACACAGCCAGCTATAGTGGTCGCGGCATCATAGAAGTGCTTGACGTTATCAAAATACTTGAAGATGCTGGAATAGCTTGCTGCGTCACAGGCGCTCATGCTTTACTTTACTATGGTGCCAAACTTGTCCCCGTTGTAGGTGACTATCAATATTTCCAATATCCGAATGCTAACTCCGAATAGGATTGGGAAGTTTGCGTGCCGAACGAGGATTTCAAAAAAGCATCGGCCATGTTCACATCAAACCCACTGAGTGATATATATGAACCCTGGACCAAAATACTACCGCAAGTTCGTTCCTTGATACATACCTACCCTCGCTTCACGCTGAAAGGTGTAAATTTCTTCTTTTTCATCGTACCTGCATTTGAGTACAATATCAAATGGGAATCGTCCGACCTGGAGAAAAGTCAGCTCGGCATTCCATTCCCTAAACTCGAGCTCCTTGCTCGTAGCCTTCTAGATACACAGCGACAACTTGAGCTCACGAATCTCGTCGATGGAATGGATTTATCCGAAGAATGGGGAGAGGAACACCTCGACTTGGATAGGACCGGCGAGCTTGAATATGCCGGGGAGAAAAACAAGAGACTTATCGCATCTCATTGTGGGTCGAGGGAAATCCCCATACCTAAACTAAGTGAGGTGCCTAAGGACCTCAGGCAGCAGTGGCAAAATATAGTTAGAGGGAAACAACGCAGGATAAATCTAGAGCTGCCAAAACACCTGTACAGCACGCGATTCCGGATGGTAGGTTCGGGAGATCCTAGATTACGAGCAGGTCGGAATATATAATCATAAACCTGCTACTACCCACTAACAAGTGTTTAACTCATTCATGTATAGTTCACAGCGAGTGTTGGGAAAGAACTTACAGTAAATGTCACTACTTGATATATTGAAAATCAGGCGTAGCTACTTAGGTAAGTGTAACAATGTTCGACCAACAACACCTTTGAGAATTATCTACTGTGGATCACAATGGTCGACTGTATAAAGCAAACAGACCTCGCTGTTCTTGAATACCTGGGCCTCATAAGAGCACGCAATTCAACCCACAGTCAAAACAAATTGATCTAGGAGTGATAGTGATATAGAACTATCAATGAAAAATTGCACTGTGACAAACACCAGTGTCCACTTTAATAACGGATAGTCGTGATAGGCAAGAACTTCATAGTGCCCAGACAAAAGGGTAAGGACAAAGAGTTTGAACAATATGCACTGTTGAATACAAAGCAAACAGATAAAAAATGCGTTGGATACGAAGCCCATCCAAGAATGACTAGGAAAACAAGTTGTTTGTTCGGACCCGACCAAATTATATACTGATAATTTTTAAGCGTGGAAGGGCTTGGGAGACTACCTGGGCATATATAGCATCCATCATCAAGTTTTGACCACCTGGCCTAGCTGAGAGCGAATATATCACAACATTTTGGACGACAAAATAAAATACCCCTACGACCGTTAGCAAATCGGATCTTCAAAATGGACTCGACTCCAACACTCTGTCTCGATGTCATAACGACGATTGCGAAACGCCTAACGCCCAGTAGGGCAATGAAGCTTGCTCTTACATGCAAACAGCTGTATGAAATCGTATCCTTACAACTGTATAGAAGGATGGTTTTCGACGAGCCAATAAGAGAATACGACATCGTCACTCCATTTGAGGATGTCATAATGGAAGGCGACGTAGCTCTGCTGTCTTGGATATACGATATAGTAGCTTCAACTACTAATTCCGAGAGAACTTGGGCGTGGTACATGAAGAACTACGGACATCGCTTATTTAACACGGCTGCTACGAACGACATTAAGTGTTACAAGTTTCTTCTGGGTACATTATTGACGGACGCGTCTCTTATTGAGGAACGGAAAAGTCTTGGGAAAAATTGGAACAAGCTTAACCCCGAGGATCAGTACAGACCTTACCTGGAAACGATACATACTGTAAACCCCTGGAAGTTGTTTGTATATGCCGTTGGCGGTGGTGAGGTCGAGAATGTTGGTGCCATTCTTGACAGTAGATATGACCTCCTCGACAACGATGTAATCGATTCCGATCGAGTTATCCCACTCGTACGCGGTTGCTGGCATCCCTCGGCAAAAATGATTGAGTATTTGGTCGACCGTGGTATAAAATTACCTCGTAATTTACTCTATAGTTTATGCGAGGAAATGTCCGACTGGGGTGACGTCGAGTTCCCCGGTAAGTTGGACGTACTTGTCTGTAAGGGTATTGATGTGGATGGCGCCTACGAAGAAACCAACTACGAAACGCCTCTCTTCAAATGCTGCAAAGACGGGAACCCCCAAAGCATCATAACGTTGTTGAAGAAGGGCGCGAACCCCAACGGAATTGGATGTATCGAAGCCAAACCAAAGCATCGGCTGGAGGACCATCTTACCCGGCCAATTGATATCCTCATTGAGAATTGCCCGCGGTGGTTTGACAATTGGCGGAAATTTGGTGCGAAAATGCGTTTGGCTATTGGCGGGCTGATTGAACAAGATGCTTCCCTATCGTGGGCGCCATTTGGGGGTGACCCTGTACAGAAACTCATCCATTATATTTGGAGGCATCTGTGTATGGCCGCAAGGGAACTTTCTGGAATTGGGCCGGACCGCAAGGCGACGGTGGATGAGCTATTAGACATACTTCAATGCGATCACCCATCCAAGGACGTATCCAAAGACATATCGGACTACATAGAGCTTTGCGATATGATGGTTAGTCGAAGCCCAAAATACTCGGCTATAATGGGGGGCTTGAAGGGAAAGGAGTGCTTATTTGCGCTCATCAACCATTTTCGAGACTCGGGCTTCCGTTTCCGCCCGCGGTATAAGTGGACTATTTGGGAACTGCACTACTTTTCTAGGTTATCGGGTGAATTTTCAGACGATGGATGGTCAGAAGATTGGAGTGACGCGGACGATTATGGATATGATGATTGGGAGGAAGAAATTGAAGAAAATGTAGGCGAAGGCGCCAAAGAAGACAATAAGGAAAGTGTCCAAGGCGTCGAAGAGGATGTCAACGAACAGGTCGAGGAAGACGCCGAGGAAGAGGTTGAGGAAGAGGCTGAGCAATACATCGAAGAAAAATGCCCTGAGGAATACATTGAAGAAGACGACGCTTGGCACTATTCTAGATGGGAACGGCATGATGAAATTCTCATTGACGTTAGGTGGTATTTATTTTATTTGCACGGTAATGGCTGGTAGGATGGGGAGCGGCCAGTGCTTTTATTCTACCTAGGTAGATACGTACCTAACATAAATAAAATAATGATGCAGATATGATTGCCTATTTGGGTAGTATTTAGTTAACCTTGTTAGAATGGAAACTCCTGATTGGTCGTATAGAGAAAGGAAAGTACGTACTTTGAGAAAAGATTGTCCTCTTATTCGTCAAATTGATAGAGTTTTGGCCCCCAACCAGCTACGTATGTACTACATGATGTAGTCAGCAAGCGCGGGGATATGACCCCACTCTTCCAGCTCTGTAAGGTTTTCCTACAGGGGGCTCTGACGAGTGGCACATCTCCAAACCATTCCTCCTTTATTATTTTTCTTCAGCCCTGCCGCGCGATGATACCCTTACATTCTTGGGAGCATTCATCAAAACCACCTTATTGAGGCTCTGGATGAAGCTGACTTGTCAGAATGCCGCAGATTACTTCCCAGACTATTCCTATTTCATGGGAATACTCGACTCATAGTCATCTGTGGTTTCGGTAACGGGTCCTCCCCCTGTCTTAGTCTTCCCGTCACTGTCCTACTACCCTATAACCCCTCCTTACACCCCTCCCCTCTCCTTCTCTTGTCATGGAGAGCTGGAGCTGAAGCTGATATGATGTTTACCTTAAAGCTAAGGATATTCCTTTCCTTTCCTGTTTTCTCATTTTCCTTCTCTTATTTATTACCTCTTCTTTCCCTAGCCGTCTATCCTACCTACCTTACTTATATTCATATACGAGGGTAGGTGGATAGTTGCTAGCTTCACGCCTTCTAAATCTTGCAAGGGTCCAATCACAATCTCACCTTCATATTAATAAACAAAGTAGGCACGATTTACGTGTTCATACTACATAACATCGGGTTCCTCTACCTTGGAAAACCATGTCGACTATATCTCCACATGCGCCGGCTTCAGAGGCTGGATACCTTAACCAGGATGCTGAAACTCGCACCGTGATGGCTGAAGTACCAGTAACCTTACCTTCCACCCCTAAGAAATCCAAGCAACAAACCCCTCAGGAAGCTATTGATGAATTCTGGAGCAAATTCACTACTAAAGCTCCTGGAAAAGGTGAGCCTTTTTCCCCCCTGCGTTCGCGACATGCTAACCATGTGATCTACCTCTGCTAGCAACTACCGTTATCCCACATAATGAGTATGCCGAAAAGGCGGCGAAACGATCAACTAAAGCCGTTGGCACCAATACCCAAATATCGTATGAAGAGGCCGCCGCTGTCTGCAAGGCCAAGGTCGCCAAGATTGTGAAGGAGTGTCGTCGTGTAAACCAGAAATATCGAGATCCGCATTTCGATCTCGAGTAGGTATCCCTAAATGGAGCGAAGCAAATTCTTGAATTTGGACTAATCTCCGGTGTATTAGGATTGATTTGAAATGGGGTAGTCAGGATACACTTGAATCCCTCTGTAATCTCAAAGAGAACACCGATCCAGGTTTTAGGCCCAAGAGTGTCAAGCGTGTGGTTGACATCTTCGACGACCCTAAGTTCTATATCGAAGGTCCCACAGCCAACGACGTTAGACAGGGTCGTGATGGTGATTGTTGGCTGCTCGCTGCCCTATGCACCCTCAGTAACAAGCCTAGTTTGATTGAGAGGCTCTGCGTTGCTCGTGACGAGCAGGTTGGTGTATACGGATTCGTCTTTCACCGTGACGGCGAATGGATCTCCGAAATCATTGACGATAAGTTGTTTCTTACCAAACCTGACTTTGACGAAAGCTTCCTTGAGCGCATGCTTTGGGAAGATCGTGAGAGAATCAACTCCGAGGAGCAGTATCGTAAGGCCTACCAGAGTGGATCCGGCGCGTTGTATTTTGCGCAATGTGAGCATGAGAATGAAACTTGGTTGCCTTTGCTTGAGAAGGCATATGCCAAGGCGCACGGCGACTATGCAGCAATTGAAGGTGGTTACACAGGTGAGGGCATTGAAGATCTCACCGGTGGTGTCACGTCAGAGCTCTATGCCACAGATATTCTAGACAAGGAATACTTTTGGAAAGAGGAACTCATGAAGGTCAACGATGAATTTCTTTTTGGGTGCTCGACAGGGATGTGGGGCGTCGGTTACGGCGAGCGTAAAGGGATCGTCGAGCTTCATGCTTATTCGATCATGAAGGCTGTTGATATAGATGGTCAGCGGCTTGTCCTGTTAAAAAATCCGTGGGGCAAGGGTGAATGGAAGGGCGCTTGGAGCGACGGGTCTAAGGAATGGACTGCCGAATGGCTGCTTAAGCTTAATCATCGCTTCGGTGATGACGGAAACTTCTGGATTTCTTACGACGACCTACTCCGCAAGTATCAAGCTTTTGACCGAACCCGATTATTTGGGCCAGAGTGGAAAGTCACTTCTCTCTGGACAACCCTGTCCGTACCATGGACCTTGGACTACCATGACACATATTTTACATTCTCACTGGCGAAGACCGGACCGGTGGTTATCGTTCTCTCCCAACTTGATGACCGCTACTATCGTGGTCTCGAAGGTCAATATCGATTCGAAATGAACTTCCGTCTACACAAAAATGGCCAGGAGGATTATGTTGTCCGGAGTATTAGCCCTTACTGCCAAAACCGCTCAGTCAATGTTGAACTAGAGCTAGAAGAGGGTGAATATACCGTCTTGCTAAAGATCGATGCGACTCGCTACATGGACAAACTACCTATAGAAGAGGTAGTTCGTAACAATGCGAGAGACCGCAGGGACAAGCTAGTTGCCGTCGGTATGTCATACGATCTAGCTCACAGTAAAGGGAAAGTCATTGAAACCCCCGAAGAAAAGAAGGCTCGGAAGGAGGCAGAGAAGCGCAAGAAGGACAAGGAACGCCAAAAACTCAAGAAGGAAATCATGGAGGGCCGACGCAAACGGCATTATATTCGCGTTAAAGACCACGCAAAACGCCAGGAGAAAAAGGCTAAGGCTAAGGCAAAGGCGCAGGCTAAGAAGGCTGCGAAAGCTGAGAAGGCTAAGGCCAAGGAGGCTTCTAAGGAAGAGACCGGAGATGCTAAGGATCAATCTCTAGAATCGGAAAAAGAAAAGCATGTTCATGTTGTTTCCCCAGCGCCGGAGGATTCAAAGAAGGAGCTGGGTTCCGAATCAAGCACGGAACCAAACGTTGAGACACCGTCTACTGAATCTGAGAAGCCTGCCGAGGCTTCGAAGGTATCCGAAGAATCGAAAGTGGATGAGACTCCGACTCCTAGCAAGGACGAAGTTAAAGATGTTAAAGAAAAGCCAACAGCCGAGGGATCGGAGTCCACAGACCACCCAGAAAGTTCTGAAAAGGCCGCTGACGAGAAGACTCCCGCTGATGACTCGAAAGACGGAAAGCCCAAGCCAGTTGAAGAGGGGAAGGAGAAAGCAACGGAAGATGAAGATGAGGATTCCTCCTCTGATGAGAGCGACATTTCGTCTGTGTCAGAAATCAGCGACCGGGAGCTCGACATTGAACTTGAGGATCGTGCCAACGCCCCGTCTCCGCCTCCCCCACCACCTGCCGGTGCACCGGAGGAAGAACCCGACGAATTTGAGAGTAACCCTTGGAATGCAGTCGCTACCGTTGGCCTCCGTGTCTACTATAAAGTGTCCGACGAAGATAAAGACAAGGAGATAGTCAAGTTATCGGTTGTGCGTCCAAACCCTTACGCTAAGGACAAGGAAAAGAGCGACAAGGACGACGATGAGGAAGAGGAGGATAAAGACAAAGAGCCCAAGAGCTCCAAGGGTCTCGACATCGACGATAGCTCGAAGGATGCTACATTAGTAGGAAATAATGAGCAGAGGAAGAAGAGTATCATGTCGCTCATACCCCCGACTAACTGAGGGTATATGCCTCATAGAATACAGCTACGATGTAAGTTTCCGTAGGTAAGACCGAACCAGTGTTGAAGGAGCCTGGAAAAAGATTGGTATGTTTTGGCGAGTCGAGGAAAATGGATAAAAAAAATTTCTAGTTTAGTATACAATTTTTAGAATACTCTTCTCTTCGATAAAATCATTATGATGCCAAGCCCTAGCTTTGTGTTTTTATTTGGTTCATATACTCGTAGTTATGTTTTGTTGTGATATATTTATGTATGATTTCATCTCTATGTAAAGAGGTATCATCCTTGTCGCAAATATCATCCTCAAACGCCGTACTCTCAAAATTCCAATGACACATATACACGTATTCAACGGAGTCAGAAATCATCAAGTAACCTGTCCACCTTGTCCCGTTCCACAACATCCAAGTCCTCCATAACAACGGACTCGGGATCAGGATCTGGCAACTGAGCGACACGACCTGCGACACGTACGAGCAAGACACGCATACGCTCTAGCTCCTTCTCCAATTCACTATCGCGTGTGACGAGGTTAGGTTGTACTTTTTCTATCCCCACCTCATAGGGATCCGCTCTGGTGCTACCACTACTGACGGGATTACTACTCTGGGGAGTCATGGAAGTAAGTGGGGAGAGTAAGGTGCGCATTCGACGTAAACGATCGAGACGAGCGCGGGCATCACGTCGGCGGGCCACGAGTGAGGTCAGTGTTGCGGTGAGGTCGGCGTATCGTTGCGCTTCGGGTGGATTGGATTCGGCTTGGGAGGGGGAATGAAGATCCCATGTACTAGGAAGTGAGGCGATGACTTCGTCGGATGCTTGATTGTGTTAATTCTCCTCTCTTCTCTTCTTTGAATATGGAATAAGAAATTAGACCTACCAAAATCAGCACCAACCCTTAAAAACAGCGCCTCACTATCTCCTTTCCCCTTCGCTACCGCCGTTCCTTCATCTTCATCTTCGCCGTCACCCCCTCCTATTCTATCATTACCGCGCACAGCTCTTTCCGCAGCCTCGAGATATAGCGCCTCAATCTGCTCGGCGACATGACGACTCGCTTGTGGGGCGTACACGCGGCGCGCGTGTTGTTGGAGGATGTGGTTTGCGCGGTAGAGGGCTTCGTCTACGAGTCTTTCGGGTAGAGCTGTAGCGGCAGCGGTACCGCCATCTTCGGTGGTAGTGGTCTGTGTATTTGTATTGGTGGCGGTGTTAGAGGAGCGCCATAGAGGGCTCGGGGAGAGAGACTGGGAGAGCTGAAGAGTTTGCGCGGTGAGGAAGGATGATTTGTGAGCGAGGATCGTTGGGGGTGCCATGTTGATTGTGTGCTCATGGATCTGATTCGGATGGTATCGGGCGCATTTCTGAAGGTGAAATCTGATTGTTCAACCACGAGTGTCGTTAGTATAGTATTGGGCAACTATTAAGTTCCCTAACCCGTCAATTCGTATAATTGCGTTTCGCCGTATATGAAGTTGTATAAGGAAAGATTAATTCAGCGCGTCGCGTGTCGCAGAAGGAATTGAAATTGCCCCGCGTCTGCAGGCGATATAGGTACCTACCTAGGTACCTACTAGGTAGTTGGCAATCCACTGCGGGGTCCAGTGGGGTTGTTCGCTAGCAGGTGGTTTGGCGATTTAGGGGGTTGGAGATCTCAGAAAGACCCCTAAAACTCGCCTATTTTTCTCCTCACTACAACATTCTGACATTCTGCAACCACTCGTATAGAGTCAGCAATACGAATTTTCTATACACGTTCAATATGCATCTTCGGATCAAACACTCACTGCCTTAGTAGTTTCATTTTCTGCACTACTACTCGAAAATGGTATGATAGTATCTTGAGTCCCTTTACAGCGTTGTGGAAAGATCCTCCGCCCTATAGTCAAGTCGGGAATGAAAAAGATAAGTAACAGCGCTGACTAACAACCCGTCACCGCCTCTAGCTCCGGTGGGAGGTTCCCTTCGGAACTGAATCGGCCAAGTACTAGTCTAACTAAGTCGTGGGGGATCGACCCCTGGGGTTATACGAGAGAAACGCCTACGACGTAGTCGGATATTTATGATATTACTCTACCATTCGTGACGGAGATCCCAAGGGCAGTCGATCCTACGGTCCTCGAACCGACCATGAATCTTGTTTCCCGGAATCGGTAGACTACGGTTAGGTTCTAGGTGAACTACGACGCCCACTATCAAGCGGTATTGTAGGCTGTGTAGCCTGCAGATTTCTGCTAATATAGCGGTACAGAACGCCAACCGAAGCCACAAACGTAAGGGCTGTACCGCCGAACCCCCTAAAGCCCGTACGGAATCTCCCCAGAACTATGAAAAGCGTCTCCTCAAGTTCTGGGTACCGAAGAGGAAATGAGCCGTGTTGGCTTGTTCCTTATTTCAAACGCTTCGCCATCAAAGCTAAGTATAATCGGATGCCCCTGTCGTGGCCTAAGGAATCTAGATTGGTATAACAAGTTATGATTTATTTTCATGATGATTTATATCAAATATTACCTTGAAGAAAGAGTCTATCTCAAGCAATATAAAACGCCTCGTCATATTCCTCGTCATCATTCGTATCGTGTAATCCATACCAAATTCCCAAGTATGGAGGTAAAAATCTATCACAATCCGGACCACCAGAATGTTTCAGCCACTTTGAACGAACCCCTCACAACTTTGCCTGCCTTCAGCTCGCTGCTGTCACTAACAACAATCTCGTATTCACCTCCTTCAACACACCACTGATCACGCTCCTCGTCCCAGTAACTAGCCGCGTATTTCGTAGTTACTTTCACTGTCACCTTTTTCGTCTCACCGGGGGCCAGCTCTACCTTAGCAAAGCCCTTGAGTTCCTTAAGTGGCCGGTTGACCTTCGCCTTCTGTTTTGGCGCCACGTAAACCTGTGTGACTTCGGCTCCCCTCACGCTGCCCGTGTTCTTGACTGCGACGGACACGTTCAACTCGCCGTCCTTCTCAGTTACCGATAGATCAGAGAAAGAGAAGGTCGTGTAACTCAAACCATGACCAAAAGGGAATAAAACCTCACGATCGACCGATTCATAAAAACGATAGCCGATATAAATGTCCTCGCCGTAGATCACGCGACCGCCCTCAGTTCGATAGTTCAAATACGCCGGGTTATGTTGAACACGTCTCGGGAAACTCAAGCTGAGCTTGCCGGAAGGATTCACATCCCCGAATAAGATATCTGCGATCGTATTTCCCGTCTCGTTGCCGCCGTACCAAGCCTGAATGAGTGCGTTTACGTCATTGATCCATGGCATCTCTACGGGAGTGCCGGATTGCATAACCACAGCCGTGTTAGGGTTAGCTTTCGCAACAGCAGAGATCAGATCGTCCAGACCAGGCGGGAGGCTCATGTCGGTACGATCATTACCCTCCGTCTCCCATTCGGCGTTAAGTCCGGCCGCAATGATGACTTGATCGGCTCCCTTCGCCAATTCAACGGCATGGGCGATTTCAGCTTTAGGATCGACAACCTTACATCCACCGATTCTTAAGGCACCACCGTTCAGAAGAACTGCGCTGCCTCCCAGTTTAGATGTTGGACTTGATCCGAATGTGACCTTGAAATTGTATGTCTTCCCCTTCTCCAACTTATAGAGACCCTTAACCTCTACCGTGGCACTTCCAAAGAATGCTTCTCCTAATTTCTGCTCTGTAGTGTTGTCAACAACTAGTTCATCGTTGATGTAAAGATTCGCCGATCCCGATACGACGACACCGAATTCCCACGTGGCATCTTCTTCAGCAACTAGAGATCCTTCGAGCGTCGCATACCATAGTGGACCCTTAACATTAGGGTTCTCGTAATCAATTAGAAGCATCTCTGTCTTCAATAGTTCTAATTGGTCGACCGGTAGTCTATTTGCGACTTCTGGGCCTTCTGTGAAAACCTTCATAGTCATTCCTTGCTCGCCTTTGCTTGATATGGTTGAGTATCCAAGAAGGGGGAGTAGCTTATGAGAATATTGGCCAATTGTGTATTCCGGCGGCGAAGTCAACTTGCTGCTGATACCGTCGAATGGAGTTATCGCATAGTAGGCCGCCAAAGAGGCGGAACCTCCACCATGGTATGTCGCAACTTTGGCGTTAGGCCCAATTACAACAGTCTGCCAAAAATTAGTCGTTGGAATGAGACCGGTTCAGATCGATTCTGGAGATCATACCTTCTTGTCTTTTTTAAGAGGTAAGACATTTTTCTCGTTCTTTAACAACACAATTCCCTCGTTGCCTATCCGCCGCAACAACTCGGCCGTCTCCGGAGTATTAGCCGTGGCTTCTGGGGCATTCTCCTTTACACCACTAGCAGCGCACTTCTTGATGAATTCCAACATGGCCTTCACTCGCTGATCCAAGATATGTGTCCGAACCTTATCGGTTGAGACGTTGAACTTGAGTGGCTCACCCCTAAATCGTGGCGGACCAGGCATCTCCAAGTCGAGACCAGCTAGTGCTGCCTCCGTGGTGGTATATGTTCCGTACCAATCACTCATGATCATCCCATCCCAACCCCATTCTCCACGTAGCATTTTGTCCAAAAGTTTGGGATTCTCGCTACAGTACGTCCCGTTTACTCCGTTATAACCTGTCATGAACGAGGCTACGTTGGAATCACGGACCACCAGCTGGAATGGCAATGCGTAGATCTCGCGCAGTGCTCGTTCTGTGATAATGGCTTGAACCGCATTCCGCTTGTGCTCGTGGTCATTGCAGACAAAATGCTTGATAGTAGCCTGAATTCCCGTCGATTGGATACCCCTGACTATGGCTGCAGCACCCAATCCAGCTAGGAATGGATCCTCACCGAGCGATTCGAATCCTCGACCTCCGAGAGGGCCCCGTTGCATATTTATAGTAGGTCCCAGAATAGCATGTGCTCCTTTCACTTTGGCCTCTTCTCCCATTTTCCTCCCAGCTTCTTCAAGAAGCTCTTGGTTGAAGGTAGCTCCCAGCCCAGTTCCACAGGGGAAGCAAGCAGCTTTGACACCATTGAAGAATTTGGTGCCTCGAACTCCATTAGGGCCGTCAGTTAGACGCAACGAGGGGATACCATGCTCAGGTAAACCTTTCGTATGCCAAAAATCGATACCAGCTAGTAGATCGACCTTATCGCTCATAGAGAGCTTCTTAAGCACCTGTTCTACGTTGATATCCGCCATTTTCACCACGATTCAGCGAGATAAAGTGGGAAAATATGGAGAAAAGAGTGTAGTATCTGTGGTTCTTCACAGACAGAAGAAATAGAAGCAGAAGAGAAGAAAGGAGAAGGGAAAGAAGAAAAGTATCTAATTACGAATTTACTACTACCTTTATAGTCCTAACACCAACCCCACCGCTGCCACGTACTACTTCTCTCTGCCATGCAAGGTTTGACCACGGACGTCAACTACGCCCCGACCTTTTCCCTCTTTTTTTTCGACCAAGCTGGATACACAAATCCATAGCTTGTCGCGGCTTGGCGATGAAATTTCGCGGGGTTCATTATAACGGGATACCGATATAAGGGACTCGGCTCACTCGTGCCGTCCCCTCTCTCTGTGACCCTCCAAGTTAACCCGCGCGAAAAAACGTATAGGTATGAATTGTGACCCTCAAATACCGGAACGTAATCGGGGGCATAGGGGAAACAATGGTTGAAGCGCTCATTTCAATGGAGATAGATCTGCGCCGGTTCGCGGCCCGGCAGGCCCGTCACCCGCCTCAACCGCCTCCTTTTCTTCGCCTCCTACCGAAGATTTACCAGTAGCGTGGGATATAGCGGATCCGAGGTTTCTCCAATCCAACCATTTTTTTGTTGTGGAATTGTCGATGACGGGGTCTTCCTAGGCGGGCGTGGGTTGTACATATCTCGCAACGATATTCTACCGAGTCACTTACATACATACTATTGGGAATCGAATAGGACCGATCGCTTAATCAACTGAACTTAGCTTGTCATTTATATTAAAAGGAGTATATAAGTCCTTATGAATTCATGAAAGACCTATTTCACTAGTATAAGCGATAATCAGATAGCGAATTCGATACCAAAACTCACCACAGCACTATACGCCGATTCGGAGTGTATGACGAGTTCGAATAGAAGGGTACGACAGACTCCTGACAATCCGCACGATCCTACTTTCATAAAATAGGGTGGGCTTAGTTGATTATGAAGTTCTTATGATCCTTCAAGCTAACTCGTCTATATAAGTGGGATGGCGAACCAAGAGACGCAATAGGTGTTGGAGATTTCATAGTGATGGCCCCCAACTCATGTCAGACAATTGCAGCTTAGGTAAGCTATGCCTTGAGTTCTACAAGGGATAGGCGAAATTCGCACTGGAGACAGCTAACGGAGCAATACTCTTCAAGTCGTACGAGATTACCTTGAAGTTGGTTAGGTAGGAAACTTTACACATATACGATCATGAATCTCACGCACCTAAGCAATTAACTAGCATCGATAACGGAGTATTTCCGCACCCCCCTACTTCAAGATTAAGTATCAGCAGCTTTAGTGCGTCGGCATAAACACTCCCTTGCGCACTTTTTCATTCGAATGACTCCAAAGTCTATGGATGTTTGAATAGTTTTGCTTTAGCTGAGGTCATGATGCATACCTCTCTCCATAGGACTTATAGCTATCTAACCAATAAGACGTAGCAGGAGATTTGTGTGGTGTTATAGTGCGAGGAGGTTACCTGACTAAGGGTTTCCGACGTCTAGGCTGTCAGAAAGGAGTTCAACCTGAAGCAAGATGAGCAAAATACTACCAAGTATATGCATACTAAAGCGTCTACTCTACAGCAGTTGGTTGTGGGTCTCTCACGCAGTAACGTTGTTGTTACCTCCCCTTTCTGGCTGGTTTCGCGACTCGACACAGTGCTTACTTAGGTATGCAAGGTCACTTACATTAACCATAAGTATAGGATCTAAAGATCTACGATCCATAAGTTTTGTCGTAAATTACTAATACCTTCACAGGGAGGAATGTGATTGATATTTTAACTTACAGTAACGAAATGTGACGAAGCTCAAGAGATGTAGAAATATGCAGGGGATATGCAGGAGAGGCTCCTATGGCCACGTATAAAGAGTCATCCTTCGAGATCTTCTCCACAGACGAGCCGGTAGTTTAATGATACCCTTACATCGGCAACGGAAACTCCCCCGCAATCAATCGACTGGCCGTCATCCGCGTCTTAAGTCTCGGAGACCAGGCAATCCGGGGTCACGCCGGAGTTAGCAAGTCGGTAATAGCGGCTAACTTCGGAGAACTCGCATGTAGCTTCAGCGACCGGAGTTTCTGTGGGACACCCGCAATTGTCCTAAATATCAATTCCATTGAGTGATACGAGTAGCCTTTGTCTGTATGGCATATGGAGTCTTTAGCGTGATTTTAATTATAGTAGTGTAGTGGCCCTTTGCGTACCTGGGGTTAGTTATGGTATCTACTTACGTTATCTCCGCACCCCAGAGTTGATCTTGATTATACACAACAAGGGCTGTGTATGATTTCGCAAGTTATACCTAAAACGGACTCTTGGCGTGTTGTAACAGTAAGCAAGATGAAAATATGTTTAAGATCATTGGCTAGGGTAACGAAGCTGATGTATGTTTCAGAATGGGCATGGTTTTTGACGCGCGCCGAATAGAGCGACTTTATGTAAGCCTAGATGGGTAGGTATTCTGCGAAAAAAGGCTCGATGGCTACCTGGATAATGAGGGGATGGGCATAGGTGACCTATAGATCCATATAGTTGGCATAAGAGAGAGCGCCCTACCATATAGAGATACTCCGGACGATCTCATTTTCTTGTTTCACAGCACATGCACAAACCACTGTATATGGACAGATACAGAAGTGATGACGTACTGTCGGTAGGCTGGATGGATGTGGTGGCGTATTGATGAGCGTCTTCTATTCGATATTTAGAGATGAAGAAACTGAATGTAACCCTAGAATACACCTACCTGGATCTTACCTAGGTACTGTCCCAAAACTTGACATAATGGGCAATAGTTCGGGAAGTTCGGACGGCGGCAATGGTGTCAGGTATTACAGACCGCAAGATGCAAGTACTGCACACGACTGTTTAGACAATGGGAAAATTTAGGTACGAAATCGCGAACATAAAAGCCGAAAAAAATTAGCTGGTCAGCTTTTGGGGTTCAACGCAACAAGAACCAACTATACGGTCGAACCATTAGCTAAGCGATCCTACCCGGCTAGTCTCGAATTATATAGATGGTGGCTCTAGTGAGTTATCCACTCCGAATGGACTGCATGGCGTGGGCGGCTCGATCAAAAGTTCTGTTCTAGTTTTCCGGTAGATGCGGGACATCCATAACTCCAAAAGTCGCAACAGGGTTCTGGAGACAATGGGTCCTGGACAATCCTACCGAGGTGTCTTTGTCAAAGTAACCTTGCAAGTGATTCGAGAATTGGCTGTATGCGGAGGAGCGGATACGAGGCCACAGCCGATTCGAAGGTAAGGGCGAATTAATAGCGTAAATTGTCCAGTAGATCAGGCGGTCGAATAGAAAAATGATGGTAGCAGGGGTCATCCAACGCGCATATATATATGAGTGTTGGTTGCCGTACGACAATTAGAACCAACAACAGGTCACACGAATACCTAGGCGTAATCAATCTACTCGCTTATCAATCTACTCGTTTAGAAATCTACTCGCTTAGAAATCTGCAGCGTTTGTTGAAGATATAATTCCTCGGAGCCGCAAGAAGTCGTTGCGGTACCTAGGTACTATCCATCTCTCCAAGTCACAATCTCTCATCATGGCGACGTCACATCGGGTTCTCCTCACGGGAGCGAACGGCTACATTGCGCAGCACATCCTAGCACAGCTTCTCGAGGCGGGACATTCAGTACGAGCCACTGCTCGCTCACAGTCCAAGATCGACGCCCTCAAGAAGACTTTTGCTAAATATGTGGACACACCACAGTTGGACTTTGCCGTCGTACCGGATATCACCGCCCCTAAGGCCTTCGACGCTGCACTGGCATCCGACCCACCGTTTGACCGAGTTTTACACACGGCTTCACCGTTCTTCATCCGTCCTGCCGATAGCTCCGTCTTCCTAGAGCCGGCCATCAAAGGTACAACCGAGATCCTAGAAGGCATAGTTCGTGTGGCGCCGAGCGTGAAGCGTGTAGTCTTGACGTCATCCTTCGCTGCCGTCAGAACTATGACTTCTGAGCCAATAAGGAACCCTCCCAAGATTTACACGAACGAGGATTGGAATAAGGTGACCCTCGAAGAGGCACAAGCCTCGGAAGATCCAAATGTGACGTACTCGGCTAGTAAGAAATTCGCTGAGAAGGCAGCATGGGACTTCGTGAAAGAGGGCAAGGGTAACTTCGAGCTTGTAGCTCTTTGCCCGCCAGGAGTCTATGGTCCAATCTACGACCCGTCACAATTCTCCAAAGGAAAGGAACTGAACCAGAGCACCTGGATCATTTACCATATGTTCCTACGGCCGGGTGTGAAGTCCACCGATCCCGTCCCTCCCACGTTCTTGTACGTTTGGGTTGATGTTCGTGACATTGCACGTGCCCATCTCCTCGCCATGACAGTTCCAGAGGCGGCGGGCAAGCGATTCCTAACAAGCGCGGGCGATTTGAGCATGCAGGAAATGGCCAACTACCTCCGAGAGGCTCTACCGGAGAAGCGGGATGTGATACCTATCGGAGAACCCGAGAAGACGGATAAGCCAGAAGGGTGGTACGGCACGGAGGATCCAACTGTCCAATCGGTGCTTGGTTTGACGTACAGATCAAAGGAAGAGGCTATCAAAGACTTAGCACCGCAGCTGGTTGGAATTGCGGAGAGGGAGGCCGCATCATTATAAGCAGTCCATTCATGACTACGTGTCGATTCTTGTCAATGTTTAGATGCAGACGTACATAACCATAGGTAGTACATATGATGTAGTTTGTTGGTTTTGAAATGAAGCACGTTTTAAATGTCAGCAGCGAACTAGAGATGTATTGCTGTGTTATCGATAAGATCGATCCACTTATTTGTGTTACCATTCATATCTCTTAAGCAGCATTGAAGTTTATTTCGTTAGATTTGAATGCGTACTGGCCTTCGTTCCTTCTTGTGTCTCTTGATAACCACCATACAAGCTTCTGTATTATACACGTATGAATAGCCGTGATTGCTTCGATTCTCTCATCTTAGCTGTTTGAAAACCTAAAAGTAGACCCACCCAGCTAAGAAGCTACCCCTCAATACAGACTAGAATCCCTGTCGTTGCAGAATTCCCCAAATATTAAGTGGGTCTAAGAGATTTATCAATCGCTTTGTAACTTTTCGCTGTCTTCTATTGTCAACTCAAACTCACAACTCTACATCCTCATTCTTAATCTCATCGTATCCTACGTTCGTCGAACTCATGACTGGAAAATAACTCTAAGTTCTAGATTATAGGAGCTATGAGACACTCTACTATATTTGTTTCTGTTATTTTACCTTTTCACTCTTTCAGTCAAACGATCCGGTAGTTATATGTATATCGTGAGCTCCGTTTGCATTCTAATCACGCTCCCTAAATTCATCACACCAATCAATTAAATGTTGTCTTCAATGTCGTCCAATTTTTTCTCACAATGACACATAACCACAACGATCCCGATTTCCGTTCTATCGTAAATGCGGCGGCGGAAAAATGGTATTCTCAGCTCAGCCTTTCGCCCGACCACCCGCAATCTAACCGTGAGCTTCCTCTATCAGCCTATTCGGATTCTTATAGATGAAACGGCTCACAATCCATAGGGGAATATCCTGAGGATCCTGAACGCTATCAAACCGCCAAAAATGGGGAGTTGGCAACATTTAGTTCAGTTAATCATGACGGTCTAACCGCGTGGCAAAGTACACTGCAAGCCCTGCCAGAGGAGTCTCGGGGTACTCCTTTCCCCGTTCATCCGCTCGCCCAAGCATTAGTAGAACAACCGGTTCTGCGCTCGGTCGAGTGGAATTCATATCGTCAACAAGGTGGATTCAAACCCAGAACAGCTATCGATTATAGCTCTTTTATGATCTACGTGTCCGGCCAAGTCAATCCGAATCCGTGTCGCAATTGTCGGTTAAAGAATGGCCCCTACGCACGCTGTATTGTGGCTCCTCCATCAGTACTCGCCTTGAGTAGCCTCAAGCATGCTTGCGCCAACTGCACGTATCAGAACCAGCATAGAAAATGTACGAATCTACCGATTGATGGTGAGGAATTGGTGACAAGAAGTCGGATGGCTAGGTCATCTTTGAAATTGAAAAGTTCTACGCCAATGAAACCACCTGGGCGGAGGCCTAACCCCGTCGTCAATAGCGACGTCAATACTATGACAAAGCATAAGCTAGACCATGGACACATGATTCGTAAGCCTACCGCTCAGAGTATCTCGGCAGAGGCATTCGCCGACAAGATACGCCTAGTCCGTTCGTGGTCTCCTCGTTCCCGACGGCGAATTAAAGCTGAAGTGATGCAATGGCAAGCGGCTGTTATGACGGTTGAGGCGGAAAACACTCGAGGCTCATCCAGGGACGAGTCATTTGAAGGGCAAGAGGCAACTGAATCCACCGGTATGCTTTCTGGCCCGCCGCCCCCCGCAGACTCCCACGCATCCTCCATCGGCATCTACGATGTTTGCTGCTCTCCCCTCAGCAGGCAGGTCCTTGATTGAAGGAGATGGGTATGACGACGAATATAGTCGACAGCGGATAGATGACGATGAGAACGCCGAACAGAGTGATTATGAGGGCACAACATGGGTCGGTTTCAATGATATGGGACCAAGACTGAAACCTCCACTCTAAGCTCTGCGTGATATATACCTTAATTTACGCTATCGTCCTAGAGGCGGATTAGTGGTTATATTTGCTTTGGCTATATACAATGCTGATGATTTGAATAGCACTTGATACAAATGACCTATTCTTCGCTTGGCCATTTTGCCTCATGCGTTCCTCGCAAACAACTACCAACATCATATCCTAGCTTTGTCGTATCGTATGTAGCCGCGGGTCCAACAAATATCATTTCCTCATTAGGAACGCCAAGATCGGCCTTGATGGTCTTGAAATACTTCGGATCTAGCAACTGCGGTACTTTGTTGTACAGATTACTAGAGAACTAACGATTGTATTTCAGTACATCAATACAGAAGGTTCTGGGGGTTTGCGCACTTACCACTCGCATTTGTCGATGTAGGTCGTCGTAATGTCGGAATTTCATCTCTGGCCACATCTCACGCAATAACCTTTGCACTTCCGGACTCTGCGTCCCAAGAGATATCAAGAAGCTATTCAACTGATTTAACGACATGGACACGAGATAATTGCCCCCTTTCTTCGCCCGCTTGTCCAGCGCATTCATAACAGCGATGCAACCCACGATTCCGGTTTGGAAGTCGGAATTGGGCAGAAATGGCATCATGGGCTCATCCACACCCCACATTCTGGCGAAGAGCCAGGCGATCCCCGTCACAGCGTCACTAATCTGCTGCCAGCCGCTGCGGTGCTTCAACGGTCCTTTCCAGCCGTAGCAGTTTTCGCGCGCATACACTATACCCTTGCCTCGTCTTTTAGCGATTTCGTGTATATACGTGGGGCCAAATCCAAGTTTTTCTAGGGCGTTTGGACGATAGCCGTCGAGTACAACATCCGCACCCTGGATTAGATCTAACAACGCCTTACGTCCTTCTTCCGTTTTCAAGTCCAGATGCGCATCCCGCTTCCCGAGATTACTTTCGAACAATACGATGCCTAGATCTGGTAACTTCGTATTTGATACTCTGACTACGGTGGCGCCAAATAGCGCCGCAAGCTTGGCAATCGTTGGGCCAGCGATAGCACGCGTGAGATCGACAATTTTAATACCCTCGAGAGGCCTGTACGTCATAGTCTCAACCTTGGGCCACGGCACCGGAGGCAGTCTCTCGTCTGGGAATTCTTCAAGCAAGTAAAGCCCGTCATTAGCTACCGCTTTGCCTTGCTCGCTTGTGCGGTACTCTTCTGGCGTTAAGCAGATCCCACCCGCTTGTCTCCAGTACTCGTTAGCCTCGATGTCCAGCCATTCCGCGTCGAACTGTTTCACGCCTTCGGAAAGACCTTCGATGGCTTCCATCTCACCAGCGATGTCCTTCTGTGTCGGTAGCCCTAGCATCCGCAAACTCCTATCCGAGTTCAGACCGCCGTGTAAGTGAAACCAACGTCCGTCACGCGTGGGATATACGTTTGTGACGAGCCTACGCCAGAGCGTGAATTGGCGCGTAATGTCATAAACGGAGATACGCCGTGCGACATCCGGATCGGACACGGGCTTGCCCCCAACTCGCATAAACCAGAATGAAAAAAGGAATAGTGAAGCCGCATCGCTACTAATAATAGCGCGTTGGTCGGCAACTGTAGAACCGTAGCGCTCGCCGGCGATGGCGTTTCCGAAAGTGGCTAGGAGCGCCCATAGTGCTGCACTCGACTCAGTGCACTTGATGGGTGCGGGTAGGAAAGGTTTCTCAACCGAATCGGTGGAGAAAGAGGTGCGCGATACAGCCGCTTTTACGGAAGGAGGAATTTGGAGACGCGGGTCTGCGAGAAGAACATCGTGTAAGATGCGCGATGCTTCTTGTTGGATTGTGTAGGTGGGTGACACCATTGTCCTTTTCGTCTACCTCCTGTCTGTTTATGGCTTATCTATGGCTCGTTCTTACGAGTACTTTGAGTAACCACACGTTGGGATTGACCAAGTGACTATTAATCTGCTTCCTACCGTACGCGCGCAGTCCTACAAGCCACAAACCCCAAACAGACACAGACACATACATAACACGTGCACCTAGAACTAGATTACCTGGATATTATACGTCTTGAGGGTTTGTAACTTACCCAATAGGTATTATCGCCTAGGTATCCAACCCGCATGAGACCAGGCCGGGGCCAAGACTCCCGCCTCCAAGACCCTGCGGGGAAGATGTCGCCGGGTAGCATTTTATCCGCGGCTGTGGTTCATGTGTGGACTAGTTGATGTCGGTAGATCTATGGTGAGGAAATTGTGTGTACTAGGGGTGAGTGCCTTTTTTTCTTATCCCATTGTCTAGGTGGTGTATGTTGGTGTGAGAATGCTGCTCAATTGATTCTGCGGTGTTTCTAGTTAGCATCTATATTCTACCTACCTGCATTTACCACTACTTTTCGGGATTGGAACTAAAATGCCAAAACAAATTGGGGTTGGCGCTTAAGGTATGAATTGCTAAGTCGTTTTTAATCATCATTGAGTCTTTGATATCTCACAATAGCCTCTATCTTAATAGCTGACATCACAAGCCCATCACGAAGGTGTAATAACTCTGTTATTGCGCAAGGAGAACGCAAATAATTGCTACAAGAATTCTCATATGCATACACAATTGACCTCTTTATCCCAGTGACTCTCATACCCCCATATCTGAGGCCCAAGCTACATGTAATAAACAGGTCTCCTAATACCTCTCATGGTGTATCGTTTCGTACAGCTAGACTACTGACAGGTACGACAAAGATGATGAGTGTTTATACAAGAGGTAGTTATCCCCTTTTCGAAATTGTAACGGCCGCGGCCGCACCTGTGGGCAACCTGGTGTTGCCGGGAAGTCGAAAAGACGAGGTCTGCAGGCGAAGCGAGGAAGTACATTATTCGGTGTAGCGGCCACTCATTTGCGTTGCCTCTACTAGATATCTTCTTGACGGGGTAACCCGCCGTGTCGGTATCGCCGCCGGTGACGAACGAGCAGTCGTGAATGGTCCGGGAAGTGCAGACCTCCGTGATTTACCGGCAAGCTAAATCGCTTATGTCTACTTGTAGGTGGTAACCTTCCGGGTAGAAGTAGCTGGATTTGGGGAAAGTTGTATTGGAAGGAGAGTAGTGCTCTCTTAAGTCTTCTGACGGCGCAGCTCGCCTCCGCTACGAGCTTTTGCCGGGTAAGCTTCCTCCCATCTGCCTCCTCGAGAGGCATCTTGAGCTCGGAACCCGAGCCACCTATCATAGTTGGTGGTAAATCGTCCAACCAGGTATTAAATGCCTGCGAAAGCATTGAGACAGCGACGTCAACGGGCGCAGGCGGTGGAGGGGAAGGCGACGGGGACAGCGAAGATGAGCTAGCCGCTCGTGGCCTTTGGGCCGAAGTGGGGACTCTATTCTCATCGGATGTTAAGTCGTCGTATTTTCTCTTCGGTGCAACGTGGAGGACGTTACCCGAAACGGGAGTGAGTGGGGTGCGAGACGAAGCCATCGCGAGGTCGAGACGGTATATGACTTTGCCTTTGTCACGCAGAACTCTAGCTTTGGTCTTTGGCTACTCTAGAAGTCTCTTGTGCCATGGATGTGCTCGCTGTATGGAGAATACTATGTTGTACTTAGGCGTAAACCATTTCATCACCGTCGCCGTATGTGAAACAGAAAATTAGAACGATCGATGATTTTGTTAGGAAAGGTGAAGAGGTGAAAATCGATTGAAGAGTGCACTCTTAAATAGAGGTCGGTCGCCCAGGTGCACCTACCTTGTATTTGACACATTTGACGCATCGTGATCTCTTTTCTTAACTCGTGGAAAGTGTCTCCTAAGTGAGTGAGAAGTTTAAGCAATATTTGAGCATATTTCAATATTAATTTCCTCATCATCATTAGGCTAGAGTTTCGTACTGTTAGTCGTTAGTTTACCCCTTTAAGGAAATGGCTTAACTCATACTCGTACCTACCTAGATGTATGGGCACATAGTTAAGTTCAATAGACTTGCTATATATCATAAACTTCGGACATGCTGTTGATACATGTATGGAGTTTAAAGTGTTTCGGAGAACTGCAGCTGCCTTCTCTTTTACTAGGCACCTTCTATCAAGGTATTTAGAGTAAGTACAATATGATTAGACCATACATATCCTCTTTCCAACCCCCAAACATCCCCAGTAGATCCTCACCTCTTCAACTCTTTCGCAATATCTATCTGGCCAAATTTCGTGAGATATCAAATCCCCAGGTATGCCAACTTACCCCACGAGCTCCATAGCTCTACTCCACTGGATACTATATGTTTTCGGGGCTCGAGACCTTGGAATTCTTGGGAACTTATTGTATTCTGTATCATAAGACCTATCAATGGCGTCTTTCATTTCGAGTTCGCCATCGAACTCATCTCCCACTCCCTTCGAAGAACCTGACGAATTAACACTTGATCTTCAACCCGCACCACTACGTCTTCCTCGACGTAATATCCCCACAACATTCGACGGCGCTGGCTCGGTAGACCAGGATCAGGACCAGGAAACCACATCTACAACTGAGAATGATAGCTCCACTTCTGCCTGTACAGTTCGTCGAGGTAGTCCCAGCCTTCCACATCAATCAGTTATCGCCAGAGATTTATCGCAACGTCGTCCTCCAGCCCCAAAGCTAGGATCACTCGTGTCTAAGTTTGAGAACCTAGACGCAGTAAGAAACACCGAGGCCGGCCCATCATCCGAAGCCAAGCCGAGTACAATTCCCCGAGTTCAGAGGAAATCTACGCGTCAAGACAGTCAAGTCGAATGCCCCGAACAAGTCACTCCCATGGACAGGGGCGATGCTACTAGGAATCCAGAAGACCTTTCGCCTAGGCAGGTTGCATCACCGCCTCCTCTTGATGCCAGATCGAAAGTCCCAGTTGACACGGTATCTAAAATTAAGGCCAGAGGAGATGAGGAGATTGATACTCATGCTTCCAAGGGAGTGGAAAGGACCTTACCCACTCAAGGGCAAGTATCACAAAATCAAACACTGCCCCTCAGAAATACGAAGGATGATGGCATCGATCACATTTCATCTCGCAGTATCCCTTCTCAAAAAGGCAAACATCCCGGATAGGATCCAAGGTTGATTGCAGACCGCAGAAGGGTGTTCGAGCATAAGAGTAGTAAGTTCGTCAATGGCATCGTCGTAACATATAGCGGAGGGCTAATTTCGTAGCATATTCTTTTTCCATCGAGCCGACAAACCCCATCTTGGAGCGATCAGATACTCAGAAATCAGCACCGAGTTTGATGGGGTCGTCACAGCAGCATCTTCCAAAATCTAACTCTTTCCGACAGAGGTCCCCAACTAAGCCAAAGCTATCAAACGCCCCGTCAACCAGCTCCCTCAAAGCTTCACAAAAAAAGGATACCGACGATGATGAGCAAAGTCGCAAAGAAGTTAAGCACCCGCAAGCCAAGAAAGATGAAACCACAACCATCCCTATGAGCCTTACAAGGAAGCAGCATTCAAGCGTTGCGGACCTTCGTTTATCGTTTGAACAGGCCCTACAGCCATCGTCTCAGCCATTCGGAAAACCTAAGCTATCTGCAGAGGCAGTTCCCAATCGCATTGCCCGGGACAGGAAAGAGATATCACATTCGTCTGGCTTTTTGCATCGAGAGAGTAGCCCTTCGCTTGGAACGAAGGCACGGACACAAAAAGGCGACACGGCTTTTCAAACCCCACCAGGCGTCGCAGGAAAGAAGAGCCACATTGAATTGAGGAGTAAAGCATCAGAACGATCTTTGCCCACGCGAAACGTTACAAATACCACGAGCCATGGTCCCGCGGCAAAGAGTAGTCAAACTCGTCAGCGGGATTCCCGCAATCTCGATGGAGCCGTGTCGCCCACGTATGACGGCACTGGCTATGTATTAAGGAATCTGGATAAAGCTGACATGGCGAGCAGCCCTCGCACTCCAACGGCTCGAGGTAGAAAGAGGTCTTCGCATGCAAATCTTTTTCACCATTTCTTACCCGCAAGCCCAAAAATCAGCTTAGCTCCTAGTCCTAGAGATGCGCCTACAGGCCAACGACCTACGATTAACAAGGCGAGGACGCGGAAAGATATCAGTGGGTCTCCAAGGCGGTCGGAGTCTTTAACGAGGTGCGCGGGGAAAGTTTCGGACCTCCGAAAGATGTTTGAGCGATCAACTCGAGCTTCTCCTCAAGGCTCGTTTAAATCCTTTTGGCAAAACCGATACCGCAGTAAGCCGGTAGTCGAGAGCGAAATAGTTCCTAACCTAGAATTGGATGGTGCAGCGTCTCTGACGGCATTATCTACCCATCTTAGTCCGTTAAAGAAGATATCGGTTCCCGAGCTGACTACGGAGATCTCAACCAACGACTTTTGCTGTGACTTCACCGAAACATTTGATGACGTGGATCCCAAAAAACCAAAGTCACTTTTCCTCCCAGAGGAAGATGAGATCACAACAGTAAAGCAAGAATCTCCAGTTAAAGATCGAATCCAACAATTCGAACGTCTGAAATACGAGTCTCCTACTATTAGCCCGACGCCTTCTTGTCGAGCAAAGCTGCGTGGTGCTAAATCAAACATTTCTATCAAGCAGAAGGAAAACGATGCTGGAATGATAAAGACAGGAACTAATTGGCGTCCATTTAGGCAACGAAGTATAGAATTCTGGAGAAAAATCTCAAGCAATTTTGCCCGGACGGTCGAGGGTGGAAATGATGGATTTAGCAACGATGAACAAGCTGAACCGAGTCACCACATCGATACCGAGGAATCCAGGCCAAGCTCGGCACGTCGCAAAATTCGATACCGCCGTTCAGATGTATTTGGTTACCATCTCTATCGCACATCTGCGGTAGTTCGTTCCTCGACGTCTTCGTCCCACGATGCATCAAGTGTTAACATAAATAACGAAGCAAGTGCGAGATTCGATAGACAGCCTCCATATCTAAGTTATACTCGATCACAGTCTCGCGAATTGCCAACGCGGAGGGCCTTTCCATTTCTAACCCGTGGGTCGGGGGATATAGAAGGCTCTGACGAGCCTGATGATTTCGGGTTTGATGGCACCGCCCTATCTAGGGCAATTCGGCGCTCAGGCAAATCGTCCGGTGCTCAGACCCCCCAAATCCCAGACCCATCCTCATCGACACCCAATGCTCTATCGAGAGTGGTATCACAACAAACGATAGCGGAACGCAAGCGTCGTCGGCTAGAGGAGAAGCAGGCTCGCCGAGAACAGAAGGGGAAGAAGAGGGAAGAAAAGGCGAAAGAAAAGGGTGGGGATAATGAGGAAGGGAGCGAGCACAACGAAGAGGGACAAAACATACAAGATAAGGGGAAAGGAAAGGAAACCGAAGGTAAGAAAAAGGAGAGTAGTTGGAGTAAAAAGACGGCTTCGGGATTCGTGGTGCGTCAGATCAACGACGTCAAACTCAAACATCCAAAACCTAGGCGACCTGGTCAGGTCAAGAAGATTGTTAATATGTATAAAGAGAAGGCTAGCAGTGGTATTAGACTTGGGAAGGGAAGTGGTGTTAGTTCCGGGTCCGGCGCTGGCACTGCAGCTGCTGGTGCAACGGATAACTGAGTCGGTTGCATAATATCGATTGAATATTGATACTCAGGGCCGGCTACTAGGCCACGATACATCCCAAGTCCATCATATGGGCGTGGTAGGTAGAAAGGCAACTAGATAGACATAGCTTACTTATCAAATATTGGATATTTTAAACATTCGAAAGTGTTGAAAGAGTAGAACTAGATGAACAAGTTAATGGTAGTTCGCGCAAGGCGAGGAGGTACTGTGTCGTACCTTGGCTGTCTTGGAATACCTTCGATTTTTGTATTGGATCGAGACGGGTGCCCGATTGAGTAGTGGAGCTTTGATCTACTGCCATCTTCACGATTACCGCCCCCTGAAGTTATCATTTGGTATTCATCTTCAGTACGGCTTACTTCTACCTCATAAATCTCATGTTTATCTGATATATCATTGGCATAACCTAGTCCAGTCAAACCTAGCTGACCCCAGGGCAATGTCAAGCAAACACCGCTGCTGCAAGGCATATTACCTACTCTCTAATATCGCAATCGTTTCTACCTTCAAACCAAGATCATTATAAGATTCTAAACTCCAAATCCAGCATACCTACCAGCGAAGTAGGTAAAGGTACCTAGGTATTTACCCAACAAGACCCATCCCCCGTCCAATCTTCTTAACAAGCGCCTTCTTCAAAAACCACTCCCTAGCCAACCCCCTAGTCGTCCGCGCAAACACAGCAGGCGCAACACGCCCCCTCTCAACCGCACGCCCAAGTACAAAAATCGCATCGCCCAACGCGCGTTCCTCGGCGACGACATCGTATAACTGGTTCGCGACTACGGTGGGTGCGACTAGTAAATCATCGATAGGAGGGGGTTCGCGACCACGCGCGCTGGAAACTACGCGGTCTGCTTCGCGGAGGGAGTGTTGGAGGATGGAGGCGTTGGAGCTTAGCATTGCGGTTAGGGGACCTAGGGCTGCGGCGTCGGATTGGAGGGCTTGGCGCGCGGTTAGCATTGCTGCGCGTTGGGCTGCGAGACCGGCTAGGGAGGATTCGTTTTGGGCGCGGGCGCGCTGGCGGATTGTGTAGAGGGTTGAGGCGAGTTGGCGGAGGAGAGCGTCTTTTTCGGGGTTTGGTGGGATGGGAGGTGGCGCGAGGGTGTTGGTTGATGGGGATGGGAGGGCAAGGGAGAAGGGTTCGTCCATTAGATCGGGAGGCGGGGGTGGTTTAGGTTGGACTGGTATTGGTTGCGGTTGTTGGTGCGGCGCGGGGTGCTGTTGCCAGGTTGGAGGTGGGCCGGTATATGATGGCCCGGGAGGTGCGCCGGCGTTGTAGGGGTTCGGAGTCGCAGGTGACACCATAGATAGGCGTCGGGAATCTTGTGGAGGAAATCCAGTCTGGAGAGTGGCGTTTCCTGGTTGGTAAGGATGTTGTTGCTGTGGCGGCGGCGGTTGCTGGGTTTGGTATTGGAGGTTAGGAGGTGGTCGTTGGTAGGATTGGGATGGGTGAGGTGGTCCTTGTTGAGGTGGTAGGGGAGGAGCGGCGTCGTATCTCGAGAGCCGGTTCGATGGCGGTGATTGTGTTGCTGCTGCCGGCGCACCATACATGCTTGATCGTCGGCGAACATCGTCCGGTAGAGGTGGTCGCGGGGGACCGTCCCCATGTATAGTAGGCCCAGATACTACCTGAGGAAGGTCGCTACCTTTCGGGGGAGGTGGCGGCGGTCTTTGATCGTTGGTATGTGGAGATGGGACATGCTGGGGAGTATGTCTCGATACGTCGGGAGGCAAAGGAGGGACGGGTGGAGGAGTTGGAGCTGGAGTGGACTGTTGTTGCGGCGTAGGACGAGCTTGCTGTCGCGAGACTACAGGAGGTTCCTTTGCGAATATGTCTCGAAGAATAGCTAGAAAGTCTAGTAAGGAGGATTTCTACCCGTTTTATATTAGAATCCCTCACACAGAAAATTGCCAACTATAAGGGATGAAGCACTTACATCCCAAAATTCAGCCCACCCTACTAGATAGGGGTGATATATACGTCCTTGAGGATCAACATGTTGACCTGGTCGTACCATCATACTCTCGGTAGGCGTAACATAGCCTAGAGGTGCCTCGCGGGGGTAGGCATGTGGTATCCATAATGAAATGGGGAATCGGTAGGTGGTGCCGCGAAAGATGACCGGAATTGTACCGGAGAGGTGTAGAAGAAGAGCAGAGACGCCGTTATCGAAAGCTACATATTGTTAGAATCGACCAATCTATTGCGACTCGTAGGGGTTATATAGGAGACTCATACTGTGAACATCTGTTCTCGGCGATAGTGAAGGATATTGGGATAGCGCCTGAGCTACATCATTGTATGTTCGGTTAACATCTTGATATTCCTATACAATAGAAGTTATTAGAGGTCAAGTCCGATCAAGTTGAGGTTATAGGACTGCCTTACACTTGTCAGGACGCTATACAACCAGTTCAACACATGCTGCTGGACGACCATATTGGGGGATCCTAGCAGCTAGTTACCTTCGTAGTAGCCACGTCATGATAGGAATTGGTTTTTTTGGTGTTGAGGAGAGCTTCGAGGAGGGCAGCGTGTTGGTGGTGTTGAATGCGAATATGAATGTGAATGATGATTGGGGTATGTAATGTATCTAGGTACCTCAAGTAACAGAGTTACAGAAGCCTTGCGCTACATGTACATAAGGTTGCCCGCCAAGGCTGACAAGTGACGAATTAAGTGGAGATCACAGCTCAATTAAGTTGTGACCAATCATAGTTAGTTCCCCTCAGCTAACCCAGATAGGCACATACCTCAAGTACATAAGGCAATCTAAAGCCGATAAATTCCCGGGTTTGCCGCAAAACATCCACAATTATGTAATGACTTGAGTCTCAACTGAGGCGACTTTTCTTTTCTTCCTTTTTAATTTCTTCTCCATTTCTTTTTTTTTCTTATGGCTGCCACCCTACACAATTCTACACTTTCAAAACATCCACATCCTTGGAATTCTGCATGAGGACCCTTGTGGAATCTAGGATCACCCGATCAAAAAACATAAGATCTTAAAGTCTTTATGCGAGAATATCCGACCACTAACCAAGCAACCTGGCAACTAAGATAGCCGCCGGCACCGGTTTCTTTCTCAATGACAAGAATATCTTATACCATTGTGTCCGATTACCGTTACTAGGTGTATTAGCGAATAGCTTAGCCTACCTAGCAGCTTAGATCTAGATTCATCCGGCCGCTCGGACTCCGCGGATGTATCAAATTGCGCCATAATTACTTTTCAACCCACAGCCTACAGAAGAAATATAGCATGTGCCATAGACATTCTAGTTTCTTTACCAAGCGCCCCAATATACATAGGTTACGAGACAAGTCATATACATTCTGTCATATTTCCCTGACCAATACATCAGGGTGTATATTTCTCCTTCCCTCGAGACTGACTGATGACGATGAGTAAAAGACAGAAAACATTCATGATATTACTAATGAATAACATCCTACTTATGTATTCCTGACTTTATTAGTAGTTAGGACCCCCATTTTCCGAAACTCCTGCCAGCCTAGGGAGAAACTTGTACCAAGTTTGCTCCTCTTTTCTTATAAGCCTTTGCTTTCCCACTTCTTTCACGTATTTTTCCTATTTTATCTATTACACGTTCTACTCAACTTGGTTGTCTTCTATTAACAATTTTCTACGCAACCGCATGCTCACAACCAACCGATAGTCTCGCACGGCTGAGGAGTATTACAGTATTATTATCTGTATACTCCTTGCGTCAGGACTTAGATTTTTTATAATTTAGTTCAATTAAGTTGAAAGGATTGGTGATTGAGCTTCGTGGTATCAATTGCTCAGTTTACTATCCTCACTAGTCAACTACTATCACGCATCCGTCCCGAGATACAACAAACGCCGTCGTGATGAGACCTCCTATTCCTGTTTTATCCGATTATGGAATCTCACCAGACCATGGCTTCTTACCGGATGTCTTACCTCTCACGAGGCTTCCAGACCCCTATTATAACAAATGGGAGTCAATTGGAGCCAACCTTCAGAATTTGATTCTAAGCAAACGTCTCCGAGGTGTTATTGACCGTCTTCCCGTCCTCTCCACCATTGGTCTGGAACATGACGCAGAATGGAGGAGAGCCTACATGCTTCTTACTTTTTTCGCTCATGGGTACATTTGGGGAGGTGACACTCCCTGCGATCGGGTACCACCGAGCATTTCCGCTCCGCTGCTGCAGATTTGTGAGCACCTTGAGGTTCCACCAGTATCCACTTACGCGGCCTCCGTGTTGTGGAACTTCAAGCCACTCTTTGTTGATGAGGATATTGACGATCTCGATAATCTCGCCACATTGGTTACTTTCACTGGATCGCTAGATGAGTCTTGGTTCTACCTAGTCTCGGTCGCCATCGAGGCTCGCGGTGGACCCATCATCCCTTTAATGTTGACGGCCGTTGCCGCCGCTCGACAAGGCGATAGTGCAACCGTGACACGTTGCCTACGCGCCTTTGCTGAGCGCCTCGACGACCTCGGTGAATTATTGCGCCGGATGCATGAGAGCTGTGACCCTGGATTCTTCTATCGTCGTATTCGTACTTTCCTTGCTGGAAGTAAGAATATGGCCGAAGCTGGCTTGCCAAATGGTGTCGTTTATGATGATGGTTCGGGCAAGTCCCAATACGTTCAGTATAGTGGACCCAGCAACGCTCAAAGTAGTCTCATTCAGTTCTTTGACGTCATTCTAGGCGTTGAGCATCGACCCACTGGTGAGAAGGCAGACCCTTCGTCTGAGTCGGAGCGTGAGGGACGCAGTCGGGTTCCGAAACACAACTTTATTCGGGATATGCGACGTTACATGCCTGGACCACATGCGCGTTTCCTGAATGACGTCGGAGCCGTGGCTAATATCCGCGAATTCGTCGAAAGTCGTGCCGCTACCGACCGCTCTCTGAGTATCGCATACGACGCGTGCCTTGCTATGCTCCGCGCGTTCCGTGATATTCATATTGCTATTGTCACTCGCTACATCATCTTACCCTCTCGGGAGAATCGAGCACGTAGCCGTTCTCGTAGCCCCGAAGCTGTCAAGAATCGACAAAATCTAGCGACCGCGTCCCAAAATGAGAAGCATAAGAAGGTGAAGGGTACCGGTGGAACCGCCTTAATCCCATTTCTCAAGCAGGCTCGTGATGAGACTGGCGAACCGTCGGTGGAAACTTGGGCCAAGCGATTTATGAGTCGACAGACTAAAGTTTCTGGTCAAGGTGACTTCTTCCTTGGGAAAGATGAGAAGTCGGATATGTTGGATGAACCGGTCATTGAGCACGGCCTTGCAGGAACTTGGACGATGGATGATGAGTATGGTGGTATTTGCAATTACTGAAGGACGTTAGTGAAGCTGTTATCCGTTCGCATTTTTGGTACCAGTGATGTTAATGCTCATGAGATATTTATCGAATTTAAGAATCTTGGATATATTTCTATAGAGGCACACCGAGCTACTGGCATTGCCTTTAGGTTAAGACGTCCTATACCTTGATTCGGAATGCCTTGACCAGTGGCGCGAAAAAATATTACCAGACAAGCTACGAATTAGGTGCCTACCTACCTAGGTAGGTAGGTAGGTGTAAAATACGCTATCACCTGACCTTATGTATCCGGATAAGCAAGTCAGTCACTAATACCTTACATAGGTATGTAGTCAACAAATTTTATAAATGACGAGTAAGAAAACCTGTATGCTACATGTTACACAATCAGCAAGCGACTCCCTCTGGTCGTGATCGCCATAGGAGGGTAGCAGGTACCTAGGTACATGTATGTAGCTCTCAGCCCGCCACAAATCAAAATCTCGTCTCCTACAACAAATATGTAGGCCAGCCACATATGTATTGGAATAAGGCACCTACATAAGGCACCTACAACACCAGGACTATTATTGGGCATACTTGGGCCTCTTATGGCATACCAAATGCTTTTGACATGGCTTTGCCCAAGCATCCCCACCCTCCAGGGGCTTTTGCAGGTGATGCTCGCCACCTTTACAGCCCTCTCACTGAATCATTAACAATTCCTCGAGATTCCCTTTTTCGCCAATCCATTCTCAATCAAGCATTACCCACTCGTAGGTAGATGATTTCCTCGCAACATCACTAACATGGCAGAAGCTAGTGCCGTCATTGGCATCGTATCTTTTGGTATACAAGTTTGCGACGGCTTGCGAAGTTATTTGAGCGCTATAAATGGAAGACACAAAGAGCTGAACGACGCCTGGGAAGACGTACGTATCTTGGCTGAGATATTTAAACGTCTCAATCAAGCTGTCATAGAAACCCACCCACAGCGGCCAGACGACGCGGCTCTCTTATTACAATGTCTTCGTCACGCCACAAGTTGCCTTATCGAGCTGCGAGATACTGTAGCCAAATTGGCGAAATTACCTCCCGACGAGGTCGCCTCACCTCAAAATACTGGAGTTTCACTCCCACCAGCAGTAGGAAAGCACAAGAATAGTTTAAAGGAGAAGAGTAAGGCTATAGGGCGGGCGATCGTGTATAAGTTCCACCAAGAAGATGTAAGGAATCTCCGGCAGAAACTGCAGCACTTAACTACGTTACTCAACCTAGCAGTCCTCATCACTAACCCGTAAGTCTCGTTTATTTAGTGCGTCATCTTGGTGATTGTTTAGTGTAATGTGCTAACCATACTGAACTAGGAATAGAGATCGCCAAAGCATTGAGAGCCTCAAGGATTCAGTTTCAACGTTTAGTTTTAGTTTGGAATCCAAAGCCTCTGATATTCGTACGGCCATTGACTCTTTGCCATCCGCTGTCGATCTACAAACCACCATTCAGGAAAATGCCACCAAGTTAGATGCATTCAATCAGCGCCTTAGTTCGGATATTTCTTCAATCAAATATCATCTCTCGACTACAGAGCAGACGACTACCAATACCGCCCTGCAAATAAGCGCGCTAGGGGACAAGCTACGCGAGACGGACTCGAACTTGTCCTCCCAAAATGAACTTATGCTGGCACGATTCCAATTACTCGAGCGCGGGGTAACGGGGATAAACAACATCGTCGCGCAGCAGCAGCAAGGTCCGGATGTTGCCAAAAGAATAGCGACAGAAGTTACGAATAGGATCGCGAGATATCTACCACCGTCATCGCTCCGGCAGGCTTGCGATACCGTCTTCGTTCCTCCCATTATAGCTAGAGCTGATACCCAAGTAGATGTTGAGAATGCTCGGCATCCCTCCCCAAACATCATGCCACCCGGCTGCATATGTCAATGCCGAACGAGAACTACCTTAACCAGCACATATTCACATTCGCTATTCAACTTCACCGTTTTCTCCCGAAAGCAGAAGTTCTCTCATCGCGCACCCAACTGCCCTCTTCATGCCGTTGGGCAACGTGGAAATAGCCGGACGGCTGGGGCTCGTTTACATTTCCGAATAGGTTCATTCCTGAACAACCTTGTTGAGGTGGCCATTTGGTGCTCCACGGGCGCCGGGGGTTATTCCCTCGGTCCCTCGGTGAGATGGAAAAATCTAGTCTCTATGGAACTGTGTCCCGTACATAAAGAGATCCAAAATGTTTATCGGCGAATAATGGCTGGGAGCGGAATATCAGGAGCTAAGGAGGTGGCAGAACAGCTAGAGAGCTGCCAAGAAAAGGTCATCACGCTTTATCGAGAGGGGAGTGCGTCGGTGAATGATATTTACTATGAAGACGGACATAATCATTTACAGGTCAGTGAACTATACTCCAGACCTTTCCGTTAATGCTTTACCCTCGCCTCACGGGTATTTTATGGTGGTGCTGATGCTTCTTTTCCCTCAGAAATACCTTCAAACCCTAACGTTCATGTCTCATCTCGATTTACTGACCCCCGACGTGATGAATGCAGTTGCGCCTATGATACAGTTTTATATCGAAGCTGGTCTAAATTGCAAGGAGCAGGGCTGGCGCCCTACAGCGAAGAGTACATCTTATAGAAGAATACCTAAATTTCTACCACATATCAATAATTCCACTACACTCGCATTATCCACCGAAATACTAGTTCGATTTAAGGGACAGGCCACCGACCAAAGAGCTAAACTAATCTCATCCATTGCGCAAATCTCCGATCCTGAAGTTGAAGACGTTATCGAGGCGACGCCATATATGGATTCAAGGATCTTCTTTACTCATATTTTAGACCATGAAATATGTAAGCTAATCACTTTTCCCTACAAATTACTTCCAGCTTCTGATAAGTCGTGCAAATCAAGGTATGGATGTCTCCCCACTTGCACAATCAATCATATTAAGGTCGCTCGACGCCCTTGAATATCAGATCAAATTCTGCCCCGAGTCAGTGTTGCAGACAACCTACGGTCTGACTGCTCTCCACCTCTCTATCGGATGGCCGCAGGGGCTCGCTCGGCTATTGAAAACTGACGCCAGACTCCTTCTCGATACAACCTGTAACTTCGAATTGGGTGGTGGATGGGGACACAAAATCTGCCTCCCCTTCGGCTACGCGGCCGCAAACCAATGCCCACAGAGCCTCGATATTCTACTCGGCGCAGGTTGTAGCCTCTGGCCACAAAGGAATTCCCAACGTGAGGAACTATCATATGCACTGGAATCCACGTCGGAGGCTTGCGCCGAAATTTTTGCGTATCACATGGCCCAAAGGCGACGAGACCTATTATCAATTTTTTTGATAAATTTGGAGAAAATTCGGGAATTCGTCCCGATGGATCTAGAGAGAACGTACGACAGGCTAATGGAAAATCTTAGCAGTAATCCAGAGCATAAACCAGTTCTAACAGCGGAATCCGGACATGGTGAGAAAATGAAGGCACAGCCAGTCCTCTCTAGGACTGATGTCAAATCTATCATTATATGTCTCGACCATGCTAAGGTTCCCGTTTCGGCTGCGCTCCGAGATCCATCAAATAGTTGCCGTGAAGTATACCAATTTGAAGGCTTCCCTTTGCGTTTCTTTCCCATTTTCGCGAAGCACGGGTTTAGTCAGTACAACGCGCCGGATTATTATGGGTTGAGGCCATTAATGTATACAGATCGAGCGCCGTATTCGTTCTGGCAAGCTTCGTTGGGGGATAATATTCAGGATGTGCTGCCATGGTTGGTCGAGCACGGGTGTTTAGACGTAAAACCAGCCGAGTCAGAGGAGCAGCCAAGAGTGGGGTTGAAATTAAGTACTGCCGTTACAGGCTGGCATTATTTATCGCTAACGATGGTGATAAATACGTGGGGTTGGCAGGCGACCAGAGCGAAATGGAATGTGTCAAGGGCAAGCCAAGATTTGATGGTGCGCATTGCAGAAGGAGAGGGGAAAGTACATCATGATGGGTGTCTATGCTGGTGTACTAACCAGCCTGCACTTAATGGAAGAGGGGGTGGATGCTCGCCGTTCAGCTATTTGTGCAAACAATACATTTACGAGGAAAGTATCTATAATTTAGGTAAAGACAACTTTTGGCATCATTTATTCCGACATAAATGCAACGGTATCAGCAACGTTACTGCCGGTGAACAACCTCGAGCTTCCACTATGATACCAATATGGCAGAAAGAATTCATCCGTCTCCTCACCTTTGAAGCCCTCGAGATGACACATACATGCTGCGCATCTCTTCCGCTCTATAAGGGCTACGGGAGAAGGGGGATCTTCGAGTATCCTAACCCGGAAGAGGCACGACAGATTCGCGAGGACCCGTCCGAGAAAGATAAAGCTCAACAGCTAGAGAAGCTAATAGTCGAGTTTACGGAGCATCTAGAGCGGGGGACAGGCTCGCCACAAGAATTCGAGAAATTCATTTTCGGACCATGGCGGACGCGGATAGTGGATCTGTATGTCGTAAACATGGATGAAATAGAGAAAATGGGCAGCATCTTAGATAATATACAGACCTGTAAGTTGTCGTTTCCTCTGATGCTCATTGATATGGACAATTTCGCTCGGGGACCGCAGTACTGATTTTTAAACATTAGATGAACTCCCAGAACCACTGCAGAAGTTCTTCGGCGAAGATTTTCCATTCTTCGACACCAACGAAGATGTAAGCGAAGAGGATATATGGTCGGTGTGGTGTTGGATGTGTAATAGCTACAATCATTATTGATTTTCCTTTCCAACTTTCCTATTGTCAATCTGTATATACTTAGAAATACATATATTTCCAATATTTATTATCAATCATGTCATCATAAAATATCCCAAGCCTTTCTAGCCAAAACCCCAACCATCTGTCTATCCATTTACTTACTCACTAATTACCACCTAACAACCTTCTTCGGAAAAAACTCATCAATCAACTCCAAATAATACGGCTTCAAAACCTCTACATCCGGCACCCCATCACTCTTACTATACAAATCATACGGATTAAACGCTCTCACCGCCCTCAACATATCCTCATCCCCTTCATTCATCAACCCGCGATACGCATTCTCTTTATGCCACGCGTAGAACGAATGATACCGAATCATAGCCAGTGCTTCGCGGGGTAGTGTAGATTGATCGCGAACGACATGGTATAAATACTCATCATGACCCCACGATAACATCACATTATCAAGCCCACATCCGGGACTGTAGATACCGTATTCAGTACTATACACCGGATCCCGCGAATCCGGGTTTGCGGTAAAGGTGTCGGCGTACACGACCCGCGGGTCGAAAGCGCAGCCCACGGGAAACGTATCCCCGACGACGTCCCATTGGCCCTCGGAGCCGAAGAAGAAAAGTAGTTTTCCAAGGTCGTGGATTAGACCCGCGAGTTGCATCCACCGCGGCTTGCCGTCGCGACGGATGGCTTCGGCGGCTTGGAGGAGGTGTTGGACTTGTGAGAGGCTGGTATCTGGGTCTGATTCGTCGATAAGTGTGTCGAGTTTTTCGATCGCTTCCCATACTGTCATTTCCGCGCGTTGACGCGTGCGGAAGCGGTGCCGGGCTTGTAGGTTGTAGGCTACGGTTTGTTTGGCGTGTTGTTCGCGGTAGAAGGATTTCACGCGGTCACATGCTTCTTCGTATTGTCTGAATTGGGTTTTGTCTTTGTCCGCGTCGAATTGTGACTTGTCGTCAAACTTGGCTTGGCCTTTTAGGACGTTGACGGCGTCGATGTGGTCTGATGTCTCTTCCAAGTCGAGGCCATTCCGAGATGTGGTGTCGTCGAGGAGGGCCCCTGGAGCCATTGTGTGGGTATATGAAGTGGGGTATAAGATAAATTGAAAGGAGGAAAGGGGTATCTTGAGGTAGGTGGAGAAATCTTCAAAGGTGCTAGGTATTCTAAGTCTAGCATTCGAAAATTTCTCTTGACCTCGTCGTCTTTAAGGGATATATATACTCTGAGCTCCGTATAAATGGTATAAGAGTCGAGCGTCCCCACATTAGCTTCATAGATAGCGTAGGACAAATAAGGTGAAAATCGCCGAACATAGCTTCACCTAGCTTGGATGTACAAGGGTTCACCTCCCGCAACGAAACCAGGGACGCCATCCCTCCAAAGCCGGATCAGCGTCCGGCGTTCCGCTCTTTTTGTAGAAAAGGTAAAATCCTCCGACTTGAGACAAGATGTATGCATCGTCCACTGGACCGTCGCTCAGCACCCACATGCTGTGTTCAGGGTCCTCTAGAGGGGCGCAACGTCATCAAAACATCATTCGGTATGTATAGCCCTAGACCTTGATAGCCCCCCCACGCTGAATGGACGTGGCGTCCAGACCTAGCTGAGTTAGGTAATCCGGGGCGATGTTGCCGCTCATTCGTGAAGTCCCTCTGCAATCTAGTCTGCCACTTGCGTGTCATGTCGTCGCTTAACGAGTAAAAACTTCGAATTCGGGGTTAACGTGTTACTCGTTTTCTGGCACCCAACCCCATGCTTTTTTTAGCTGCTGCTGTATTGCTGCGGTAGGACGAGCATGCTCCGCTTCGGTCCTTTGAAGCATGTCGATTAGTGCATCTTGATCGGAGCGCTCGCCGAATTGGTCACCAACTAAATCGTCGTATTAGTTTATAATACATATTTCTAATTAATTAGGAATCCATACACATAGCGATACCCATACAAGCTGTAAACATGCTCGGCGGCGTCCACTGGTTGCAGATGCCAATGCCGCAAAGCTCCCTAACAAGGTTCTCGATACGTTCCTGTGTATGTATAAGTATGATTGAAGACTTATCTTCGTATTAATATACTCACCGTCATTTTTTTCATTGCCGTCCGGCGATTTGTGCCCACTTTAGGAATTGAGGGATCAAATTGGGTCAGGAATAGTTGTGCAAGAATATGGTGCTGAATCCCGATGACTGAAAGAAGTGAGCCCTCGCTTTATGCCGGTCGCACTAGATAAAATAGGTAGATTTATATACTCACCATGACAGCTAGAACCGTGCCAGACCTCCGGAAATGCCGAGGATCCCGTACGTTCCCTATAGAAGAATGGGTTGAAGGACGACGGTCGAGTGGCAGACCACTTCTTACATGCCTCATCTAAAGCGTTCCATCGACCAGATGTGAAGTTACCATCGCCAAAACAGAAGTTGAGCACATCGGCAATAAGAATGATCGCTCGGTTGGACCATGTGTAGTCGTCGGCTGCTTCGAAGGATCGGTCTACTATGTAGTGGTCTAGGGAAACTTTGACAGGTTGCTGTGTAATCACGGCGATGTAAATTTCTTGTCGTAGCCCTACCCAGAACGAAGCTGCGCTCAGGCTCCCTCGTCCCATATATTGGTCACCGGCATTGACGAATGCATGAATACCAAGCAGATGGCTATAGTTGTCTTGGCCCGTCGTCGGTACTATCATCTACCGTCAGCTACTAGTTTCAAATTTACTCCTAGGGTACCCATCTCACCATCCATTTCCTCGAGCATGCGCAGGATGATTGTTGCCGCAAAGAGATTCTCATCCGACACCGTCGAAGCGTGATCCAACATGGGAATTAGATGTTTTAGACATTCGTCGTGGTATCTATTCGAGGCGAGAGGGTCAAAATTCGTCGTGTGACTTAGGTGCCTCGCGGCTATGGCAAATATCGCATTTAAAAGGGTATGGGATACAGCAGCGCGCTCCGGTACGACGAGTTCAAAATGTCGACTTGGATCGCATAAGTCCAACTGCTGTAGTTAGAGGTCTGAATCTTTGAGAACTATTACCCACCACGAATCTTGTTTAGCTTACACAGATTGCCAACTTTTGAATGTAGTGTCGGAACAATAACGCTTCCGTCCGGTTTTTGAGCGGTAATGATGAGACTGCATGGAAACTCGATAGCGGGGCATTTCTCGGAGCAGACATACGTATGTTATTTCCGGTTGGGAGAGATGACACGTCGTAAGATTCAGTCGGCTTCGCTTCTGGGAATGCTCTATGCGAATTAAGTAGCGATGTCGACACCCCGTTACTAGGAAATAGTCCGTGAACTTTTGGTTGATTCCGAGGTTGAGTGATTCCAACCGACTCATTCCCGGGGTTACGTTCTCTTAAACCGGCGATCGCCGGAGGTGTTACGCTCGAGGAATTCGATTCCAGCTCTCCATTATAAGTTTCATCCACGTGGATTTCATATTGCGACGTATCCTCTAAGGGGCTTCCGGTTGTTAAAGATTGAGTCTCGTCGATATATACCACTTAAGATTTTAGTCAACAATTATTCTCATAAATATTTCAACGATACATACACTTCCTTGGCGGTCTAAGCCATCTCTGACCTCTACTGAACGAATCTACAAATATTCATTAGCCTAAGTTGAATTTGATCAGAATCTTATATACTATACCTTTAGTTGGTTTGAACTTGAAGCCTAGCTTGCATTCGCGACCTGCGCGTACACATCGACCGCATCTGGGAACCGAGCGGTCGCCTAATTGTCCGGGGTGAGTAATTAATTAATTTCATTATTCTCGGGAATACATCCGAGCAACTCAAGACAACTCACATTTTAGATGATGTTCACGACATGTAACGCTGTTTATTAATATTTACGTTAGCAGTTGAGTTGCCTTAATGTTTGTGTTAGAATATTGTATGCTGTATGAGTGTAGCTGTTCTATATCTACCAGCATCGGAGTCACATCAACTCCGACTACTATGGAAATGACAGTAAATTGGGAATAAAGAGAATAAAATGAAAGCATACCATGGCGTAGCAAGCAACTCGGTCTGCTCCGGTGAGGGCATTCGCAAGGTCGTCAAGTCATCGACAGCTTAACAGCTTAGCTAGCTAATAGTAAGTAGGTACTTAGTGCTCGGTATGTTTCGGTCAATGTCACCCGGAAAATCAAAGAAAAAACACCCCCCAATTTTGAGAGGATCATCTGGGCATATCTTGGTAAGAGATATGGGTAAAAACCGGCGAACGGGAAAGACGGGAAAGATCTAAAATAGCGTAAGCCTCGGGTTCGATGGGACGAGACACCGAAAAAAGACTTGTAGCGTAATTGGCCGGTTTTGTCATATTTTCTTGTGAGCATTTTTTTGATCTTTGGACTTTGGAGACTTTAAGAAAAAAGCTGGGACTAAGCAGAATTAGTCCCCCCTCCCGAAGAACGGCGAGAAAGAAGAAGAAGAATAAGAATAATGGGGCAATTGGTCAATTTCACGGGGTTTGGTTTGCTTGTGTCATACACGTATATACATGTTTCTATGTATTATGCGTGCATAATAATAGTGTATCAGCATAAATAATGAAGCTGACCATTATGTCAAAGTAGTCTGGCCAATCGACGACGACGCTAGTACCAACTTAATCGGGATTCTTACATGTACTGGACATGTACTCGAAGTCAGCTAGTCCCAAGTCAGGGGTTCATTCGCTGAGGATTCGAAAGAAAATTCCAATCCAGGCCAAGCTTTAAACTCTCTTCTAAGTGGTTCTGTGCCTTCTTCCCCGCAACTTTCTTCGCGCTATCATGAACGGTCCAAAGAAAAATACTACCCGAGCTAAACCTCTTATGGAGTATAGCGAGCCTGCCTCGGCCATCCTAGTGGATGATTTTCCCGACTAGGAAGGCTAGAATATTCTTACCCGGATTGCTTATTTTCTTTTTTATCTAAAAAGAGACAAGGGGCGAGTGAGAGAGTGAGAGCGAGAGAAGTCATCCCAATAATTGTTGTGCACGTGTGGTAGTAAATACCTACTACTCATGTATAGATGTGTTGTCTATATCATTTTCGAAAGATATAACTTAACTCATTCGCCGAACTGACATCAAAAGCCGATAAACACCTAAGAGGAAAAGTCAGCTATGGCTTCAGTACCGGAAAAGAGTATCGACGATGATGGGGTCGGGACGGTACCAACACCAGTACCAGACGTGGCGCTGAAAGAGGAACAAGAGGCTCAAGAGACTCTGAGCGATGTAATCCGAAACGCAAAGTTGGCAACAGAAAAGGAACACAGCATGACCCTGTGGCAAGGTCTCAAGCTGTACCCAAAAGCCATCGCGTGGAGTGTTCTCATCTCGACATGCATTGCCATGGAAGGATATGATGTCTCTTTGGTCAACAACTTTTACGCCTTTCCCCAGTTCAACAAGAAGTATGGCGTCGCGTTGACCGCCTCAGACGGCACGGTATCTTATCAAGTTCCGGCAGCGTGGCAGGCTGGTTTGAGTAACGGCGCAGTAGTGGTAAGTGAGAGCGTTGTATACTTCATCCATGCGCGTATGGCGTATATGTGGGCTTGTAAATTAAAACCACACCCTCACACCCCTTTTTTTCTTTTTCAGGTCTTCCCTCAAGGGTGAATCATTGGTTACTAATCGATGATGGCGCCTGTGTTTATACCTGAAATCTGGGCGTTTCTGCTGTGGAACCCATCCCATATCCGATAAACACACCACTGACTATTCCTAGGGCGAAATCATCGGTCTATTGATTAATGGCTGGGTGTCAGAACGATTCGGTTACCGCTATACCGTGATCGCGTGTCTCGTGCTTGTCATCGCTTTTACGGCCATCTTTTTCACTGCCCAGACTGTTGTGCATCTTCAGGTTGCGGAGATCCTATGTGGTATCCCATGGGGTGTCTTCCAGACTCTCACCATCACTTACGCATCCGAGGTTTGTCCTGTAGCTCTACGTGGCTACTTGACAACTTACGTCAACTTCTGTTGGGGAATTGGTCAAATGATCGGCATCGGTGTTATCATGGGCAATCTTTGGCGTACCGACGAATGGGCTTATCGTATTGTAAGATTCCCTTCCCTTCCCGGTTTCCTCCATTCTCCGGTGTGATACTGCTGACTAACCTGGAACAGCCGTATGCGCTCCAGTGGATGTGGCCGGTACCCCTGATAGTCGGAATATACTGCGCACCCGAATCTCCTTGGTGGTTGATAAGAAAAGGAAGACTCGAAGATGCTAAACGCTCGCTTCTTCGTCTTACTAGCCTTGATCGAGAAACGGATTTCGATGCCGATGAGACCGTTGCCATGATGGTGCATACTTCGGCATTGGAACAGAAGGTTGGTGATGCACACCATTCTTGGCTCTCGTGTTATTGCTGACCCTCTTTCGCAGATCACCAAAGGAGCTAGTTATCTCGATTGCTTCAAGGGGATCGACAGACGTCGCACAGAGGTATGTTTCAATACCCCTTTAGCTATACGTAATTCCACTCATTAAAATGTGATAGATTGTGTGCATGTGTTGGGCGATCCAGAATTTGAGCGGCAATTCATTCTCCAATTACTCGACGTATTTCTTGCAGCAGGCCGGTCTTAGCAATGACAAGGCATACTCATTTGCCATGGGTCAATACGCCATCAATTGTGCCGGCGTCTTCGGTGCTTGGACCCTGATTACCCTTGGTATTGGACGAAGGTGAGTCCAGCGATGTCTTTCGATGGTCCGGAATACTAATGTTACCCCAGAACCCTTTACCTGTACGGTCTTGCGGCTCTATTCGTCATGCTTTTGATCCTCGGGTTCCTTGGCCTGGCTAAGGACAGGGATGCTGCGTCGCTCGCCACAGGTAGTATTATGTTGGTGTGGGCTCTGTGTTACCAGCTGACGGTCGGCACTGTGTGCTACTCCTTGGTTGCCGAAATTTCGACGAGACGCCTACAGATTAAGACTGTAGTGCTTGGGCGAGTTCTATAGTAAGTTCTTTCCAGACGCGAAAGCCATGCGATAGAGTATAGAGGCTTACAAATCGCAGCAATATCGTCGGAATTATCTGCGGTGTTTTGACTCCGTATATGTTAAACCCCTCAGCGTGGAACTGGGGTAACTATGCTGGATTCTTCTGGGTATGTTAATTCATCGTATGTATGTTATTGTCTTTCCGCTAACGCATTCGTAGGCCGGATCATGCTTCCTGTGCTTTATCTACACCTACTTCCGCGTACCAGAGCCAGCCGGACGAACGTTTGCAGAGTTGGATCTGCTATTCGAGAAGAAAGTGAACGCGAGGAAGTTCGCATCGACCGATGTGGATGTATTCGCTGAACATATCGAGGGGAATGTGATGAAAGACTACCATGACCAAATCGCCGCCTCGAACATGAAATTGAAGACTCAGGGCGCTATGGGGGCTGTATCCTATGCGTGATAAACTCTGGGAGATGGTTAATTGAGACAAAGCAAGATGTATGTAGTTGGACAAGGTGATAAATGCTGTATATTAACAATATTTGTGTATATTTTGAGATGCTACGATTGGATGGCGTGTTAAATATCATAACGACTAGTTTATATGTATATGATTTGGAAATTAGGAACGCTGGGGAACAGCGAGAAGTGAGATGTGATATGTGCTGCTTTTGTACCGTGGTTGAAGAGTTGACCGGGGGTAACGGAATACGATAAAGCGAAATCCGCTCTATCAGTCGCATGGGGTAGAGGCCCTTCCATACTGTTGAATCTGCACGTTGGTTGCAGTATTTCACAACTGCATAGAATACGATTATGCAGTTGGTAGGGAGGTTTCATGGTCCGTGACACCTCGTATCTTTATTAGGTGACGAGATCAGGCCATACTACCTAGCTAGGTATGTAATCGGCTGTGGAACCGAGGCTCCGAAGATTGTGAAGATGTTTAATGAACTCGGACAGTTGATGCAACTCCTGAGAAATCGGAACAGCTTTTGGGATAGTTAGGTATTGAAGACGGGTTGATTAATTTTAGCTACAATGATACAATGTTGATGTTATGGACGGGCTGTGTAATATAATGTTTTACAGAGTGAAGCGAATCCTGCCTACGACGTTTGGTTATGAGAGGAGTCGTAACTTGTTACGTTATGTCGAACTACTTGGGCTCGATCGCTGTTGATTTGGGTTGTTAGTGAAGATGCTCTTCGGCCGCGACGCGACGTTTTAACGCTATTGGCCCTCCACTCTTGATGGCTATATCTTCACGCACCTGGGAATAATTCCATCATCCTTCCAAATGACGCGCTTCAGATTTAAGATAGGCGTCTAATATCGATTTGGCGAATATGGCACCTGGAGTGACCAAGCTAAGTGTATGAATACCTAGGTAGGCAGTCGTAGTCGAGGCTACCGATCCGGTAATTGCTTGGTTTCCATTTCTGCTGTGCTGTCTCGAACGGTTTGACCCTTCTTATACTCTTCTTCCAATGCCTTTTGCATATCAAAATCTAGTTGACGTTCCCTCTTAATACGTTGTTGTTCCATATCCCGCACAACACCTTGATGCATAGCCTAGAGACATATATGAGCTTTGGTTCGGTATATATGAACAGTATTTATCGGTGGAGATTGTCGCACCTCTTTCTCCATTTGCTGTTGGAAATGCACCATGATGACCGTACCGACGGCGAAAAGCGAAGTGCCCGCCAATGTGAGTTTTGAGGCGCGAGACATGTTGTCCGATACTTATATGTAGCGAGTGACTGGGTGAATCAGATTTGCTCGTTTTATACTATAATTCCATTGTACATTGGTTTTTTATATGATTGACTTCGTCCAGAATGAGTAGGCGATAAAATAAAATAAAAATGAAATGACTGAAGCTGCCCCTAAATCGAATGACGTTGGGGGGTCCGAATTCACTATCGATAACCAATTAACTGGGGCTTCTAGGCGGGCGGCATTGCTGTTTTTCCCTGGTCCGGGCTAGTAGCTCCACTGGAGCTTCATTGAGTTTGGTGCTACAGCGCCCCATCTTTGCTAAACAGTCCCCCCGGCTTTGGCCTGTGACCTTCGTCAGTGATCATTAATTGATCCTACTTACAAACTTCATTCGCCGAGCTTTCAACACTACAATCACTTACCTACCTACGCATCTTATAACCTATCACGACCACTCTTCGTTGCGATACTATATATCAGTCGGCAAACTCGAAACTATCTTGCCTTTGCTTTCGTCTAAACCCGCCTTTACGTAACTCGATCCTCTGCAACATAACAGGATGGTATGCGAGATTCATCCATCTAGAGCCCGTTTGGGACAAAGTGCAACTAGCTAACAGTGCTTATAGTCGGCCCAGAACTCGGCAGGCATCCAGACCCTTCTCGATGTACGCTATTATCCCGAATCGTACCTAAGAATCGAAGCACCATAGTTGCATCTGTATGACACGATTAGCTGACGAATAGCTCATAGGCCGAGAGGGAAGCTTCCAAAATCGTCCAAAAAGCCCGAGAATGTTAGTCCTATGCACCTCCCTTGCCACCAGCCATACAGCAACTAGGAGACCTAAAACTAACCCGCCGATTCAGTCCGAACCAAGAGAGTACGAGAGGCGCGAGATGAAGCCAAGAAGGAGATAGAAGCCTACCGTCGAGCGAAGGACGAAGAATTTAAGAAGTTCGAGGCCGAGGTACTTTCACACCGTCCCATACTACTCATGTCAACCCAACTGTGACAACCAGCGTCAGAAAATGAGAACAAGTAGCTAACGATATCTTAAAATAGCACACGCAAGGCAACAAGCAAGCCGAAGACGAAGCCAACCGTGACGCCGACGCTAAAATCCAGGAGATCCAAGCCGCCGGCAAGAAGAACCAGGCCAAAGTCGTCGAGGATCTGCTCAAGGCTGTATTCGAAGTGAAGCCCGTCCCACCATCCAAGTCGTAAATTGGTATTATGTCTAGCTAGTCAAGGGAATGGAGACCCTACGTTGAGAAAATACGATATCAGAGATAAGGCAGCATGCTATACACAATGAACGGATAGGTGCTCGCTTGCGTGTGTACGTACGTGTTTGGGGGTTGAGGCCGTTGTTGCATATATTACGCGACTGGTGTTCTTGAAGGGGGGGAACCTCGAATAAAGAAAGGTCGGTGTCACTAGCTTCAAGAGGCTTGTCTGTGTTCATAGAGGAAAGGTTCGAGGAAACCGTGCTTAGAAGCCGGTTTGATTTGCATTATTTATGACTGTTATTACATCATACTACCACACGACCAATCCCGTCTGTATCATTGTACGAACTCTACTAGCGTCGTGAGCATTTCTCTGGTATCCTTGCTCTCTGCATCATCGACGTCGATTCCTTCAATTTGCTCTTGTATCGTATCCCCAATGACCTTTAGCGTCTCGTCGCGATCTGCGAGTAACTTCTGTATCGTTTTCCTCGCTCCATCATCTTCCGCTATTAGCCAGGCTAGCACTACGTCCAAGGTCTGAAGGCAGAATAGGCCAGCATCAAGTCGCCTTGAGAACCACTCATCCGCCATTTCCTCTTTTTCTTCTGCGTTCATTCTACTTTGCTCCGCGCGTATTGCTTCATCCACTGAACTGAGACGCGTTGCGTACTCCCGTCTTAGCTTGACTAGCTTTTGCGTCTTCTCGTAGTCCTTCTCGACGAACTTAGCCAGTGTCCGGATTCGCTCCGCCGAATCAGCTGGTAACTGTCGTAACATAGACCCGAAAATGCCGATTAGGTGTTCTGTAGTTTGGTTGTCGTTGTTCTTTTTCATGAATAATGTGAATATGTTCTTCAACCCGCCAGCTTCCACTACTTTCTGGCATACCTCTGCCCCCGCTGTGCCTCCCACGGCGTGATCTAGGAGTCGTAACGCCGCACCCTTGCTCATCTTGCCCTCCTTCAACATTATTAGGCATAGCTCGACACCTTCGGCCTCCACGAACTTAGTCTTGCCTTCGGGTTCGTCCGCAAGGCAGGTCAGAGCCTCGAATAAATTCTCCATGTATTCTTCTTCCTCGCCTCCCTTTTCAGGATCGCGTTTTCGGTACGACGCGACTAGCTGTAACATGATATCCGCGGCGTTCAGGCTAGCCAGTTTCCTTCGGTTCTTGGGTGATGTTTGTACCAATATCGCGAGGATCTCAGCGGCGTATTGTTTATTCTGGCTTACGGTTGTCTCCTTAGCTTGTATTCGCCGTAGCAACAAATTCAGCAACTTCTCATTTTCTGCGACTTGCTCCGCTGTTGTCGTCCTCCCGCTGCATAGGTTCTCTATTACGCTTAGGGCGTAGTAAACGCCGCTTCGATCAACCTCTTGTGTCTCATCTAGCCTCTCAAAATTCGACACGAGGAGGCCCAGTAGATCGGCTTCTAACAGGGCGTCAACGAGGGCATTCCACTGGTCGTCGTCGGCTGACACATCTTCGTCCGTTAATTCGTTTATAATTTCGACAGCATCAATCGCGATATCTGTGTTTTCGTGTGCTAGTAGACCCACCAAGCTCGCGACACTCCCTAACTTTGCAAACTCTAGGTATAATTCTGGGTGTTCGGATAGGATAGACAAAGCTTTGATGTCGGTGTCGAGATCAGCCTCGCTGGCGATGAATTTCTGTGGTTCATCCTCAAACTTGGCGCGTAACTCGGCATTCTTATTTATGCGCTTCTCGAAGTTAAGGGCAATTCGGCGCAACCAGGCGCTATCGAATTTGTCGGGTGCCGCGTCCGCGCCAGGATCGGGATCGTCTACGTAATCTAGTACTTCATTCTCCTGAGCTGTTATGCCACCACCGTAGAATCTCCCCTCTTCATCGTCATCGGGTGGGAGGTCGGGGCCGTAGTCGCCATTTTCGTCGTCCGGTGGAGGTGCAGGGCCTGCTTCTACGTCATCGTCATTATCGCCGGCAGCCTCGTCTTCGACGCGCGCGTGTCGACTGCTGTGGCCATTAGAATTGGTGCGTGCCGATTTGTATATCTCATCTGTATCGCAAACGCGTGTTAACTACCTAGGTATATAGCAGGGGTTTGGAATGGGAAGGGAAGGTGATGCATACTAGGATCTCGAAGAGGTTCTAACTTTCGCTTGTTGCCAACGCCGGATGCCTATAATTCTAGGTTAGCTAAACGTGGAAAGACGCAATTGATATGTACATTTCGTTCTAGCTTACCTTGAAGAGTTCATCTATACTAGTCATCGTGCGAAGGATGTATATGGAAATGTGTTGTCGCGAAGGTTGAAAGAAGTTACAAACGAAGCTCTAAGAAATGTTAAAGAGCCCTGGAGCTTCTTTAATTGACTTTCTGTTCAAGGTTTGGAAATACAGTGCATATAAAGTGGGACACTAACTTTTTACTAGTGAATCCCGCCTTCCATACAGTCGGTATCACATGTTCACACAGTAGTTCTACTGTGGTTACACATTACACGCACGCAACTTCGCTGCTAAGTTAATTTGGACATCGGTAATACTTTATCAACTTCAACCTTTTCAACCCTTTACAACAGTAAGCCTAATCCAATTCCTAAGCATCTGCTTAGTACTCATAATTGGCTTCAATTAGATATCCATATATCATCATAGAGAGTTCTCTATGCTATCTAATTTTTATATCTTGTCTCTTTGTCGTGTTATATTCTTTCCCCCTCCTACCTACACTCAGTACCCCTCATACGCCAACGTGGCTTGAGATCCTACACACAATACAACCTTCGTTTGACACTACCCAGATACCGGTTTCCTATAAACCGATAGTCAATACTTTCTTCAGAATGCCTCCAACCCTCATACTCATTCGTCATGCTCAAGCCCGTCATAATGCAACTCGTCAGTTCACGATAAACACCCAGGCTATGAATTGCCTAGGATTTAATTCTAATTTGACCTAGAGGACTTTACAATACCCGATCCAGATTTAACTGAGGAAGGTTATGAACAATGTGCAGATCTACGGAAGAATCTCATCGAGAACCCGTTAGCTCAACAGGCCGAGCTCATAGTAGTCTCCCCTTTACGCAGAACTGTTCAAACTGCGTTGCGTAGCCTCGATTGGCTCATAGAAAAGGGCGTCAAGGTAGAGGCTGACGCGAGCTGGCAAGGTACGCCCACGTCTCCATTGCCTCTATTCTTTGATGGCCTCGTCAAAACTACCCACTAAATGAGCGCTTATTCTAAAACAAATTAATAGAGAATTCGGCTTCGCTGTGCGACACGGGAAGTCCTGTCGAAAAACTCGTAGAGGAATTCCCCGCCGTCGACTTCTCCGGCGTTGATCCGATATTCCCAGATAAGACTTCACCAGCGGCTAGCCAGTATCATTTCACCAAGACGGCTATCTTAGCACGTGCGCAAACCGCTTTGAAACGGCTATACGAACGCCCGGAGAAGATTATCATTGTCGTTTCTCACTCAGCTTTCTTGAGAGTAGCTGTTTCTGGCTATTGGTATTTTAACGCTGACTATCGTATCTTCGATTTTGCGCCTAGGAACGAAGCGAGTGATTTGTACAAACTCAAGCAACATGAGTCCACTGAAGTAAAAGGCGGCGGACTTGGTCGAAGCTGGATTGATCCCGTTATTATGGGCTCGGAATTACCAGTCGAAGAACCCGATGCCGACGGAGACGAAAACGGTCGTGGATATTAGTAAAGCATTTTCAACGATGCATGCGAGACCCAAGAACGATACTCAAATCATTAGGGCTCTTACTACGGCAATGCCACTGACTCTTTTTCGTGCTTCTCATTTCACACTTTATCATGAACATTACGCGGGGGATCGCAACAAGAAATCTTCATGGCGCGCCCCCATTGTTCTGCTTTTTCTTTACATAAATTCGCTACTCGGATACCACATAAGCTTCTGCCAAGATGCGGGCTTATTCGGGGGTTCCGCCTAACACTTAGGCCGAAATGAAAAACTGAGGCTGTGCATTCAGTATCCATCCTAAGGACCATCCGCGTCAAATATTGATGGAACACTTCATTTCAATTTTTTACTGGGATCAGTTCAGTTGGTGTAGAGCACAGGCTAGAAATTGGTTGCAAAAGCACCATCCCCAACAGGCAAAAGGCTCCTGTGCTGACACTGCACAGCCTCAGTCTTTGGTGATATGCAAACATGCACTGCAACTTCATTGGACAAATGTTCCCTATACGAGATCTGCGGGCCTAATACGATAGCGTTATGAGATCCTAATGCCAGCTGCATATCACAGATCAGCGTGGTTCCATTGGATGCTGACAGCGCAACATGAAGCCGTTGGGTCCGAAACGCCCACAAAATAGACATATTCTGAGTAGACCCTACCCATCCCGCCTATCCTGAGGCTCTCGTTACAGACAAGGTGGCACAGACGGCACTTTGGAATATATTCGCGGTTGTCGGCTCCTGTTGGCCGGCATTTGCACTTTGGTCTTATATTCCCCTTACTAGGTAGTTTTTGGAAACTAGTATACTGGTTGATGCAGGGGAACAACGTTGCCTATTCCAAACTATCCGAACTATGACCAGGTATTGAACATCTAATACAACTATAGCACCCCATACTTAGATGTATAATGTCACTTGCATTCCCGGCAACCTAACTCCAGCTTTTCTCACCCGCAATCGTACTTAGCGGGACAGTCAACTAATCGACAACATCTCACGACATACGCAGTAGAGATGTTGTCTGTCGCTCGTTTTCACTTATTATGGCTCGCTCCGGCAGTCGTACTAGGAGCTCTGGAAGTGGATTTAGATTCCGAAGGTACGTTCTTGTACTTTGTTGTGCTAATGATTTTCTTTTCTTAAATAGCTCGCCGCGGTTCAACGAACATGTAGGCTTACATTCATCTTAGACTCTATAAAGGCAGCGGCGAAAGAGGTCGCATATGACTTGATGAAATACTACCATGGCAATGAATCGGGTCAGATACCAGGTGTCCTGCCAGGACCGCCACCAGCCGGCGACTACTACTGGTGGCAAGGTGGCGCGCTTTGGGGTACGATGATGGACTACTGGCATTACACGGGGGACGAGACGTACAACGACGTGACATTCGAGGCGATGCAGTTCCAAGTAGGCGAGAATAAGGACTACGAACCGACAAACTGGACGCTTTCCCTTGGTAACGATGACCAATCCTTCTGGGGTATGTCGGCGATGCTTGGAGCCGAAATCAACTTCCGCGATCCGCCAGAAGGGAAGCCTGGGTGGCTTTACTTAGCGCAAGCCGTTTGGAACACGCAGGCAGCGCCGGATCGCCACGATGACACTTGTGGTGGCGGGTTAAGGTGGCAAATCTTCCCGGGAAACAATGGCTACGATTACAAGAACAGTAAGTTACCCTCCCACGCTCGCTATTCTCAAAGTAATAGCATAGTAATAAGAGGGGGGGAGCGATTGACAGAAGGTGTCTTGTTGAATAAGAATATCCAACTAATGTGAACAATCAGCCATTGCAAACGGGTGCTTCTTCAATATGGGTGCCCGTCTAGCACGGTATACGCATAACGATACGTACGCGCAGTGGGCGATTAAGACGTGGGATTGGATTATGGACATGCACTATATCGACGATAAGTGGAATGTGTACGACGGCGGTCACATACCAGCAAATTGTACCGACATCAACAAGCAGCAATATTCATACAACGCGGCGGTCCTATTGTTAGGCGCTGCTTACATGTACGACTACGTAAGTACCTTGTTGTCCACAAAATACATCTCGACGCATCAGAAATGGGAGTAAATTTATAGTAAGAAGCTACTAACGTATGGAAAATAGTCCAATCAGAGCAAAGAGTGGGAGGACCGCGTCAACGGGCTACTCGACGGAATGGAACGAGTCTTTTTCATAAACGGAACATTATATGAGCCCAGTTGCGAGGGTGGGATCTGTAAAGCCGATATGTTGAGTTACAAGGGCTACGTACATCGATGGCTAGCGGCAGCTACACAGGTAGCGCCATTCTGCAAGGATCGCGTCTTGAAACTGTTACGATCTTCAGCCGAAGCCGCCGTCAAGCAATGTACGGGAGGCGACAATGGGCGGCAGTGTGGATTTCACTGGACCACCCGCGTATACGATGGACAAACCGGTGCTGGCCAGCAGATGGATGTTCTTGGCGCATTGTGTAGTTTGCTCACTGCGAATGCTAAGGCCCCCGTAACTAACAGTACGGGAGGTACTAGTGTTGGTGACCCTAACGCCGGATCCCGTACGACGTCTCTTCCAGAGAACGCTGAAATTACGACAGGAGATCGCGCCGGTGCGGGTATCTTGACTGCGTTTATACTTGCCACGACGATTGGAGGGGCCGTGTGGATGGGTTGGGACTGATTTGATCTACCTATCTAGGCGCTTGGGTGTTTACGTGATTCGTTGCATTAGATTTGTTTCATTTCGGAGTTTCTTATGTCTCGGAGAGCGGAGCGCCATTTTGCATAGCCATATATCGCGTTGACTTGGGTCGCGAGAACGAGAAAAAGGAATAAAACCTTCACAATATCAAAGGCAGGTTGGAATTCGGCGTCTACTTTCTTCAGTTCTTGGTACGAGTCGGACTTATCTTCTTGCTACAAGCGACCGAGTTCGTGTACTTATACGTGTACATATTCTTAGACAATCGTATTGGCATCTTAAGGAGTTAGTTGGGTCAGGCCAAATCGAGCATAGCAATACACATTAAGGTTTTTAGAGATCGTCGCAGTTCCCAAGAAAGAAGAGTTTATGGTTGATAGGTAGATTATCTATCAAGTAGATAGTGTGATATTTATCACAATCCACATCATCGCCTCAGGCACCATATCGGCACTGTGGGTGGTTGCCTGGGAAGTCATTGCCCTAGGACCCATATTAACTCTTCATCGGAGTTATCTAAAATCTCCACCTATCATCGCTGACCACGTCGGCGCCTCACCGATGATATACTGTGTCTTATTACCACCGCGACGCCTCGTCATCCGGCTCGTTGCGACCACCCGCCCACTCGTTAACATCATTGTCCTGTTTGTCGTTACCCAGCGATTCGCTACCATCATTTGCATCATCGGTAGTCGATGGACCGCTGGCGGCCCCTTGACTCTGAGGAGTTTGCGGGCTCGATTCTATCCCCGAATCCGTTTCTGGCTCTGGTCCTTTGCGCACGAGTTTTGTCGAGGTAGGTGTTCGGGATTTCTTGTACTCCTCGAATTCACGTCGGAATTCATGTAGCTCGTCGCGTAATCCGATGATTTGAGCGCGTAGCATCTCGATTTCTTCGTGTTGACCCGCTTGTGGTGGTGTCGGATCGTTCCACCCCCCCTGTTGTTGGTGTTGATGTTGGTGCGGTATATGGCGGCGCCCTCTACTACGCGATCTTTCGCTGACGATGGAGTATCGTTCCCCGTCGTCGGGGTCGTGGCAGTCGTGCCTGTTAAATCTGCGGCGCGACGAGAAGCCCGTGCCGCAGATTGAACATATGATGAAGTGTGCGGGGGATCGGGCGCGTGATGGGGAACGTGAATAGTTGTTGTTTATGGTTAGGTTGAGGCCTGGCTCGTTGAGGTAGGGGGTACGGTTGCTTGATCGGCCTCGTTGGGTGACTTCGTCGTTGAGGGCTCTGGTGAGCTGGGATAGTCTGTGGCCGAACATGGTGGAAGTTAGCTATTGAGCAGTGAGACTTTTTCACGGCCTGTGAGAAAAGGGAGAGAAGGTTAGTTGGCGGTAAGGAGTGATGGCACGCGTGTTAAGGAGGAGTGGTAAGCGTTGTACTGTTGCTGGTTCTGGGTTGGATGGTGTTTTGTCGGATAAGATCGATCTTATGTGGTTCTTAGGGGGTGGTGCTCTGATAATGATAGATGAAAGATCGAAAGTTAAAAAGCGTAAGATGTATGTTCATTTATAATACAGAGGTAAGCATCACCTTAGGCATTGGTGGTTACTAGGGAGTCTTAGGGCCATCATTGATCAAGGACCTCACATCGTTCCTCTAGCAATGATGCCTTAGATGATGGGAAATAGGCCAGACTATCTACTCTACGCACAACTACCCTCTATTGGGCTAAGGGCACATACATGCTTAGGCAAACAAGGGTCTAACTAACTTAATTGAATAAGTATTATCTACAACGCCTAGCTCAATAAGAAAAAAAAGTTGACGCACACGAGAAATCGAATCACGACCTATCCAGAATAGAACCAAATAATATTTTGGACAGGAAAACTTAAGAGGGGCTATTGGGAGTCCTTGAGGAGGATGAAGGTAAAAAATAAAAATAAGAAAAAAAGGTAAAAAAAATTGATTCGAACCGGGTGTCTTGGCTAGTTGATTGGGAGGGTTGTACTCACTGGTCGTCTGGGTTATTGTTTGTTAGTACGCCCGCCCTCCCGCCTGTCTGTAAGTCAGTCAGTCAGTCAGTCAGTACGTTCGTCTGTCAGTAGGTACGTTTGTTCGTCAGATGTACGTCCGTTCGTTCTTGTCCGTATGTACGTCCGTAGTCCGTTCGTCACCGACCGCAGTTGTTTTGCCTGGATATTAGTTAGCGTTGGAATCCAATGGAATTAACCACTAGACCAAGACACCCGATCCGGTTCTGATTTCTTGGAAGATAGAAGTTAGTTATTCATTATATGCCTTGTGTTGGTTGTCTAGGTAGTTATCCCACTAGTGTGGCGCGTGGCAGGTGTCAGGTTAAATCGCGGCAAACCATCCAGCCACGATGACGCGTCCAAGCATAGAGGTAACCTTTTCGACGCGTCCCTTCCCGTTCGCGTAGCTAGGGAATCGAATGTCACGTTCTGCGTCAATCGAATCAACCATCGTGAAGGGTACCAGCCTTGATCGCGACTAGACCCCGCGCAACTCGTGCCCATGCACAGCATCAACCCGCAAATATAATCACGTTCACCGATTGATAACGCAAGGGTTATGACAGGTCGATGTATTTTTATTAATCTGCAATTACCAAAATTAATAGCATCCCGGTTGAGCTTACAAAACTTGAAGACAGCCACCTCCCACCCAAAACCTCTCACAACAAGGCCACACCAGCCGCAAGACCAACAGCCACGCCCATGGCACCCTTTACGACCGCTGTCGGCATAGCTGCTGCAGCCTGAGACACACTAGAGGACCCAGCTCCTTGTGAGCTTCCAGCCGAGGAAGAAGACTCACTGCCGGAGCTAGTACCACTGCTCGTGCTTGTTCCTAGTGTAGTAGTGGTAGGTGGTGTCGTGATAGTAGCAATAGAGGATGAAGCGCTCGCAGTGCCAGAAGCGGATGCCGTAATAGATGCCGAAGTGGACGCAGGGCCGGAACTTTCAGACGAGCTGGCAGTTGCAGCAGCACCAAAACCTGGTAGAAAACTCGGCGAGTAGGTAGCGGTGCCTGAGTAATCGGCACAGCCCGGGACGGTTGTCTTCGGCGGAGCGCGTCCACCTCCACAGTCCAAAAACTCGCAGATCTCACCCGTGTCCGGGACGTACCAGATCAAGCTAGCGCCACCATATTTAACAGTCGCTGACGAGACGCAGCCTGCCAAGTCAGTTTTGGCTGCAGCCTGTCCTGCGAGCAGAGCGGCCAGCAAGACCGTGGAAGATTTGAAGGTGGTGACGAGCATGACGTTGGCTTGGCAAGGAATTGGTGACTAATCAGAAGTAAGGATTCGGAGTTCGGGTGATGCCGTGCTGCAGTGTAACAAGAAAGCCGGGTAAGGGATCGGATGCAGGAAGCGAGAACGAGCGAATGGACGGCAGTTAGTACTACCCAGATGATGCAACTGCAACCACGAAAGGAAAGATTTGCAATTTATAAGGAAGGAAGAATCGAGGGAAAGGAAGGAAATATGACATTTCTTTTTAGCGCTGCTTCGCTCCGCCTCACTGCACGGTCCCTTGTCTCAAATTTTGCTTATATGGATACTTAGGTACTAGGTACTTCATGATTAAGGATTAAGTTAAGCTTGCAGAACCTCGGGAACTACTGTAGCCAGGCAGCAGTACGCGCTAGTCTAACGCCTTTTTTTCTACTCTAGCAAATAAGAATTTCAGAATTTATGTAACGTTAGTAACACTTCTAAGTAACAGATGAAGGACTAGTACTAACTTAGTATAACATCGGGGCGCCACCGGCATCTGAAGGCGTCCTCATACCATACATTTACGCCTCTCAAAAAAATACGAATCCTACGGACACTCTTGGGGTATCTGGTACCACACTGTGTTAATAGTTATTTGACACAGCCCTTTAATCTGTACCAACTGCGCTTGTTTCTTTTGTGGTATGCTACCTTCGTATTATAGGGGCCGTAAAGTGGGTCTACATAAAAGGGGTTCTTGTTACGATCCAAAGCGGTTAGACTCATCCGGAGATACTATCCAGAGATACATCTCTACAATCCAAAGTCTCTTCAATAATACTGTTTATGTATTTCAAACATATGATAGGGCTTTACAACCGTCTATGTACCTAGGTACTTAAATTACCTACCTAGAGATACATTGTAATGTGATGATAATCTACCTAACATTATCTTACATGCCTTATTAGTGTAGGCTTTATATCACCTCTGTATCCTAGGAGGTGTAGCACTTTAATTTACAAATGGTTCATTAATTTGCAATATATCCAATGCTATATAATTTGTATAAACTTTTATATACTATGGTGGATTTCTTAATTAAATCAATATTTATTTTAGACCCGGTACCTACGATTATATGGGATTTAGGCGCAACTGAAAATATTTCGGTAATTGCTAATTACTATACCATTTGTAAATTAAAGCACTGCATCCCTGAGGGGGTGCAGGGTGATATAAAGCCTGCATTAGTATGTTTTTGATAGGATGTTATCTCGATTTTTCACCTATATGTAAGATTTTATTCTCATTTAAAACATTGTTATGTATTACAGTAACGTTACACTATCTTGGTTTCAAACACAGATCCTCTAGTTCCCATACTTAAATCCTACAGTTAATCATATATATCGTCCTCGTTTCCTTTTGTCATGTATACACTCCGTAAATCCTGTATCCCTGAAACCTTCTTGAGTCCACCACCACCGGCATTTCGGCGGTCTGGTCCTACCAGGTTCAATTCTGACTGCACTTGGCTATAAGTTGAATCTGTAACCGAATCTACACTTAGATTTGCTACGAGAGATTCCTCCTTTGATGGCATTTTCTGTATTGCTGCAAGCATTTCATCTTTGAAGGTCTCCAAATCGGAGTAATCGTCTTCTGAGCCGGACCATCCCAAACCTATCTCTATCGAGCTAGCGCTTTGCAGCGGCGAACTGCCTATTGTAATCGGTTCCACACTCCCCTTCGCCGCTACCGTGCTTGTCGTTTTCCCTCCCACGCTTGCTGGTGATGTTCCTATGCCTGCCATTCGCACATCACTAATCGTTTTCTGTTGCTTAGTCTCTGAGTAATCCAGAGCAGACGGATATCGGGGTTTGCGCCTTGGATTGCGCCATGGGGGTAAGGCAGCAGAAGCAGCAGGCGGGCTAGGCGACGAGTATATAGGTGTATGCTGTTGCGGTTGCGGTTGCGATTGCGGGGGTGTTTTGGGCCGTACAGGCGACGGAGACCGACCTACACGATATCGTCGAACCGGTTTGGTTTTAGTAGCTGTTGGAAGTTGAGATGCATGCTTTGGTGCAGCTGTTGCGAGTGGTCTACGCTGATGTCGAGGCGCTACAGGCTTGAGAGCAGAATAATACTGCTGTGTATTATCCTGTGGCTGATGCCCTGAAGGCCCAGAAGGCGGGTATCCGTACGATTGTGGTCCTGGCGCCGGCCCGACCACTTGATTCCATGCTGCATCCCCTCCTTCCCAGTATGCCTCGTACGGGTCAGACGGAAAGGGGGGGTCAGTGAAGTAATCAACGTAGAATCTTGTTAGTAGATCGTCACTTTCGTTTAAAGCCGGAAACCTTTCAGGGTCCGGAGAGGCCTCCCCTTCTTGTCTGTCTAATTGTTCGATTCTAATTATTGTCGTCTCAAGGAGTGCTCCTAGGTCCGGACGTTGATTTGGGCTGTCAGCCATGCAAAGCGCAACTAGAATACGTAGTTGATGATCGACCAACTCAATGAGCTCCGACGGTCTGTACTCAGTACTTGGTAGTAAAGGCCAACCCCACGTACTAAATGTAGCAGGCGGCTGCTCAGTTACGCGATACCGAGGTAACCAGCCTCGGCTTGGTGTTCTTAATGTTATGAGATTGAACATAGTAATCCCAATCCCATATATGTTCAGCGCCGGTCCGATCGGATCTACACGCGCCCGGGTTGGGTCGAGTTGTTCCTAAAAAAAAAAAAAATACGATGTAAATTACAGCCATAACAGCGAAGGAGCATCATATAACATACAGGTGCTAACCATGTCTAATAACGTTTAGTATGAGCCGGTGTATAAGGGTCAACATCATTATTACTTACGGGATTTCCATTTTTAATTTTCAACTCCTTACTGTGTAGGGGAGAAATTAGCTACGGGTGTTCGGTCAAAGTTAGGATTGGTATTTTCATACGTTATGTCGCTCCAAGAGTCATCCCATAACGTCGCCGTTGAGAAGTTAAACAACTACAATATAACCATCGTCAGTAGTCTGTGTTTAGACGAAGTGAGAAGATGACAGACCTTAAGAGTTGGATTAAAGACATGTTCTGTGTCAACATATGGGTTGGATTTCTCTCCGATAAGAACTGTATATTGTTAGCTACAACGTATTGTTGTGTGGGAATGTTGGCGGGACGTAACAGTTTGATGGGTTAATATTGCCGTGTATTGCGAGTTGCGGCCCCGTATCCATTGCTGGTATACCTTCGCGATAAACTTCTACATCCTCGGATCGAGGATAGGCTAAGCCGGCTATGGATCTGAGCACTGGAATATGTCAGTGGCGTGACTTGTGAAAGCTTTATATTGGTGGCCACTCACTGCACAGCAAAAGTCTCCATAGTATACGGTTTGGAATATATTCCAACCTATGCTGGTACCCTGGTTCTGGGTGCGTCTCGTTCCACCATCTTGCATGATTGATCCTTTCAATAAGGTCCAAAAGACTGCATTTCTGCAACGCTTCCATGACGATCACAATGGGAATTTGGCTCGTCGTGTTATAGAATGTGGTTCCTACGCGATACCGTACATGAGGTTCCATATTAACGAGCTGTACGATGTGCTCGTGGCCCTGCAAGGCTTCCATCCAATCATAATCATTGCGCGCCGCTACAAGGTGTTGGTTCCCGGACCACTGTTCCTGTAGACTCTGTGTAGGGGTGTTTCTTTGTATGGGAATTTTCATAGCTATGTCCTGAACTTGGGCGCCTACATCGTTGTGTAAAGACCACTATACAAGTCAGTACTAGGTTTCCGAATAGATTTGAAATAATTTACGTACGATTAACGTCATTGCATATTCGTCTATACGGAAAACTCGTTTGTATCTTAAGCTGCCACGGCCTTGTTCGTAAGCCTCAAAGGTGCTTTGGGCCTGAGCCCGTAAGGCTTGAGCTCGCTTGAAGTGATCGTCCAGTGATACCTGATTTTGATTCGAGTCTAAGTGTAGTACTAAGAAGCAAGAGATTAACATATGATCTTATAGATACCTTTTACTACACTTACATCCAGGGAAAACGTCAGTCTTCCAATAGGATCCTAAATTTCTCAACATTTCGGCCATTTTTAATTCCCCTTCCTATTTCAATTTGTTATATGTTAGTTCGTACTTCTGAAGTTTCCTTTTGGGTCGCAAGAGACAGGTATGATCATTTACAAATCTACGAAACATTTTTAGTAATGTCAAACTTACTTCCTTATAAAGCTCATTTTGGGGTTTATTGGGTGGGTACTGAGAGAAAGGAAACAATGAGCAGCTCATCAATGATACCGGAACTAGACATAGAACGTGGTGCTCTTTGTATTACAAATATAGGGGAGGATAGAGGAGCTACAAGATACGCTCAACTAGATAATTTTCTTTATGCGCAGGGACATCATCAGAATAATAAATAAACAGAAATAAAAATCCAACCGAACATAAGATCGTTGTACGTATCAAACCGTAACCGTTTTCAGGGGTCCCATCTGACGCCCTTGGGACCTTTATGTCGTTATTACCGACGATAGGATTTTTGAATTTATGAATTTATGATGCTTTTTACTACTGCGGTGTCGGCGTCGTGCGTCTGTGGTGGCTGTTGAAGTTACGCCATTCTCCCCAATCAAGTCTGCTATAGTGAAGATCGAGGAGCGCCACGAGGATGCACAAGACTAATGATTGGACGACAATCTAATTGTTTCGGATCTATGATTAAATAGGTGTAACGTGAGAATATACACATCAACTTGTATTCGTAGGTACCTAGGAGGTATGTAACACAACCCCCATTCATCATAATCCAACCCCACACCCAACCCCCCGAATTTCTAGATACAATCAGCTCCAATGCCTATACAAGATGACTTACGGAAAGAAAGTTTTCATCGTTGGACCTGGGTTTATCGGTTGGAGTGTGCTCGATGAGTTAGTCAAGGAAAACTATACAATCACTGGGTTAGTCAGGAGGCAAAGTTATGCTGATCAGATCGAAACTTCGGGAGCAGAGACAGTTCTTGGGGACTTAAACGATAAGCCTTTACTCACGAAATACGCCGCTGCTCACGACATCATCATACATACGGCTACCGCAGACCATCTCCCAAGTGTAGAGGCTGTTTTAGATGCCATCCAACAACGAGCTGAGCAGGACCTCCATACCATTTTCATCCATACCTCCGGGGTATGCGTGGTTGACGACAAGGCTAAGGGAAACCATAAGAGTGATAATGTGTACAGCGATAGCGTCGCGTCAAAGATAAATTCAGTTCCTAATGATGCCCCTCATCGACAAGTCGATCTCGCCATCCTTAGGGCACAAACCCAACTTGGTGAAAAGGCCAAAATAGCTATCATGATCCCTCCAACTATTTACGGCCTTAACCCAAAGCACGGTCGACTCTCAGCCCAGATCCCGACGCTCATTCGTTCTGCCCTTAAGCACGGGTACTCCGGACACGTGGGTACCGGCCTCAACGTCTCAAGTAACGTCCACGTGAGCGACCTAGCGCGAGGTTACGTGGCACTTCTACATCACCTAGAGTCGACACCAGCCAATAATCCAAACATACTCAAGAACCCTTACTATTTCTACGAGGCTTCTGAGGAAAACGAACCAAGCTTCAAGGATATAGCCGTGATTATCGGTGCGGAACTTCATAGGTCTAAGCTTATTTCGGATCCGAACCCACGTGCCTTCCCACCCGAGACCTACGGAGACCTATTCTCACACTTTACGGACGCCATGTTGGGACTGAGTAGTCGATGCCGCGCTGTTAGGCTACGCCGACTAGGCTGGAACCCTGTTGAGAAGAGTTGGAAACAGAGCCTTATACAGGACGAACTACCTTTTATCTTGAATGAGAATGTAGATCGTCTGGCATTTAAAGGATATTTAGGGAACATACCTTCCAGTTGAAGTATGGGCTAACTACCTAGGTATGTATGAAATGAATACCTACGAGATCATGTACCTCAGTAGCTAAATATGAACCATAAGTAGCAATCAAAATATTTGCGAAATAAATATGCTAATATACCTTTAAGATCAAATATGACATTGATTTCTTGAAGATGCATGAGGCAATGAAGATGGAAGCACCACGATATCGCGTGTTTTCAAGCGGTAAATCGCACGGTGTGTCCCCAATCGCATTATCCAGATAGTAAAGTGCTTCCACGATGTTTGCCATCAACCATCGCAAACTCAGAACTCTACATGGAAGATACCTATCTATATGGATACAGTGTGAGGGCAAGGTATCTAGGAGGTACTATGTATCTTAGTTCCTTAGGAACCTACCTAGGTAGGTATGCATGGGCCACAACCTCAAGGAGATGTTATACAAACTATTTAGTTTGTCTTAAGCTACGTGTAGCGATAAAGCAAACCCCTTAGGTATCGTATTATAAATATCAGAATGCGAGCCGCACCTCCCCTATTCTCAAAATATTTCTATTCTTCACTTTGCAATAGATATCGATGCTAGATACTTAGGCAACTAGGTCGGCAGCTGGGTGCAAATCACATAGGTGATATCAAGTGAAAACCCCCGCAGGATCTGACTGGCCATGTGACTTATGGCTGTCTATGGCCCCTTAGGGGTGCTAGAATATACAGGTACTTGCATTCAATACTGTACGCGAACAAGGATGGCTGGTTATCCTTCGGAGGGGTGTCGAGTGCCTTCCTCGTTTTTCACCCTTAGTCACTACGCGCAAACAACATAAACTAATACTCGGAATAGTGTCAGATCCACCCTTGTCACTGCACACTGTCCCCACTAGCGCGAATACAGTGCAAGGTCAGGAAATTCCAGTTACTCAAGCTACGATGAGTGGGTCAAGCGATGATATGGCACTGTTCCCGGGTATACGATCACTAGGGAGATGGTTTCTATATGAATGTCCATCCATATTTTCTCTTCTCTTTTGGTTTATAGAATACTCTTCCTCTCCATCTACAACTGAGTCACTCACGACAGTCTTTCTATCTTTACCCACGTACCTTCTAGCAACCGGTATTCGATTCCAATAGCATCGACACCCACATCAGTGCACGATATTTCATCCAATCCTTTCAACATGCCTATAATCATTGCGTCTGTATTTCATGAGCTTAGCCGGGCGAAGGCCAAGATTGATGAGCTTACGCGCCTCAATCATGAGCTTGAGGTCGAAAACTCGCAGCTAAAGACATAACGTACCCGTACTAAGGCCAGAACGTCGCCAACAAATAACTCCACGAGTCGACTGTACAAGAGGTTATCTCTAGAGCACAGTTGCTTCTCGTAATCGAAGCGATAACGAGTCTCCCACGAAAAAACAACAACAAAATACGCCTATCAAAATAGGGCTCCCGTCCCCTAAGCCTTATAAACCACAACAAATACGAATGTTCAAGCCAAACGTCCTATATTGTTATGGTGACTCCTACAGAAGCACTGCTGCAGAAATGCCGCCTGGATTCAGAGAAGCAGCGATTGATTGGGACTATCGCCGTCCCGATCCCGTGAACAGGTTACCGGAATCATGGATAGGAACATGTTACAGCACAACACCCTCACCCACAGCTACCGAGCAGCCTTCCAGCGAAACGCCTCACAGCAGCGATAGCGATAGTGAAGCGACCGCCGTCGAAGATGTTACGGTGGAGATAACCGTATATAAGTGGTACTGTCCACCATACGCAACATAATGAAGTATTTCACTTGGGATTCGGAACTGTCTACCGTAGTAGCTACTTGGGTAGATACCACTTTTTTACACCATTATTTTTTTCTAAGCTCTCTAAGCGTGAAAAACAGCAAGAGTCCTAACAAGTAGTTATAATATTGTTCACATTTGAGGCTCTACGTACAATTAATATTTATATATACACCCAACTGAGAAGTACCTCCCCCCTTTCTTACTTGGTTACATACAGACCCATAGTGTGTGCCTTCTAACCGGCGAAGTACATAGTGTTTCAAGAAGCAAAGAAGTATATCCTGAATTACGAGCGTATATTTCTAGGGCTTTTGGAAGTCTGATTTGAATCATCCTACAGTCTAGATCGCTATGACTACTACATAAAGTACGTCTAAGATCTAGCGGTGCTCTTTGAGGACGAGTGCAAGGCCAAACGACTCCGAATGCTCCGGGACCTATTCCTAGCCGAGGTCAAATAAGAATACGACTTACTAGAAAACATGTCATTTTTGGCTGAGCTTCCAGGGGCTGAAGAATACGCTCTATACCAAACGAGGGTGTTCTAACGTAGCTTAGAAGATTGCTGGGACGATAAGGACGATATAGCCCCAGCCCTTAAACGTGCTAGCCTCGGCTAGGACAGAAAGTGGGCTACCTATAGAGACCGAGAGGAGGCAGTTCTATACTTTAATATGAAGAAGAAGAATAGGGAGGCGATGGAGAGGTATCAGAACGGAGAGGCGGACCCCAACGGGACCCAAGATACGCGTGAGGAGGCTGGGCCCAGTAATCCTTAGAATATGGCTGGAGACGCTGGCCCTAGCGGTATCTACGGAACGGAGGGAGTCATCAACGAGGTTCCTGCCGAGATTTCAGTTCCCACAGAGTCCAGCGCTAGTGATCCAAGCAACGGAGTGTCTTTTGGAGATGACTGCATAATTCCACGCTTATCAGTGAGATGGGTATAGAGAATATTGGATAGAGAAGGCCAAGACATTATCCAGTATAGAAAACTAAAAATGAAGAGATACTAGGATATTCTGGATTTAAGCATAATGCACTACATCTTACTATTCACCTACGCATAGTGTAATGCTTTATCTAGGCTATAATACTGTGCCATTTCCTGTAATGATACTACTTTTCACCCTTCCATTACTTATCTATCTATACGCAAACAATATTAGTAGTACCAGACACTTCCTTCAGCGATTTTTACTGTCCCCACTACCGCGAGCACAGTACAGAATCACAATAGTACAGTCACTTGAGCCGTAGAGGCGGGTCAAGCCACAATGGCACTGTGCTCGATTTTACCACCACTCCTGGAGATTCTTTTCTATAAAGGATACAGCTCCTCTCTGTATAGGCTTCCTCTTCGTGTACAGAATTCCTTCTAACACACGAATTTCTCTACAATTCGACCATAACGACTCAACCGCGATCACACTCGACAACAATAACTCTCGACGTCATTATCGCTCAGCGTTGGCCATTTCGGATAACCATATATCCAAGAAAAGTCTTCGACTATCACTATAGCGAAACTGGCTATATATAATCAATTCTAAAAGAATACTATTCCTACCATCGTCACCATGGTGTCACAAACCAACCCTTGCATTACAATGAACGGAGAAGGGCCAATCACGGCAAAACCCCGGATGGGGAATTTCTGCTCTTGTGGGGTGACAGAGCAGAACAGAGCAAGTCAGAGCAGAAAGGGATAAAAGAGGAGGATATTAAACTATATAAACTACCAAAGATTCCCTATGTATCCAGTCGCTCTTTCCATAGCTCTTTAGTTATCAATCTAAGACTATTCTTTCGAGTATAGTGAGAGGACTCCAAGCCTCTCTGACGAACAGAACCTATTTGATCACTTGACCTACTATTGATACTGTTACCTTCAAATCAAGACACCCCGGATTAGTCAATCCAGCAACAACTATACCTCTCTGAGGCATAGGTTCGTCACACATGGGCAAGTCCATTGGTTCGGCAGTATGTGTTTTTCAGTTTTTTATTACCCCTTTCCACCTATATCACGAGTAAGGATTTCCTCCCCTAGAGTCCTTATTTCCGAGACTTGTTTTCGAGAGTTGAAATGTTATCCTATGACAATTGCTGACAAGCGCCACTATAGTCCCACGAATTAGTGCTTGCGAAAGAAAGGGTCGAGCAGCTCACTAAAGAAAATCGTGAGCTGAAGGCGGAAACGTTACAGCTAAAAACACTTTTACGTCGCCATGATGTTTCGTTACCGCGAGCATCAAGCCGTCGAACGCCCCCTACCCGACAAGCCGACACTGAACCGGGTTACCTCAGGACAACAGTTGCGTCACAAACACGAAGCAGCATCGCGCCTATCCAAGAAAATTCACCCAACCCGAAGAAATACGAAACCGTAAAGATCGGTTGGCGCGGTGCGGCTAGATATGACGACGGTAAACTTATAGAGTTGAAGAGAGACTACTTTGGACCCGAACAAAGATACATGTCTTCCACTGTGTCGTCGGCGAATAGACGGTGCTGGGCCATGCTCCCTTACAAACACCTGTAGCGGAGGGATGATTCAACTGAATCGGAAGGGCGGAGCGGCACCGACGAACCCGAAACCCGGGAGGAGCACATCGAAGTGCAAATTCCAGAATCAATTCCGAACGAGAGCAGTTCCCCCGAAAGAAGCATCCAGGATGAACTGGTAGAAGGGACAGAGCTTGTTAGGGACCTTGAAAGACGCCTCAGGCCTATTCCGATTGATAGCGAGGTTATTTTCAGGTACATGGACACCGCCCACCAACGGGCCAAGGAGATCTTATTCCACGGCATCCAAAAGTATGTCCCTACGCATAGGAAAAGATACAATGGAGTCTATGAGGTCCAGTTCGGGAGGTCTGATATACAGGGTACTCTATTCGTTGATTTTCCTTCCAAGGTGACCATCGAAAACCGCAGGTATTCAAAGAGCTTCTTCGAGAACGTCACGGAGCAGATCGCACCACTCAGGAACTTGATGTCACATTTCCATGGATTAAGTTCCACGTACCCCCTTGATCAATATGATTGGCACATGAAAACAGTACAGCGCCTTGCAATCGTATTTGCGGACGAGGACATGGCCAAGAGGATGCGAGAACTACGCGACCAATTTATAGCCGAGGCGGAGGAGGAAGAAGCCCTCTTGGAAGCTGCGACGATCCAAGCCAATCTACCGTACCCCGAAGATTACTCGGAGCACCACATTAAGGCGTTTAAGCGCCAAGTGGATGAAGTCTACAGCGGGGATTGGCAGGAGAACCCGGCACTTGCGCGCGGCGTCCTCGACTGGGACTCCAGAATAGCGACGCCTAAAGACCGAGGGTGGTTGCACGTTTTCCTCCGTTACGGAGAGGAACGAGCATTCGAAGAATTCGGTGTATCCATAAGGGCAGAGGATTTTTGGTAGTTCTGAGCAATCGCGGGGAACTATCATGGCTTGGGGATGGGGACTATATGGAGGGTCGGGAAGGAAATTAGATTCATAAATTACTTGGAATCATCTTTTTCTATTTCGCGCTACATATATACGCCGTTGTTGGTATCAATTGGGTACTCACATTGAGAGATGCGGGAAATTTTAGAGTTGAGAGGGATGAGAGGGAAAAGGGGGGGGAGCCCAGGGCATCGTCACATACTGTTTGCACACGGTGCAAGGCTTCATCTAGGATATGACCCCATTTACTGTAATTTTTCCTTTACAGAAATTTGTTGTTTGCTTAACTGTTTTAACTGTGAAGAGTGCTAGTAAAATACTAGATATCGAGCACTTTCCTTACCAATACGCACTGTCTCCACCATCGCGAGTACAGTGCAAAATCACCCCAGCAGGTGGAACAAACAAATATGGCACTATTCTCGGCTCTACAGTCACTCCTGATGGTACTTCTTATAGATATGAGAAATTCTTCCCACACAATCCTTTCTTTTCATACACGAATCCTTCCCTGAAACGATCATACCCAACCAGGACCTATTCAGGAATAGGATACAACTACAATACAACCGAAATTTGTAATAGCAAATCGCGAGGATCGTCAAAATGGGCAAGCCTATACACCCAGTGGCCCACGAGCTAGGCCTCGCCAAGGAGAAGATCGAGTATCTTACACGACAAAATGACGAGTTAAAGGCCGAAATGGCCCGGCTTACATCGAAGCTTCGAAAACAGGGTACGCCACCCCCCAGACCAGTAAGCACTCGATCATCCAACACAGAGAAGGGCTATCTTAAAGTCACGGCTGCTTCGCGAAATCGAAGTATCGAACCGTCCATCCAGAAGAAAGAAACCGCCCCGACCGGCCCGGAGGGACGCATACTCATAAAAGGTGGTCAAACCGGGTTATCCACTTTCAAAGACGGCGAGCTGGTACCATTAAATCGCCACTTATCCTGGTACCAGCCGAGCTATATGCAAAGCACGGCATCGACGTGGATAAAGTCCCGTGAACCGATTAGGTATAATCGGAACACTAATTGGACAGAAGAACTAGAATGGGATTGCGTATGTAATTTTCAGTTATTCACTACCCCTTTATAATTGCTTTCGGGGGTGAAATTTGCCTACCTAATCCTAGTGAGGCGTGTTGGCTTTCACTCCCGGGGAACACATTGAAAAATTGAAAAATCTCCCATTAAAATATAAAATAATTACTGACACTCATTATTATAGTGGAAGGATACCAGCTGCAGCTGGGAGCTCGACGACAGGCCCAAGTACCCGGAAGTCGAACAACCGCCCAACTACGAGGACATCACCCTAGTCAAAACCGTCCAAGATCAGCTGGCGGAAAAGACCGAACTCGGCAGGGGCATCGCGATCCACCTACGCATTGCTCCTGTCAGGAGCAGAGTAAAGGAAAGTTTCTTGAAGCGCGCATTAAAAGAAGCTCAAGAGATCGTCTTCTACGGGCTACGAAAACATTTGCAGACGCACAGCAAAGTATTCAGGGAACCAAGTGAGATTCGATTCGGCAGGATAGAGATGGAAAACTCTCTATTCATAATGTTTCCCGACTCTATCACTATCGAAGGGCATGAGTGCGAGCGCGAGGTCGAGCACAGAATATCTAATATGACGTATCTCCGAAACACCGTCTGTCACTTTGGTCGATTCGAAGCGTCCTTTAGTCTCGAACATTACGATGACTACATGAAGGATGTGCATCGACTGGCGGTGGTGTTCGCAGATGAGTCCAGAGCCAAGAAAATGCGCAAGATGCGAGACCAATTCATAGCCGAAGCCGAAAGGGAATTCGCCGTCCTAGAGACCATGTCGACTCTCGCCGAGCTCCCGGGAGCAGAATATAAGCTCCACCAAGTAGACGCCTTCAAACAGAATATAGACGATTGCTGGGGTAGTGAGGAGGCCGATCATATACTCCCGTTCTTCATGCGCGCCGCATTTGATTAGGAAAACAAATGGGCCACAAACGAGGACCTGAAGGAGCCTATACTTCGATGTAACGACAGGCGGGCCCAGGAGAACGCGCAAGCCGAACCTAGTGGAACACAGGATACGGGTGATAGTGACGACGACGAACAATCTAAAGAAAAATTTATCGAGGAAATTACTTGAAGTCGTCACCCACGGGTCAGTGTGTGGGATTGCTTTGAACTGGAAGGAATAGAAACCACACACTGCCCCGTGGATACCCACGGCGGAGCTTAGGTGATAATGGAGGGTATTGGGGATTTTTCTGTTGAGGCGATAACAATCGCAATGGCGCCTTGGTAGCAGAACCGCGACATGGTGCTGGACTTTATACCGGAGCAACAGCACATATAAACAACGGCTAGACTTGGATATTTGCGGATTAAAAGGTTCCATTTGGGATGAGATTTAAACTGCGACGACTAAGATACCGGCTTCACATTTCGTTAAGGATCGCCTTACTCGATTTAGCGCCGATTATAGACATGGCGCTGGTAGTAATAATCGGACAGGCGCACTAAGACAAGCGGAATAGATTGGGATTAGGTTAAAGGTGGAGGTTATGATATGTTTAGGTGGACAGGGGGCTATGGATTGGAAGAATAAAAGGATACTATGAGATTTAGGACGTGTTGTACCACGTTCCATTGTATATTCTGCGGCAAGCGGTTTTTTTTACGAGATACCCCTACCGCGATACCCAGGCAGACGAATGCCATTGGTTGATATACTCACCTTGCTCAAATGCCTCTATGCGTGGCGGTCGCTAACATGCATGACGATAGTCACTCAGGATTCCATCTCCACACAGTGCAAACACCACAACACCATCGTAGAAAACCGTAGTTTGTAAGATTGCTCTTATATTCATGTACTCATTAAACCATATGCAGCGAATTATATATACCACGCAGATATCTCTAAAACATCTATATCTTTATATTCTTTTATAACACCATCCTCCTGTTCGTTTTCTTTCCACCCCTGGCTGCGGCCGCATCGTATAGGGCCTGGATGTCGGATCGCCATTGATCCTTGTCTGTGCGTTGTAACCGTCGGTCGTAAGTGAGGAAGCCGTTGACTTCTCCTTCGACATCGGTGGTTTGCCTGTACAGTGTTAGTTATCATATCTCACTGTGAATGTGATGGGGGTAACTTACGTCCATACAGCTGCCGAGCAAGCGTACTTCTCGATCTGGTCGCGGAGTTCGCTCAATAGAAGATGACCACGGTAGTTGTAGGCATCAAGATCCTGATCGATTTCGTAGGTCTGGTTGATGGAATTGAAAGCATCATCGACCTTCCATAAGTGCTCCGCGGAGACATTGTGGCCAATTCCTCCAAATTCACCCTGGATGGCGATTCGCTGGTGGTCATAAGGAGTCGACTGGATAGAGTAGAAAGGTGTGCCACATTGGGGGTTCGCGTAGTGATGGTTATCATGCCAATCACCAGCGCCGTGGTCGTGCCATCCAGTAGTAGCGTCGATGAATCTGGTGGAGTCGAGCTCCCTGATACGGTTGGTGATGTTGAACTCGGGGTAGTAGCTGTCTGTGATTTGACCCCATCCTTCGTTGTAGATGACCTAGTTTACATTAGCTTTAAGTCGCAACCAATTTTGCGTGGATTACATACCCAAGTGTAGATGCTAGGGAAGTTCTTGTGTTGCTGGATGAGAATATCAAGCTGACGTTCCCAGTCGGCTTGTTGATCCGCATCTGGCGTTCGTAGAGGCATAGATGGCATGTCCTGGATGAGCAACAATCCAAGTTGGTCGCAAGCCTGGTAGAAAAGGGCATTTTCAACCTTGATGTGCTTCCGAAGCATGTTAAGACCGAGATCCTTCAAGACCTGGAGATCGTAAACCATCGCTTCCCGGTTGGGCGGTGTGTAGATACCATCAGGCCAGAAACCCTGGTCGAGAGTGCCGAATTGGAAGATGAATTCGCCGTTGAGCAGCGGGCGTTTCACTCCGTCGATTTCGCCAACAGACAAGGTTCGGAAACCCGTGTAAGACGTTACACTATCCTGTCCCACCTTGACGGAGATGTTGTAACTGCACGGGCCACCATTAGAAACTAATCATAAAGACAGTGCTAAATCAAGAAATACGTACAGTGTAGGTGAGTCCGGAGACCATAGGTCAGGGGAATCCACAACGAAGTCGAATGGCTTGTTAGCGACGCCCTTTGCGGAGCCGACCTCCTTGCCGTCGCTGTCAACGATAGAGATCGTGACTGGGTCGGAACCTTGGCTAGTTCCAACAGTGACATTGACTGTGAAAGCCAGTATGTTAGCACTGTGCTCATCGCGATCCTTGCTCCAAAGAAATTTTACCTTGTCCCGACATGTCCGCGATAACGTCAAGCTGCTTGATGTATGTTTCCGGGACAGATTCTAGCCAAACCTGTAAGAGCTAACGTTAATATGTTGCGCCGGACAAAGTTTTCATTTTGAGTCTTGACTCACTGTCTGCCAGATACCCGAGCAAGGCGTGTAGAAGATGTGCGAAGGCGTACGAGTCTGCTTTCCAACAGGAATCATGAAGCCTAAAAAGGAGATTAATAATCACTACGTTGGTAAAAGTGGTGCGGTAGCTTTACCTTCACGATCTGTGGGGTCGAATACGAAGACATGTAGAGTGTTGGTGCCGTTGGAACTAAGGTACTTGGTGATGTCGAAGTTGAAATGCCAGTAGCCGCCTACGTGCGTTCCAACCAAATCGCCGTTGACATAGACAGTAGCCTGGTAGTCCACAGCCTCGAAGTTCAGCAAAAGCCGTTGGCTTTTTGTCGCGTAACCTTGGGGAACCTTGAACTCAGTTTGGTACCACGAATATGTCTGGTTCATCTGCATGACACCTGAGAGGGCGCTCTCAATGCATGATGGCACCAGGATATCCTGCTGGAAGCTGTTGCTGGCTGGGACAGGTTCGCCCGGGTAGGATGCGTTCTTCCACTTCCAGATGCCGTTTAAACTCTGCCATTGAGATCGTTGGAGCTGGGGACGGGGATACTCGGGCCAAGGGTCGGTCCCGACGGAGTATGTCCAATCGGTATCAAGCGGAGGAGTCTGCGAAAGTGTAAGCTCTGGGTCCCTCTCACGACGGCAAAGAAAGGCAAATGCAAGCTGACCTGGACCTCATATCCTAGTGCGAGGTTTCCCAGCACCGGGACTAGAGTTAAGAGGCTTGTAAACAAGTTGGAATGCATTGTGTGTTTACTTCCTCTCGACGAGCTTGTGGCTTGGTATGGGAGAGTCAAGCAGTCCGCCAGATGCAGGAAAAGCCAGGGGGGGACTCGTCAAAAGCAAAGGACGATCCTAAGAGAGACGGAAGACAATCGGCGCATCGTGGACGAGAGAAGCGGGCAGGTCGACGGTGGCTTAAATAGACATCTCAAAGAGCACGACATACCTACGAATGTACCTACCGATGGAGCTTCACAACAAAGAAGCTATGCAAAAGCTATGGTAGGGATTCTCCGCACATTCCAGGCTGGAATGTTGCTCACCTTCCTAATCCTGACAAAGGATACCTTCTAGTGCCTTGGATATAGGTACATGGAGTCCACTTGGCCCATGGCAAACGCGAGGAAATGAGAGACATGGTGACAATTTAGCGCCGTCACCGCTAGGTCAGAAAGGCTTGGTACTCGTTCATTCGACCTATGGACCCCTGGAGCTGCAGCTGTGCAGGAAACACACTTGGCTCTTCCCGCTCGAGGGTATAGGGAGCAGTGTAACAGCTGATCTTATGAGGCTGTGTTTATTATATGATTGTCGGTCGATCTTCTGTAGTCCCCGTGTTGCTGTTATGCAGACAACGACGTTTCTCTCAGGTCCCAAAGGTCGGTGACCGCCCCTCAGCCCCACGTTCGATGAGATTCTGAACAGGGTCGGAATCCAATGGAGATTCCCGGGCTCTCGTACATATCGCTCATGCTTCTCAGGTAAGTACCTCCAATAACAAGCAAGCATATATGTACTGCCGGGGTTACGGATCCTTAGGCATTGCATGTTCACGTAGGAAAGACGCAGTGATACGGAAGCCGGCATAAGATAAGCCAAGCCATTTCGTCTCGGTAAAAGTAAAGGCGAGAACAGTGGAGAATATTAGATACTTAAACCTATTGATGAATTATGTATCGTTCTTGTCGATGTAGTTGGGGCCGTCTCTGCGGTTACGATCAGGATGTACCGTCCGTGCCGCTGGGGCTTACCCAAGTAGGTATGTACAATGTGGAGAGGAGGGATATAGAAAGACAACGAGTATAAGGCTTCCCCGGACTGCCGGGTCCCAAAAGAACTGTATAGAGGCTAGCGTAGGAATCGGAGATGAACTTCGACAACAGTCCATAAAATAAAGAAATAAGATAGAATAAATGACAGGCGGTCACGAGAACCTCAAAGTTAAAAGGACCGAATCTGATCTGCATTAGCTCTAGTGGTCCCATTCTTCGTGTTAATGTGTGAATGTTCTGTCGTTGGCATTGGCGTTGGCCCTGCTGCTCTAAAAAACCTGTCATATAGGTTCCGCAGCATAAGGCTACTAAGTAAGGTATCTTGGACGACGGATTCATGACAAGGTGCCAAACCCTGGGACTTCGTGATTAGATACGACCTCAATCCTCAGCATCCTCGGCAGAATAAATGAATAGAACTCCCTTACATCTGAGAATTATTATGTGACACTTTTTAGCTCGGCTTGGCTAGGTAGTAATGACCTCAGAGATTATTAAAGAGTGCTCATATGTAATAGCAAAAGAAAAAAAGTAAGCCGTGAGGGAAAAGTATGTGAGATGAGTGATTCATCGACATGGTGGAAGCGGGGGATCGACAATTTACGACTGGGGCTGATAGGATTTCACGCCTTGATTGCCCCAACTTTCTTAGACTGTTTTTTTCACTCTTGTCTCTGTCTCTGTTTCTGTCCCTACCTCTCAAGTGTCTAGTCTTCCGCACCTGAGGGTGTCGAGTATGTAGGTACCATCTAATTCATTGCTACAATGTGGGGGACACAAGGGGAAAATGAACTAGCCGAGTCCAATGGAAAACAAAAGTTGGAGAAGTCCATGTGCTAATGGGTCTAGTACGGCTAGAAAGTGTGGAATAGGTGAGGGACTGGAGGAGAGGACTAGGAGATAAGCGGAGCAAGGTTGTGTGGAGGATTGTGTGGAGGGTTTGTGGAGGAGGGGAAGGAGAAAGAGAAAGGAAAAAAAAAAAAGAATGGAGACTAAGATGGGATGGGATGGATCGGAATATTGAAAACTGGGCAAGAACATTGAACATTCTCGGCAAGGCTCGGTACACCGGCAATAACTTAACTCCAGTAGCACAAATTGGCCCATTACCAGCCCTGTACCTAGGTACTACGTAAGCTGAGCGCGGGGAATAATTGAAGCTTAATGCAAAAAGTGGATTCCGCCAACGTTGAAAATTGGGGTTCCCCCGGCTCGGGTAGGTACCTAGTTGTAGGTATGTGTTGGAAATTGCCTTTTTAAGATTAGACCGAGTACTTTTTATGCGGGGCCCCAGTTACTTATTGTTTATTGTTACATTGTTACATAGGACGGTTACATGATAGGACAGCATCAATGAGTCCATGGGAATCCCTGAGGTACAAAGCGTTAATTAAACAGATCCTTCTGGTCGAGATCTAAGCAGGTGTGACGTGTAATTCTAGAAGAAGAAAAATTAATGAATGAATTGATTGCCAGGACCTTAAGAAAACCCTTCATTTCACGTGCTCGTATATTAAAATCCTTACAGAAGATCTACCTACCGAAATGTCAACTTCCCAGTTCACTGGGACCATTTGAATGAACCATCGTGACCTTCTTGCTTATGTAATGATATCTAAACAAATTAGACCTAATGTACTTGTCCGAACATAGAACAGAAAACAGATGGTTCATGCAAGCTAGGGTGATTTTTCTGCACCAACCCTAGGGCAATGTACACGATAGAAATTTACGTGCGTAGGTATATGTTGGAAATTGAAGCTTCTCCGCATCTGACGGAGCCGAGGGTTTCTAGCTTCGAAGCTAACAAATGTTTGTCCCCAATTAAGAAGACGCCATTCCCAAAACTACAGCCATCGCTGAGGGGAATACAGAAACGTGCCTTTCTCCAACTTCTATATTCTATGTTTCCTTAACATCGGCTTACCTTAGCTTCACCTAACCTTGTAAGAATTGCTTTAGCTTCAATATTTAAAGTCGGGAGGACGGTCCGCATCTGGTGTCCGCTGTTCTAGTCCCTCACGCTATAGAATAGTCATCCAAGTGCTCGCCTAGATGTTTCTTTAAACTATATTGAGCTAAGACGATGGGAAAACAAGAATCTTCACCACTTGGCGGACCCGCTCAGGTACCAATGGCATCATCCATGGATACTGCAAGTGAAAAAGGAAGTATGGATCCTACGCGCAACGTTAATAATCAGATAAAGACAAGATCGGGCTGTCGGCGTCGTCCGCTGCCTATTGGAGCGCCATAATGTACATGGGAACTCGGAGATTGATGCTACATGGCTAGCCTCTTAAGCGTGGTGATTATCTTAAATTCGATCATTCCGGGGTCGAATATCGTGATCAAATCTGTTATAACTATCTAGGTATTGATCATATAGGTTAGAGGGAACCAGGATGGGAAAAGATACTCCAGTTGTAAAGCAGAATTTGATGTATGTATCATAAAATTTCACAACATATAAACAAAAGTCCTTCTTTGAGTCGCAGCGCCGGGCTGGGAATTCAATGAAAAACAAGGACCACTTGAAGGTGATAAAGTTCCAAAAATTGGTGATACGACGAAGAAGATGGTAGCAAAAAATTGACCAGCACATATAGACATGTCCCCATGTACTGGTACTGTGGCGGGAAAGGACATATCCAAAAGTCCACCACCCGGGGGCATGGGGAAGAAAAAGAAAAGGGATCCATTGGGAATTCAATCGGCTAGATATAAATAGCAGTTCCAAAGGCGGTGACGTAATTATTTTCTGCCGCCGTCACCGTGGCACTTGCTACTTGTTGTCCGTTGCCGTAGTTGCCCGCAAATTCAAAAGCTCAAAGTGCAGGCGCGAATGCAATCAAATTTACAGGTAAGTACCTGGGTAGCAGGTTTGACACGTGAGGATGCACATATATGACAAGCACCACAATTTGAGCTGTTGCCTTATACAACTTTGATATCAGATTGATCGTTTGGTATAACCCATACAATTATTGAAGTAGGATCTACGTAAAGTCACGAAACAAATATAATATCTGTCGCACCTTTTCCAAGTTGATTTTCGGGATCGGCTAAATGTCCACGGCCCGTAGGACATACCGAATCACGTGGAAGCCCCGCTGTGCGCTGAGGATTAAGCGTCTAGGCTTTATCAGCCTTGATTTGTTGGTTTTTTCCAACAACCAGGACTGGTAGCTCAGAGGTAGAGGTAAGATTTCAACTCCTTACAAAACATTCTAAATTAAATACTAACAACTTTAATAGCAGCGGACTGCAGTTCCGAAGGTCGCTGGTTCGATTCCGGCCCAGTCCTTTCACAAGGACATCTCCTCTCTTTTTGAATTTTCTTTTTATTATTCAATTGTTTTTTTTTTCGTCCCCCCTTTGGAAATCTATGACATCGATCAATTCCTTCTTCAAGGAGGGGTCGTCGGATTACGCTTCAACTACTCGATACATACAACCCCACAACATCCTCAAGAATCACCGCTCTTTTTGATATCAAGAGATGGCATGCACCAAAGACGGCTTATTGGTTTTAACTTATAATGACAAGCTGCATGACGATGCGTAACAAGAATGGACACAACTCTCAAGACACTTATCTATCAGCACGCAGTGCCAAAATGCATATTTTGGGTCTACGTGTTCAAATATATACAGCTGGGTTATTGTAATGTATTGCTCATGCGATGTTAACTATTCTTAGGGGACACTACCTAGAAGTCGACTCCCCCATAATAAATCATAAGGAAACTTTTCGCGCCCGTTTCTCTCTACATCATTCTCGCTATTTGACGCTTTCCTTCACTTTAGGTAGCGTACCGCCCAGTTTAAATAGGACCCTTCCGCAGCGAGACAGCTTCAGCATATGAAAGATACCCTCGGTCAAGTTGTGAGCCTTCCATATGAACATCCGCGCGAGAATCACCTGGCGAAGGCAAAGGAGGAAACAACTCCCTCGAGAGCCCATGCCACACTTTTGCCTGCTTCGTCGAACAATGATTTAAATGCCTACCGATGCCTTCATCCGGAATACGAGAGACTAATACGGTTGCTTCGTTCATCTCAAACTTATCTCTGAGATTATCCGATCGCTTCAACCTTTGGATCCTCCTCTTGCGAGCTTGATATAACCGCACCGGTAAGCGACATTTTATGAACACTTGTGCTTCGCAGTGCTCACCCTCAGGGTTCAATACGTGATATATGAATAGGTCTCCATCTTCTAGGTATAGCGATTGTATAACGTATGTACGCTCGTTTCTGTGGTGGATGGCGTCGGCGTAGCTATCGCGCGGTATCTTCTCGGCAACTGGGTTTGACGTCCGTATGTTCCTATAAGAGCACCCTAGCTAAGAGTACGTTAGCTTGGGTAGGAAAATTGAACGTTAGAAAGAATCTCACCCCATACAATAGTTTATTCAACTCTTGTTGGAGGGTTGTGCACGTCTCGGTATTCATTCTCCAGCTTCGATATGGATATATGACTGTTTTTTTGCCTAGGGTACGGGTTTGGTGTTTGGGGCCCTTCTGAACTTGACGAGCATCTTAAACTAGAGCGAGACGACACCTCGCCCTTATAATCAGTCTCGGGATACAATGGCGATAGCTGAAGCCCGCGATATTAGTCTTTGTGTTTGGTCTATCGTCATAATAGGGCATTGGGAAGGTTTCGGGGTTCACTTGTGTAAGTATTCGGGCTTCATAATCGGGCTTCACCTGAGTGTGTACCCGGGCCTCTGTAGCGGCTAGCTATAGGCTCTATGCGCAACATAGGTAGTCGTTCTTACCCGCTCTGCCCAATAGTTGCCCTTGCGCGATGCAAGGCTTTAGGGCTGAAAACAAACTGCTCCATATGATGTGAGGATAGTTCGAACACCATGACTAAACTTGACAGACTTAGAATTAGCTCTTAACCCAGATGTTTTTCAAACACCGCATTGCTTTGACGCTACTGCAAGATTTCTTGCATCACGGCGGTAATTGGGGTATTGGTTGGGGCATTGTCCGTGATGCCTAGGTAATTACAAAGTGGGATCTAAGGCAAATACCCCGAAGTGGCAACCTCATCATACCTAAGTAACCAGCCATACATATCTATATGCCTATATGAAGATGTACTCATGCGCCCATTTCATATTCACATATAAAAATGATTCGCGTCTCAATAATTCTGAGCCGGTTCCGCTTAACTATCTGAAAAGCGTCATAGTGTAATATACTAAATCTAGATACACTGTGCCATATTACTGTGTTTTGGCGCATTAGCAGTTTATTGGAAATGGCGCACGGTATGGTTCGCTAACCAAAGCGTTACACCCGATGGACTTCGGGGATGTGTCTCAGCTGGACGGTAGAATATTGAGAACTGGCCAATACAATAATAGGCCTCATAGTTTGAGGCCTATTCCATGGCAATACGAGTAAGTTTGATCTACTCATCTAGGCAACAAGTAGGGCGATGACCTTAAATAAAGGGAGCAATTACAACTCCAATTTTCTAATAATATGAAATACAAGTTGAGCTCAATTAGGTGGACATCAGCTAGGGGATTGTGTGTATGTTTCATCTTGACAACTAAAAAATTCGAGTGGTTGGTTGTCGCACGAGCCAACTCACTGTCACCAGAGAGCCTTGGGTTTGAAGAACTGTATTGTGATATATCTAGGCTTAGGTATTTAGGTACCTAGGTAGGTATAATAACAGAATTAGGCTATTTAGAACTGTATTTTTACCTGGTTCTCTACAACTTCAGGATAGTAGTTAATGACTTTAGTGACCCCTACGTTGGAATGGGCGGTTGTCACAACGGGAACGTTTCTCTCTTATCGTATGAATATTAATGCCGTCAGGTCAAGTTGCGGCTTCTTGAATATCACCAGTGAGTTGCAAACTACGAATGTTAGTGATCGGATAAATCGAGGTCATTGAACTTAATTGATTGATTGGCGCACTAGCGGTAACAAGTCCGTAACGAGTTCGTGGCGAGCTCGTGAATTTTAGGTAACATGCAAACCCAATCCAAAAGAAGTTGCGTCCAAATCCAGCCACATGAGGAAACATTATCCCGGTGGTAGCCACGGGAAAATCCAGACGTACTAGGCCGGGGATGGGCCGGAGGCAGCTCGGCCTCGAGGGCAGGGTGGGCGACCAACACGACGCCGTCCGCAACTTTTAACGTGTCGGAGATGGTCATTTTCGTGAGTATCCTCGTCGCCGCACTTGCATCTGTAACGTCCACCCTGCTTCTTCTTCTCGCAATTTTTCACGTGACGTTTGTGATTGTCCTTGCGTGATTGCTTACCCTTCCCACAAGCGCAATGGTAGTGTTGAAGATTACCATGCACCTTGGTGGTATTTAAGTGACGGGCCAGATCCTTGTCATATTGGAATTCACGCCCACACTCCTTACAGTAATGCAGAGACCTAGAGCTGCCAGCAGATGGCGGCGTAAATTCGTCGGGACTAGTGGGCTGACTAGGGCTGGCGGACATAATAGACTGACTAGGACTGACCGCACCGGCCAGATCGTAACCGGACGGATCGGGTTGGTTGAGGGTCGACGCGGTGAACTGGCTACAGTCAGACGAATCATACTGGCCAGAATTGAACGTATTGAATTGGGTTTGGTCAAGGCTCGACGTATCAAACTGATGGCTGGATAAATCAGAGTGGGTATGACTGAGCGCAGCAAGCTGATTCTGGTTGAAGCTTGACGTAACCAACTCATCGAAACCGGAGAACCCGGGCTGCTCAAAATAGAGCGCGGGGACTTGGCCTTGATCGGGGTTCGACATAGTCAGTCGATGATAATCAAGGAAACCAGGCTCGTCGAGATTGGGTGTGGCGAGTTGAACTTGGTCGAGGACTATCGTGGAAAGCTGCTCATCATGCTCATTAAACTGGCCAGGACTGAGCATAGCAAACTGATCTTGATCGTATGGACAACTGTGGCCAGGGCTGGTGGGTTCGACAGGTTGCCCGATATCTGGGAATATCGCCATTTGTGGGCAAGCACCAATATAACTTTCGATTGGGGGGGAAGGCGATGGAATGGGGAAAGCTGAGATATCAATGCCCGCCTGGAAAGTAAAGCCCGAGGACTGTTCAAGGGAGTGGTGCTGGCAACCTGGGAAGTAACCTCGATATGCCGAGTTAGTATTAGCGTCAGTTCCCTGGCCAAGATCATTCTCAGGTTGAGCTGGCGTCCTGTTGGAGCACGACTCGATGTATAGCATGGTAACGAATGCTTGTCGCTTCAGTATTAGGGCGATCTATTAGTACATTTCTCACAAGGTAGGTATATATGTTGGCAGTCTTACATGATAAGTCGGCGATCCAATGTATACCATCAATACTAGAGAATATCATAGTAAGAGTAGGATAATATAATGAAAGGAAGGCGGGAGAGGGTGGTTGTTTATGGGACGGTACGTATGCTTAACAGAAGAACGAGGCCCAATAACCCCCTTATTTGTATTGACTTTAGAATGAACTCAACGAGAATCAACAGGGATTAGGACTTCTCATACTGATATCCGGAAGAGGCCTCAAAGGTATCTACCGGTTAGTGTGTTGCACGATGACGGCTGTCAACCTAGACGCCAACTTCCATAACACCCAAGATTCTTCGCGTAGACCGGCCACGGCGGCTGCATGAGCGCCGTTGTATGTACTTCAAATAAACTCAAGAGCCCCTGCCCGGCATCGCAGAGTCCTTCTGCGATATCAGATGAAAGTGGATTATTGCGTAGTCCGTCAGAGCCTCAGTTGTTGACGACCCAATGAGAGACGTAGAAGGAAGTACTTATGTACATGATAACGATATGGTCTGGGGTTGAGGTCTTTGGCAGCATCATCTTGCCGAATTTATCAAGCTAAAGGTATTCATCGTATAGAAACCTAAGTCGTTCGAGGCCTTCGAAATTCTTTGACAAGTAGTGATCCTTTTGTGGATGGGCGTTCGCAATGGGAGCCTTGCTGGGAATTTTGGCTTTAGTTTGCTATTGCTTGAAGAATACTATTACACCCTATTAATAGTTAACGGAGTGGGCCGGCAGGGCCGCCTCGGCGCGTATTCTAGCAACTTTAGGAGCAGAAGGAACCATAGATAACTGCTATTTGCGAATGCCGAAGGGCTAGCAGAGCTAGCTGTTATGGGATGAATATCGCTTTTCCTCGAATAGCATTGATACCTACACGGGAGGGGTGATGTCAGCCTCGTCTCAATTTACAGTAGTGTATTGTTTTACCTTCCAAGGTTGGTAATTGACTTAGGATTGTTCTTTTCTAGGGCTCATAGAACTATCCTTCATACTTGTCAATATAATCGCAATCGTATATCTCAAGACTAGCATAGAATGTTACGACGCGAGTAGAATTTCGGTTTAACACGCCTGCACGGCTCTACTGCAGGTACAGGACAGCCTAGGACAACAAACTAGGTACTCAATAAAGTAGTCTTTACATTCACTGACTCAACGAGGTAGAACTCTGGACCACAATCTCTGGCTCGTGTTTCTGGCCTTGTAATTGGCCGAATTGAAACGGTCTTTAGGCTCGCCGTCTACGCCACCGGCGGCATCGACGTTTTCGTTTAGTTACGTTGCCACGTGGAGGAAAGCAAGCGCTCGCTACGAGAAGGCCCATTTCCCGCTCGTATCATCGGCGGAAATACGGAGAGGCGCCATGGCGGGCTTGACCGCGACCTCTTTGGCGAAGATAAAGGCGCTGGTATGCCTACGCGATTGGCCTGTCATAAAATCCAAGGAGTTCGGGCATAAAACAGTCTTTAAAACCTGTTCGGTAACGGCCTCAATAGCCTGACCATGAGTATGAGGCGCTTTCAAAATGAGGCTCAAGAGTTGTGAGTAACGAGGTACTTCTATAGTGATGTAGAAGAGGAAACAATTGAAGAAAGGAAGAACACAATAAACATTGTCACTTTTCGAGTTACTAATCATATTGTTACGCTAACTCTAACGAGTAAGGTCCGGAATTACATAATATGGTAGAAAGGGCCGGGTACGTACACATCCATGCATTGACGGCACGGTGTGACTGAATTAAGGTTTTGCTTTTGGTTAAGTGACGCGGGGCCGTTTGCACGGTCTGCACTTACTCTAACTTTTATTTTATACTGTACATTCCTCCCTATGGTGAGCACCTACCCGGGGCACACTACAGGTGCTGTACAGTGTATGGGAAGCTGTGATCCAATAACAATTCGCAATTCTTATACTCAAAATTGACGTCCGACCGTGACTTTGGAACTTAAAAAAATAGGACCAATTAACCCAAAAGATTGAAATTAGTCCCAATCCAGATTAGCGTAATCTCGCCACTGTATCTAAGCAACTAAAGTGGACCATATCTTTCTTTTGTAGTGCTTGGTCAGCCTCAGCCTTTGATCATTTCTCCAACCAAAAACATCTTTCAACATCCTCCATCGAAACATCGCGATACCCTCTGGAGTCGATAAACCATTGAGGATTGTTGAAACAGGCGGATTGTGGTGAGTCTTTCATCATATATGACGTGTGCAGTATATTAATCTATCAAAAAATGTATCACTGACCGCTCTCCTCTACGTAGCGCGATCAGGGAGTTACGCGCGCCCTTCTCGCCTCTTTCACAACTTGAACGTCTTCGACGACCACGGACGCTGCGGTATTGTGTGGTCCCACACTTTTCGCGAATGTCCTAAATCGATTTTTAGCGATAATCAAACATCTCGCTACCCCTCCTTCTGTTACTCCCAGCTCTCTATTTCACTCTTTTTTCAACGACGCATTTCTTCCACGATCACGATTCACCGCGTCTAAACGTTTCGTTCATTCGACATTTCTTTAAGCCTCGATCGCAATTATCTAGAAGCTCCGATAAAAATAATTCTACTACATAATGGCTGATTACGACGAGGCCTACGAGTACGAGGAGGAGTACAGCGATGACAACACCATCACACCCGAAGATTGCTGGACCGTCATCGGTTCCTATTTCAAGAAGAAGGGTCTTGTTTCGCAACAAATTGACTCTTTCAATGACTTCCAAGAGACGACAATCCAAGAGTTAATCGAGGAATACTCCCAAATAAGCGTCGATGAGCCGAACCCGCCTTCCGGCGACGGCCGAACCGTAGCACTCCGTCGATACGACCTCAAACTTGGTCATGTTACCATCGCCCGCCCCGTCGCGATGGAGAGCGACAACACCTCCGGTCCTCTCCTTCCTTACGAATGTCGCGATCGAAACATGACGTATGCCGCGCCAATCTACGTCAAAGTCGATAGCAAGGTTACCGCATGTATCGAACAAGACATCCCTCTCCACGAGATGGATGACGAGCAACAAGCCGAAGCCCGCAGCACCGGAAAGCACCCGACGCGTCTAGTTTGGGAAACCGAAGAAAATGTTTTAGATCAAGGCGACAAGAGATCGGGAGATCAAATTTTCATCGGCAAACTACCAATCATGGTTAAATCCAAGGCGTGTCACTTGAGTGGCGAAAGTGATGACGAACTTTTCCTATTGAACGAGTGCCCCTACGACCAAGGTGGATATTTTATCATCAACGGTAGTGAGAAGGTTCTTATCGCTCAAGAACGATCCGCGGCGAACATTGTCCAAGTCTTCAAGAAAGCCCAACCGAGTCCCTTTTCATACACCGCCGAAATTCGCAGTGCTCTTGAGAAGGGTTCTCGACTTATATCTTCTCTCACGCTCAAGCTGTTTACCAAAGGCGATGCTTCGAGAGGTGGATATGGCGAGACTATCCACACATCTTTACCATTCGTTCGGGCCGATCTGCCAATTGCCATCGTCTTCAGAGCTCTTGGAGTTGTGAGTGACGAGGAAATTTTGAATCATATCTGCTACGATCGTAACGACAGTCAGATGCTGGAGAAACTACGCCCTTGTATTGAGGAGGCGTTCTGTATTCAAGATCGAGAAGTGGCTTTAGATTATATCGGAAAGCGTGGGCGAGAATCTCATAACGTGGCAAGAGACCGTCGTGTGAGGGCGGCAAAGGATATCTTACAAAAAGAGATGCTTCCCCACATATCCCAAGGCGAAGGATGTGAAACCCGAAAGGCCTTCTTTTTGGGTTACATGGTCCACAAGCTTCTACAATGCGCTCTAGGCCGCCGCGACACAGATGATCGCGACCACTTCGGAAAGAAACGTCTCGATCTTGCTGGACCTCTTCTGGCCAAATTGTTCCGAAATATTGTTCGTCGTTTGACCCAGGAGATCACGAATACACTCAAACGCTGTATTAGCGACAACAAACGTTTCCAGGTCGAATTGGCAGCCAAGCCTGCTATCGTCACAAATGGTCTCAAGTATTCCCTCGCGACGGGTAACTGGGGTGACCAGAAGAAGGCCATGAGCTCAACGGCTGGTGTGTCGCAGGTCTTGAACAGATATACATTCGCATCAACTCTTTCCCACTTGAGGCGAACGAACACGCCTATCGGACGAGACGGAAAATTAGCTAAGCCCCGACAACTTCACAACACTCATTGGGGTCTTGTCTGCCCGGCCGAAACGCCCGAAGGCCAAGCTTGTGGGTTGGTCAAGAATTTATCGTTGATGTGTTCTATCAGTGTGGGTACCTCCACAGAACCCATCATTGACTATATGATCACGAGAAGTATGGAAGTGCTCGAGGAATATGAGCCCATGCGCTACCCCAATGCCACGAAGATCTTCCTCAATGGTTCTTGGATTGGTGTACACCAAGATCCTAAGTCGCTTGTCAGAGATGTCCAACAGCTTCGCCGAGCCAACCAAATTCCCTCGGAAGTTTCATTGGTTCGTGACATTCGTGATCGTGAGTTCAAGATATTCTCAGATGCAGGCCGTGTCATGCGTCCCTTGTTCGTTGTTCAACAAGAAGACGCCCCTGAAGCTGGCATCGAGAAAGGTACACTGGCTTTGAACAAGGAAATGATCCAACGACTAGAGGCGGACGTCGATCTCGATCCGGAAAGCGAAGAGTATTTTGGTTGGCAAGGTCTAGTCAATGAGGGTGTTATTGAGTATCTTGATGCCGAGGAAGAAGAGACGGCCATGATTTGCATGACTCCCGAAGACCTAGAAAACTACCGAATGACGAAGCTCGGCCACGAAGCACCACAGGACAACGGCGATGAAGTTAACAAACGACTCAAGACCAAGGTGAATCCTTCGACACACATGTATACGCACTGTGAGATCCATCCTAGCATGCTTCTAGGTATCTGCGCCAGCATCATTCCTTTCCCGGATCACAATCAGGTATGTAATCCACGTAAATCACCATATGAATTTACTGCTAACGTTTCACTAGTCACCACGAAACACATACCAATCTGCCATGGGTAAACAAGCTATGGGTTTCTTCTTAACCAACTACAACCGTCGAATGGATACTATGGCGAATATTTTGTACTACCCGCAGAAGCCACTTGGTACCACGCGTTCCATGGAGTTCTTGAAGTTCCGAGAACTTCCAGCTGGACAGAACGCTATCGTTGCCATCGCTTGTTATTCAGGATACAACCAGGAAGATTCTGTCATCATGAATCAAAGCAGTATAGATCGAGGTCTCTTCCGAAGTCTCTTCTTCCGATCATATAACGACTGCGAAAAGAAGGTTGGAATCAACACGGTAGAGAAATTTGAGAAACCGTTCCGATCCGATACGTTACGACTCAAGCAAGGTACGTACGACAAGCTCGATGACGACGGAATTATCGCCCCTGGTATACGTGTTTTGGGTGAGGATATCATTATCGGAAAGACGTCTCCCATCAACCCGGATAACGAAGAGATGGGTCAACGTACAAAAATTCACGTCAAGCGCGATGCGTCAACACCTCTTCGCAGTACAGAAACCGGTATTGTCGATTCTGTGATTGTCACCACGAATCAGGACGGTCTACGCTACGTCAAAGTACGAGTTCGAACGACGAAGATCCCTCAAATTGGAGACAAGTTCGCTTCCCGCCACGGTCAAAAGGGAACTATTGGTGTGACATACCGTCAAGAGGATATGCCATTCACTCGTGAGGGTATCGTCCCCGATATCATTATCAACCCTCACGCTATCCCGTCGCGAATGACAATCGCTCACTTGATCGAGTGTCTTCTCAGCAAAGTATCAACTCTCAAGGGAATGGAGGGAGATGCTACGCCGTTTACCGATGTAACCGTAGATTCGGTATCAAGTCTTCTGCGTGAGCACGGTTATCAATCTCGAGGCTTCGAGATTATGTACCACGGTCACACCGGACGCAAGCTTCGAGCGCAGGTGTTCTTCGGACCTACCTACTACCAGCGTCTCAGACACATGGTAGACGACAAGATCCACGCTCGAGCTCGTGGCCCAGTACAAATCATGACGCGCCAACCCGTTGAGGGTCGTGCTAGAGACGGTGGTCTTCGTTTCGGAGAAATGGAACGTGACTGTATGATAGCTCACGGTGCCGCCGCCTTCCTCAAGGAACGTCTCTTCGAAGTTTCGGATGCCTTCCGCGTCCACGTTTGTGAGATATGTGGTCTTATGACTCCTATCGCGTAAGTTTCCATATTGTATCTTAACTTAACAGTTAAAACGAATGCTAACACCAATACCACAGTATCTTGAACAAGGGTTCGTTCGAGTGTCGCCCATGCAAGAACAAGACCAAGATCGCCCAGATCCACATCCCGTACGCTGCGAAGCTTCTCTTCCAAGAGCTTCAAGCCATGAACATTGCTACGCGCTTGTTCACCGAGCGTTCTGGTGTAAGCGTCCGTTAAGGACCATATTGGTGAAGATTTGCACGCCGGGAGATTGTGTTAGGCATGACGAGGGTGCTTTTCAGAGGCGGTATACCCATGACATTTTGTCTAATCCGCTAGTTATATTAGATGCATGAGGTTGGCGTTTTATTTCTCGAGCCAGAATTGGTGAAAAACGGTAGTTTTACTATTGCACATCGTGGGCGTTCAAGGTTGTGGACCTTCAAGTGTTTCTAAAAAGGAACTCGGAATTAAAATTAGGTAGTCCACATTACTCTCAAAGAGTTTGCTATAAACAAATGTACCAATGTTGCGGCTGGATTCAGGTGTGAACTACAACTCCGCCATTGGACTGCAATGTTGATGCAATAATTGATAATGAAATCGATTATGTTCCTTATAACTGCTTTTGTATCGATGTCTATGTGTTTATGAATAAATCGCTTAATAGAAGATGATAATAGTAACTTGTGACACATAAATCAAATAATTAAACACTTTTCAAATCTCACCCCACGCCTCGTTCGTCGTCTGAGCATGAGGACATGTATCTCCTAACTCAAACCGTCTAGCCTTCTGTTCTTCCAATTCAACACGTCCTTTATCCTGTCCAGTCAATTCATGTCGATCCGATCCATTGCCCTGCGATAACTCCGCACATCCAGGTTTATCCGCGACTTCATACGGTGGTACGGCGCTGACCGCGGGAGAGCTTCTGTAAGTATGTCCTTCTTCCGAGTCCTTCATTTCATACTCGTTCGCTCCCGTAGCGGCGGGTTCCCGTCGGCTGGCTAACCATCGTCCGGTTAGGAGGGGAGTGGCGAGGACTAAGCATATGAAGGCTACGAGTAAGAGCCAGATGCCAGTGTCGTACTTCCCCTGCGCGAGACCTTCGTTTTGGAGACGCTTCTTGAGACTTCGGAAGAGTGAGAAGTCGCAAGCTACTGCTATTAAAGCCAGGACTGTAGTTAAGATGCCGACAGCAGGGCTAACGATGCCGGGGATTATGCGCGTGGGGAAGAGGGAGGAGACGAGAGTTAGGAAAGCGAATGCTGTGGCAAGAGGGTGTATGACCATAGCCTCGGTAAGAGAGCGTTCGGTGGTGGTACCGGTTGGTCCTACGTCGGAGATGCTGTTCAGGGCTGTTACCGGGTCGTATCCGATGCCTGCGGATGTGCATCTGTCGGGTGTGGGGTGCGAAGTAGTAAATCCGGAGTCTACGGAGACCATGTAGACCTGCCAGCAATAGCCGTATGTGCCTAATCGTAATTGTTAGCATTATTATTGCTCATGAATTAGGTGTAATGAAGACGTACCGAAGCGGATGGCGGGATTACCCTCATTGTATCCACGATAGGGATTCCACGCTGTGAATAATGCTAGGTGGTGATTTACGGGTGCCGTAGCATTAGTGACTAGGAGTAATGCGAAAGCGGCCGCAACCAAGAATAAGGCGACGAGGTGAGTTATCCGTTTTGTGAAGATATTCGCTATTCCCGCCATATTTGATATAAGCCTTTCTTTTTTTTTTTTTTTTTTTTGTATTTATCTCGATTTTGTATGATGCTATCAATTAATACATAATAAAATTCCTAATAGCAGGTTAGCCAGCCATCAATATTGTCATTTTTCGGAATAGTAGATCTTACCACTCTAGATAATGAAAATGTGACAGAATATGAAATATGAAAGTCTAGAGATATTTACACATTTTGGAATACCTGGATGTCAGGCTGAATTAAGTCCTTCAGCTCATTGTTAGTCGTGGAATGAAAACAGCTAACCACACGTTACCGATGGAGAGATCACCATGGCTGTGTTCCTGCTGCGACTACTGATAGGTATCACAGCGGAGGCTGTCTAGGTACATCGTTTACATCAGCGTATAGAATCGATCCGTGGGCTAGGCATCTAAAATAAAGAGTCTAGGAGGATTTAAATATAACCGGAAAGGGTAATACAAGGGGTTGATCTTTGCTATGATTGGATACAACCCACACAGAATGAGCAGTTCGCCAATTTGACTGCCCTGGCTGAGGCGCAGGCCAAGGGGTCTTTATAGTTGAGATCGACGATGTCTTCTTTCAGCTTTAACTCTCGAAGATTAGCAGGTAAGCGTATTGCAGCGTATTTCAGATACATCGTACTCCCTAACCAATAACATCTCACTAAGCGCTAATTATATGGATTGTATAGGCACTGACCTACCTACCATGGTAGGTTACACTTATAACCCCAGTATTTAGGTATTGTTCATAGGGCTGGTTTCGAATTATGACTTCATATTCTTGATATTTTGGTCTCTTGGCACTTATAGAGATGCATGTTGATGAAACTCTGTGATACCCACGTATATATTTTAGGAACGATGGCAGGATGGTAAATTGCTGTTGATAAACGGAGATGAGTACTCTTGTCACGGCTTCGCGATCGATGAAAGAATAGACCGAGCCGTAAATCTAAAGCCGAGTCAGCGGAAGCGAGTAGACCGTGGCGATCCGAGTCAGCTCATCCCAACTAACTGGATACTCATCTATTCCGGTGAATATAGCTTGACACTATCATCATTTAAGTATAGAGAAATCTTGAATAGATCAGTCTAATTGAATCCTGTGATGATTCATTGACGCTGTGTCTTGAGTTCCGAATGATGCTTCATACCGGTGCATGACATTACACCGGTCATGCTCGTCTTGGCTACACGGAGATAACTTCAACTTATCGGCCGAGTTTCTAATTTTCCTACCAAGATGTCTATTAGTTCAAAAATGTTTCAAAGTAGCCCGCAGAGGAAGCAGCTTAAACATGTATCGGCATACAACTATTACTACCTACCGCCAGCGACGGACAATCCCGCTAGCCATCTTGCCCCCTTTCCAAGTTGACGAATAAGAAGTACACTACTGAGACGCACCTCCGGATATTTTCTCCCGTCTAGATCTAGTTATGTGCGCGGCCTACAAGAAAATGATGTTCTAGGCGAGTGGGCGTCCACTAGGAAGTTCCGTACGACGCCATTTTTCTCCTCGATGGCTGAGACATCATTATTGCTTTTTCCTCAGGGGTCGCCGAATTGGTCTACTTACCCGGAATATGATTGATCACAATGAATATTCCTCATATTCTCGTCCTTCTAGGTGAAATAATGTTTCGGTCATGCCTTTGAGATCTATATCGTCCATTTATCACCATGAACCCACGAGCAGCTGTCACTCCTAATAGAAACTGGAGTAGCAGTTAGAATCAGAAGGGCCGCTTAGAAGCTACTCATGGCAAACGTTCCGTGATAGCTTCGCTCCCAGCCTCTTACCCATCCGTACGCCTATTATCTCGTCTACCAATCTAACCAAAGCGAGAGCCTCGCGAACACCAGGCAACAGCATCCACGATGGACGACTTCGACCCCCGAAACCAAACCTTCACCATCCTCGGACACCCCAACACCTCCACCTCCCCACCCCCTCAAATAACAATCTCCATGTCCATAATCGACGCCCAACGCATCCGTCTGGCCAACACATCCATAAACTACGGCGTCCAACTCGGCCTCTGCCTCTTCTCCCTCCTAACCACCCTCCTCCTCCTGCCAACCCGTAAACTCCGGCGCCCTGTACATTTAACCCAAGGACTATGCCTCGTGGTATCAGTAGTCCGCCTCGCGATCCTAGTCCTCTATTTCCCGGGCCCGTTGACCGAGTACTACGTCGCGTGGACGCGCGACGCGAGTGTACTTACAGACGAGGAGTACGGGTTACCGGATGCGAGTGCGGTGTTAGGGGTTGTGCAGTTGGCGCTTGTGGAGGCGGCGTTGGCGGTGCAGAGTAGTGTTCTTGTGAGGACTTGGGGGATGCATTGTAAGACTAGGAATGGAGGGAAGGGAAGTGATGGAAGTGGTTCTTCGACGCTTGTGGGTGTTGATACCGAGGCCTCTGTGGCTACGACGGCGACTAGGACGAGAGGTGTGATAAGAGGGAAGTGTTGGTGGAGACCGCCGGTTATATGTATGGCGGTGTTTCTTGCTGTTGCGGCTGTTGGACGTGAGTTAACCCGGAGTTCCTTTCTCATGGGGTTCATCAGGACCCTCAACTCTTGTTTCGAGGAACAATCGCTAACCGCCTCATAATAGTAAGAGCCGTCTGGGCAGCACACTGGGTCCAAGCACTAAAAGGCCACACCCTCCCCGTACCCCTCGACAGCGTAGGAGCAGCTTCTTCAATTGTCGGCGCAGCGTCTGTTTTCTACTTCTGCGGTATCTTCTTCGCCCATCTAGCACTACATCTCGCAGCTACACGACGGATACTTCGAAGCAAGAAAAGCAAGGGAACAAGAAAGCTCTCAATGGCCTTGACACTTGGAGATAATGAGCGCGGTTTAACTTCGCTGGAGATTTTGGCGGTTGGGAACGGCGTTCTCATGTTAGCGCCTTGTAAGTTGTCTTCTCATATCATCCCCTTCTCCCTCCCATTTCTGTATCGTGGAAAGATTAACTAACGATCTCGAAGGTCTCTTCGCAGGTCTCGACGTAGCCGCCGGACCAGGAAACACCAAAGTCCTCCCCTTCGATGCCGGATCCTGGGTCCAAACCCTAGTCGCCGCAGGTCTTCCTCTCATCAGCATCGCCGCGCACTACCGAGGTTCCGACTCCGCCGGATCGCGCGTAAACTCATTACATAATTCACAATTCGGGATGCCGAGTCCAAGCATAAACCTAAGCCCAGATACAAGTTCTAATACGAGAGCGAGGATGATGATTGGAGGAAGGAGGAAGAGTAGTGGTATAAGTGGTATTAGCGGCGGTAGTATAAATGGTGACGGACGAGAAAAGCGGCGTCGGCGGTCGTCACGATTTTTCGTTCCGGGTGAGACTAGAGTATCGTTTTCGTCCCCTTTCCGTTCCTGTCCGCCGAATATCTCTCCCTTCAAAACGGAGGCGGCGGATCTAGAGACACTGGCGGGTGGAAGCAGCAATAGAGGAGTTAGAAGTCCTCATCTAGCAAGGACTAGTTTTGCTGTCCCACCTGAAAAGTCAGCGGAGTGGAGGGCCAGATCGCCTACGGATGATAGGAATCTCAATGAGCTCGGTGTAGGGGACATAGAGATAGAGAGCGAAGGGGCAAGAGATGGGAAGGGAGATGAATATCAGGAAAGCCTAGAAAAAGATCACTAGGTGACTCAAACCAAATACAAATGATGGGATCGGGTCCTATAAATAATATAATGCTATTACCACGCGTATTCGCTCGGGCTTCATTCACACCAGATGTGAGGCTTGTAACTCGAGATTTCAACCCCCATTCTTATTGACGAATCAACGTCAAACGCATGCCTGTTCTTGAAGTCTTACGTTACGACTACGAAGAAGCATTAGGGATACGTAATAAATGTAATCACCCATATCACAATAACACCACGAAAAGATAATCATTAAAATGCTTCACAATTCGTTAGATTTTTGGGTCTACCTTGTGGCAGCAACCAGGCGACAACGCAACGTTTCTAATACTTTTCCGTTGCTCAGTCACTGCGATTGCCATTTCCCTTAAGAGTAAAAAGCTCAAATGACAGCCCATCCCAATACGCCCAGTCAATGACCGATATCGACACCCCCGGGGAAATGGATTTATGCTCTCGACATGACACCCCACGCTCGGATAATGTTGTCGGTGTAACCAGCGAACAGAGTCTGGCCATCCGCACTCCAGGCCAAGCTTACACACTCGGGTTCTCGGCTCTTCTTGCCAACTGATGTGAACTCAGGCTTCAACTCGTCAACCTTGCTCTTCTTCTCGAGGTCGAAGATGATGATGCTGCTAGCCGTAGCGGCGCAGAGCCAGTATCGGTTAGGAGAGAAGACGAGGGCGTGGATCTCGTCACCGGCGTTTAGGGAGTAAAGGTGCTTGGACTCGTTCAAGTCCCATAGCATGGTGGTACCGTCCTTACCACCGGAGGCGCATAGGGAACCATCGGGAGAGATGGTAACGGTGTTAATGTAGCCAGTGTGGCCGATGTGGTCCGTCTGGAGCTTGCAGGTAGAGAGTTCCCAGACCTAACGAAGAAGTTAGCAATTGATTACCACCTCGGCGCAAGAGTTTCATAAAAATAATGGTAATAGGTATTTCATCAGTGCAATGGTGTTTAGGATGTCTCATGGCTTGCAAGCAAGCTCTGAAGTAGCAAATACTTAAAAATGCAGAGCATCATGTGAAAGAGTCGGTGGAACTATAGCTCCCGAGGAATTTCTGATTACGTACCTTGACGAGCTTGTCCCAGGAGCTGGAGACAATGACGGGGTTCTGGGGGTTAGGGCTGAAGCGGACGCAAGAAACCCACTCGGTGTGGCCCTTGTCGGTGATGGTGAACTTGCAGTCACCTAGGGTATTCCATAGCTTGATGGTTCGGTCACGCGAACCGGAGACGATCTGTCGGTTGTCGGCAGAGAAGGAAACGGAGAGGACATCGTTAGTGTGGCCGACGAATCGTCTCGTGGTGGTACCGGTAGCAAGCTCCCAAAGTCGGAGAGTCTTGTCCCAGGAAGCAGAGAGAGCGTAGGCACCGTCAGAGGAGATGACCTGAATAAACCAATCCGTCAGCAACTTTTTCTTCTTTTTCTTTCCTTCCTCTTAAACTAGAATTTTCGCAATATTTCGACTGGGTAGAACGTACGCAGTCGGAGACGATGTGAGAGTGTCCGTGTAGGGATCGCTTGGGGTAACCGTATTGCGACTCGTCACGGGTGAGGTTCCAGATAATTAGGGTCTTGTCACGGCTGCCGGAGAGTAGCATGTTGGGGCTAAATTGAATGACGGTAAGCTCGCGATCACATCGTAATAATTGTAGGTATAATTATCGTACTTCTCCATGGAGGTAGCCAAGCTGGTGACCCAACCATTCTGTTGATGCGAAATAAAAAATGATTAGCCACTATTTTTTTAATATGTAATATACGTAGGTATGTGCGGCGCAAAGTCCCCAATTGATAAAAAATGATGGATGGATATTTCTTTAACTTACGTGGCCCTCAAGGGTTCCCTTAAGAATGAGTTGTTCGGCCATTGCGAAGGAATAACTCGAATTCTTTTTTTCTTCTTCGCGAAGTTCGGCTGGTAAACTGGGGAACGAAAAGGGAAAGACAAGGGAAAGAAGGGAATGGAGTGAGGTGGTTGATGTACTTCCGCTGGAGAAAGATTAAAGTTGATGGTCGCCGTTTCTTTCCCACTTACAAAATTTCCCCCGATGAAAATTTGTGTGCGATTTCTTAGGGTCAAATCGCTAAATCGACGGCAGGTGCTTTGCTAGGTAAGACACTAACAAAACCTTCTAAGAGGTGGGGCAACAACCAATCAAGGTCGCGAATTCCATCCGTCCTACCAAGCTCCTACCAGGTGAGTTAGTTCGGTTCTCAGCTGGCAAACTTTCAATGGCAACCATTATTGAGCTAGAAGGTACGTACCTATAAATTACATAAGCTCATATTGTTGAAGGAAAAGGAGTTAGGGGAAGGATATCATCCCATTTTCATAACACAAAAAGTTAATTTAAAGACAAGAGGATGAGACGATTCGCGATTACTAAACTTAGTACCGAGTCGTCATCGCAAAAATGTCACAAAAATGAACACCTACACGCAAAGAATCGAATAAAATTCATTCATCCAGTTGGGTATCTTCCAAATCATAACGCCTCTCGTAACTCCATGCCATGGAATCATCTTCATTCTTCTGAGTCCAACGAAAGGCCTGTTCTCCCTTCTCTTAATAATAATCATAATAAAACACAAATTTCGTAAGCAAATAATACACGAAATCGTGACGGTATATGCATACCACGACCGTTGTCACATCTTATAACGAAGACCACGCTCATTATGCCTTACCAGAGAACATTCGGTCTTCATTATAGGATAGCGGCTTAAGCAACTACTTATTAGTTAGAGGATCGATGTGATTTTGAAAGCAAGAGGTGGCTGGTGCCTTACCTAGATCTCACCCTATTCCAGACCGAAATCTAGCTTGAAAAGCTCACCAAGTCAAAATAAGAAGTGTCTCGCAAGCGCTTGAACATTTCTTTCAACAACTTATCAGACCACACCGTTAGGGATATCCGCTTGAGGCCGTCGAGCATTTTTAGGCACACCTTTCCTGCCATACCTGGTGCCGAAATCAACGATCGCACTATGATCGGCAATCTCAACTGCACCGCTTGACGAGCCTGCTTGTCTAAGCATATTGGTCATCATGCCTTCCCATGCTTCGTGTCGCTGTTTGCTCATCGAATCACGTAAGGCTGCGGCCTTGAGTTCCTTCTGTCGGCTGATTCTAGCAGCTCGGTTGATTCGTCTCAGTGCCAGTTCGCCCTTCTTCAGATCTGCCTCCGCTTGTACTTGCTCCTTCTTAATATCGGGTTCCTTCTGCAATGGGGTAAATTTGTACGCATGAGGAGGTGGAAGCGGCGGGAAATCCTTGGGTATATAAGATCGCTCTTCTTTCTCTTTCTCACCAGATAGCTCTTCGCCTAAGAACGGTCGTGGCTTCAATAGATGCCCGAGGTCTTCCGTAATAGGATTGTAAAAAGACGGTGTAAGGCGCTTTTTTGGCACGGGATTCTTCAGGTGTGGCTTTAAGGAGGATGTGGTGATATTGTGTTGGCGTAGGATCAATTCGTAATCCTCAGGTATGGGATCATTTCTCCTTGCCGCATTCGCGACACGTCGAAGAGAAACCACGAAATCGGTGATGTCTACCCAGCAGTCAGTACACCAAACCATACACGCGAAGAACTTATCAAGCGCATACATGTGTCAACCGTCTCCGTAAAACTTTCCAAAGCTTCTTTCGTAGCAGACTCGAAACCAATGTGTTCTAACGCCAACGCAATTGATATCTTCAAACCCTGTCTTCCGAAATCATCCGCAGTAGGTTGGCTGACTACCTCATGCTTTAGCTTCGTTGTCGCTGGAACGACTTCAACTGGAGTGACGGGACGAGACTCGGATTCGTTGGTCCGCTGTCGCTTAGGTGAGATTGCTTCTTCATGCTCGCCGTCGCTAGGGCGCTTTCGCGACTCATTTTCTGTAATGTCGGATTGACTCATCGTGTGGGCTCCTCAAGACGGCACAGTATTGAATAGATATAGATGAATACTCGTCGAGATTCTCGTGTATCTTCACTTAGAAGATTAGTGATCGCAGTGGTGTGAGTGGTATCGACGCGTCGCAAAGGCAAATAGCCGCGGATTCGCAAGCACGCAAATAATGGTGTCGAGGCCACCGGTGCGATTCGAAGGTCGCTCGATCGCCCGAGGAAATCGTGAGTCGAGATTAATTAAGTATCATTCCATTTATCAGATTGATAATTACTATTAATAAGATACCGGGAAGTTTAGGCGAAAATGTAGACGTAGAGATGAGGTCGAGGTCGGTCTCGATTTTGGTTGAAGATATTGAAAGGTGAAAGGAACTGATGGTTGACTGAGCAGCTGAGATGTATAATTGAAGTGGGTACTTTATTTAGCGTGGCCTTGGGCATCGGCGAACAAAGACGCAAAACTCCGTGTGGCTTGACCATAGGTACTTAAGTACATACATACATCTAGTGTGACGTCGGATGCAGCTCGCATGGCGGGGTAGCGGGGCTAATGCGATTACCCTCAACTCTAAAAAAGTTAAAGTTTCCTGCATCGTGAACTATCATGCTCTTTAAATGAGATAAGCATAGATTTAGAAATTCTAATTCTTCATAAATATATACCACGTTCCTTATGCGCCAGTGAATCTTCATTCCGACAAAAAACCGCCAATCTTAATATCTCGTCAACACCTCACAATCATTCAAGCCTTAGACAACAAACAATTTCGATGATAAGCTCTACTTTAGCTAGTCGTCTGAAGAAAACACAGACATACCTCTTACCGAATGTAATCATGCATTAGGGAATGTGAAGAGGAAATCCGTCCTCTTGATCCTAGAAAACATTGCTTCAATAATCGCGCTGCGGAGTATTTACAATGCTCTGGAATCGGTTGTTCATTGCCCCCATTCGTTGGGGTTGGTTAATTAACGCCAGCCCAGATGACATCGTGCTCGAACATGGGATGTTCAAATTAATGGATGTCGGATGTTCCCAACCCTTTGGGCCCTTTGGGGTGAATACTCAGTCGCTTAGTATGGATGGATAGTATGAAGAATCATTCTTTACACTTGAGAATGGGAAGGGAAAGCATAAGTATTTCCTACAAAGACTCGAAGCATCCTCATCAATATTCCCAATTTTGTTACTTAGTAAGTCAAGACTATCTTTCATACTCCTCCATTATTATTTCGGATTTCATTACTCATTTTAGTATTTTGATTACGAGAAAAGCATATGTTTTGCTATAAGTGTACTCGTCGGTGACGTTTCCAAGGTTCTAGAGATGATAAATTCGAATTGCCTCTTTTTGTAACGTTAGAACATTGGATATGGGAAGTCCGTGTGGGATGACGAACCGAAGTTATGGCATCGTCATCGTTAATTAAACAGGGGTTTAGCTGTCTCATTCTTGTGGCGCCTTCAAGTGCCCCTGGCTTACACAACTTTTAGTGATACTTTGATTAATCTCTCACTAATTGCAGTTCTACTACCATTCATAAAATAGCCGGTGAGGACTTCAGTATTCATGATAAGGCCAAGTTAATAAACTTCGCTGGCAAGAAATGCATCCGCCGACAAATTCAGGGGATAATGGCGAGTCACAAGGTGAGATCGCCAAATTGAAGATCAACAAACCCCTGAATAGCTTCCCAACCAATATTTTCAATTTGGCCGATTCCCTCAAACATCTTGATCTCTCAGGAACAGGTTTATCGGCGTTACCTGAAGATTTCGGCTGCTTGTGGAAGCTCAAGATCGCATTCTTCTCCAATTGCAACTTTACTGTCTTCCCTAGACAGCTTGCGTCATGTCCCGAACTCGAGATGGTCGCGTTTCGGAGCAATTCGATGGTTGAAGTGCCGGAGGATACCCTGCCGCCGAAACTGCGCTGGTTGATTCTCACCAACAACCGTATACGTTCGGTGCCGAGGAGCATCGGGAGATGCTGGCGCCTCCAGAAATGCATGCTGGCGGGAAACCAACTGCAATGCCTGCCGGACGAGATGGTTGCATGTAGGAAGCTCGCCTTGCTTCGACTCTCTGCCAATCGCATACGAGAGTTGCCAGATTGGCTCTTCAACTTACCCGAGCTAGCCTTTCTCTCATTTGCCGGTAATCTATGCTGTTCATCACCCGCGACATCGAAGGATCCCCGTGACACCATCCCCTTCAGCATTCTTCCCGAGGCTAGTTGGGAAGATCTTGATATTCACAACGTCCTAGGCGAGGGCGCATCAGGGATTATCTCTAAAGGATCATGGAACGGGATCGATCAGGTTCAGGAAGTAGCCATTAAACTATTCAAGGGGGACGTTACGAGCGATGGCACCCCAGCGGACGAGATGGAAGCATGCATCAGAGCAGGATCGCACTCCAATCTCATAAATCCCCTAGCCAAGATAACCGGCCATCCTGACGGCAAGGAAGGACTCGTGATGCAACTCATCCCGCCGCGCTACCACGTCTTAGGGCTGCCGCCATCCCTACAAACTTGTACTAGGGATTGCTTCTCGCGGGAGATCCGGTTGACCACGCGGCAAGGTCTGGAAATCCTCTATGGCATCGCTAGGGCGGCGGGCCACCTGCACAAGCGAGGCGTAGCACATGGCGACCTGTACGCCCACAACATTCTCTACAGCGGCGATGAAGACGAGCAGGAGGAAGAGGGGGGCCACGCGCTCCTCGGAGATTTCGGGGCGGCATCTATTTATACCAACTCTAGCTTAAACTACATCTACGACGATAATGACGATAATGATGATGATAGCAAAAACAAGTTTGAGTGGCTCGAAGTCCTAGCTTTCGCCCACCTTCTCGAGGATGTTTGGGGTATCACCAAGCCACGATTCGACGAAGAGGAATTGCGAGTCGCGATGTTACTCGTAGCCCTGCATCGACAATGTTTGAATCCCACGGGCTCACAACGTCCTAGCTTCAACGAGATCAGCCGGCAGTTGAGCGCGATGAAACAACGGCTGACTAGTACTACTACTCAGTAGCTTGCTTTTGTCACTTGCTAGCGTCGCTAACGAACTGACTACGATGTAAGGTCGTAGTCGCAAATGCTACTCCATAAGGGAAAAAAAGAAAGAAAAGAAAAATGAACGGCGAACATGTTCGGCTGGATCCTTACGGTCCGAGGACGACGACGGGATTTGCAGATCGGGATTTACTTTATTCTTACAAGCTTATGAATCCTGGAAAGAGTCACGGGAATAGAGATCCATGTGTTTCGTTTGGGATCGGATTTTCATTGCTACAATACCAATCTACTTACATACATTATCTACCATGTGTTTTTTTGTTTTATGTGTGTACGGTATGGGGTATTTTAATGCCGGAGCCATTGGCATTATGAGCCAGGGACAGGGGAGGAAAAAGAACTGGGGATAGATTTAATGGATGATGATCCAATGAGGGCTCATAGATGCGAGTGAGAGGGTTACAGAGAAGACACAAAAAAAAATCCTATAATCGTTTATACCTAGATAACAGACTAGAATTGGTTCGCGTCATCATCATCTATCGCACAACATATCTAATATCCCGACGGGTTATTGTATGAAGTATATAATTTTGTCTTGCCATTTTTAAAAAGTTCCTTGCTTGTTATCTCTCCCTATTTTCCCTCAAGTTTGGATATCATATGTACGTATGCGAACAGAACGATTCCGCGGAGTCCGTTTTATCGTTGTGAAATCAGCGGTGACGAATTCAGATTCATACACGCATATAACAATTATGTAGCCGATATGATAACTCAGATTTCTTGCTACGTGTTTTGTCCTGTTTGTCTTGGTAGTAATCGTAATCATAATTATAACCAAAATAACCGTAACATAGTGCTAGTAGCATCGTGGCATACGTGTAGCCTGTTCGGTTCCTTCTCACATGCGCCATCTCAAGTACCGGTTGTACATGAGTTACAAGCATGTGTAAATTGAAACTCATTCGGCCGAGTGTTTGTTGTAGTAACCCAATCTCGTAATGACACTGGTCCGCGTTCTCTCCCTTTGTTAATTTTTCAGCTCCGAAATACTTTTTTTCACCTCCCGCATTCAGGCATGGCCCGATCCTCCCGCCGCGGGAAAAGCAATCTAAGAAAGCTACGGAAGCGCCCGCTCGTACATTTGATCGCGTCTTACAGTGTGACATAGCAACTGGGTTTTCCTAACTACGGAGTAAAAGCATGGTGGCATTCAATCGGAAGTTTCCAGCCCTGGTTTGAACGAAGCAGTTCTGACACGCGGCTCACAGGGTACCCAATAGGTTCATCGTAAATTAGATTTTTCTTTGCCTTTTTCTTTTTATTTCTTTTGTGTTGTTATATGTACGTCCACGTATCCGTATGTAGTGTACCTAATGCATATGCAGATGCGGGAGGCCGCTCGGGGTTGTATTGCCTGCCTCATCATTGCTGTCTGTGCTTTTTTGATTGCCTGCCTACCTAGCTCTTCTTTTTCTTTATTTTCCCCTAAAGCCGTCAAAGAAAAAAATGCAGGTAACATAACATCCTCGTTCGTCGACCTATAACATGGATGCCTGCGAGAATTAAAGATCTGATTGATGTTTGACAAGCTGACAAGCTGACATGTATCTGTAGTTCGTTTCCTTTTTCCCCTGAGTCAAAACCCCGCGCGGACCCTTCGACATAAGCTTCTCCGCTGCGACTCACGAGGGCACAGGGCCACACGGACCCTATCGTGGTGGTTCCCACAGGCTGACAGGATTCCGTTTCTGCCAGATTCGGACATATCATGCATCCTTCGCATGACAGAAATCTTACCCCGATCTGAAAAAGAAAGGGAATAAAAAGAATCCTACCGAGAAGAACTATACATACCTAGGTACCTTGTGGATTATCATTTCTTCCTTGCGAGGGTATCATGAGGGTGTATACTTAACTTATATGGAACTAAACGAGTAAGTGGTCCAGGTGGTCTCATAATATCTAAGATGAACGACCGAGCCATGTGGATAGGCAAGGTAGGTGAAGCAATTCGGCTCGTCGGCGTGGGGTCGAATTTGAAGAATTTGTGCTGCTACCTCACTGCATTGTCCTTTTGCCAAGGCCCCTGGCATGTTAATCTTGTACAATTGTACAGTTGCACGTCTTATAATGTACATATGTAGGTCGTATATCTTGTACCTATCGGAATATGTAAGTGACAACTTACTACGTCAAGGAATTAAACGATGAGGGATGTTCAAACAGGTAGGGCGGCCAATGATAACGAGTTCGTTATAGTCCGACAAGCGAGGAAATTCATAGCGTGTCATCTGCATCAACATCACCTTTTTTCCTCTTCTCTAATTCATTAATTGGAACATGGGTTTTCCTTATAAAGCGGTTAAATACCGTAATGCGTGCTGCTTCCGCGACCATAGCCTTTAGTTTGAGGAAGGTAAGTAAGTCGACTATTTTGGCGACCTGCCGGCCTAAGTATCTCGCCTCGAGATGAAAATATGCAGCCTATCATCTGGTAACAAGTTGTTACCGCAGATTCCTACCCCATGACGAGGTGTGAGTTTATCCTACCTAGGTACCTACCCTCGAGGGATCTTCAGGAGCTACACACCTGCCCGGTTATTACACCTACACACCTATACACACCTCGAGCATCTATCTCCACGGACAATCTACGCAAGGGGGTCGTCAGCCCGAGACCTTGCTCATGTATGTTACTTTCGAGCAGATTACTTCCTTTGGAGCCGATCGACGAAAGATGTTCCTGTTGAATCGAATCTGATAATATTCAAAACAGCACATGATTTAATGCCTCACTCACGATGTTGTTTCTTGGTGATTTGCTTACATGGCCAAGTAGATTGGGGTGACCTAAAAGATCTTGGCTAGAGGAAATCAAACCAATGGTGATTAGAGCGAGTATAGTTCGTATAGACTTGAGTCTCAATTTGTAGATCGCGTTGTAGATCGTAGTGACTATTTTAAGTTTATAGTGACTATACAAGAGACTATACTCGACTATAGTGGCTACAGTGAGTATAGTCAGTATAACGACGTCAGGGTTTCGGGATTGCTATGGATGTTCGAGATGAACACCCAAAGCATTCCCCTACCCGCCAGCCTGCCTAGGTACTTACGCCGTAAATGCAACAACTGCTGGCACAGACGAATAGGTTACACATCTCTGACAATTTAGACGTCTGACACAAATAAGCACCAACCTATATTTCCCCTTGAGGGTTATCTGACCAAGAGCCAAGGGTTCGAATCATGTCAAGCTCGAACCATGTGGTCAATTCCACTTGCGGAGGATATATCGCAGTCATGTCATAGCGGGGAATTAAGTTCCTGTCAAGTCTTCCTGTCAGTGTCAAACTAGGGGACGGACGGGAAGGATGATGAATCAGTTGCAATCCTGTCGCTGCAAGTACCTAAGATTAGGTAGATAGATAGGTACATAACGCCAGCCTTCGATGAAGAGGTCTAGAACAGATTGGCGTAATCACGTTGGCTATCCGGATCTGCCGCGATAGATTTAGGACTGCCGATCCGCATTGACTTTTTTCTATTTTGTCAGGATTCTTTAGATAGATTACCGGACCGAGCGTGCATTATGAATATTTCATGATTTGATTTAGAATAGTGTACGAGAGATGGTGTAAGTAGTGGGTGTCTAGTGTCAACTATTTAGAAGAAAAGAGGTTGGTGTAAATCAAGTCAAGGTATCTTAAGTATTTTTTAATATGGAATACATGTAGCCTCGGCAAAGAAAAGCCGGTTTAATGGAGACCCCTTTTTAAATGTATCCTAGGTACTTTGATATTAATGAGGCGGAAGAAGCACTAATTGTAATTGACAGTTGACGTTATAGGTGACCTTGGTCTGTGCATAGATAGCGTGGACAACATAGACAACGCTATAGCCTACTTAAATGTCTAACAAACCCACTATAACTGCTAACCGAATGTTGAATTTCTATACTAAAGCTGCAAGACTAAACTATCGCATCGTAGGTTCATCGCCGCTAACATGTTCGATTATACAAAGTTCCACTAAAAAGAGCTGATAGACCAGGACAGGGAATATCAAAGGTGTACAGCCGTAGCGTGTTGTAATGTACCTTTGTAAAGATAGTTTACAGGTACAGGGACCCCTAGTCTCACCTTCCATGCCATGTGCATATGCGCATGCTTTGATATGGATGGTAGTTACATCCTAGCTACATATGTACATAGGTACCTCAAGCAATTGTATGGAAATTCTCCAAAATTGTTGTCAATTGAGAGTTCAAGGTTTATTATTCAAAGGTAGGTACGGAAGGCGGGGGGATACAACGGGGTGAATGCCGTCCAATCGCTTTATACTATCGGTTCTTTCTCTTTCCTTTTTGCTCTTTTTTTTTTGTCCTTCTCCGACTCTTTTTTTTTTTTTTTTTTTTTTTCTTTGGTTATTATTATTTTTTAATTCTTTGTCTCACACACCCCACTACACCCCCTTCTCCACTCCACTCCACTCCCACCACTTCTTCCCCATTTCATCCCACTTCGTGTATGTTGATGCATGGTCTGCCTTGTCCTGTCTGTATTCCCTACCATTCTACCCATTCTACTACTACCTCCAAATCGAATAGGAAGAACCAGAGAAGAGAAGACTTTTCTTCTGGTATTATTGCTGCTATTATGCATCAATACGCCCAGTCTTTATTAGATGACCACACATGCATACGAAGCTACTCATCGTCATATCAATTCGGGGCCGTTTTTAGAAATCCTTGTTCTACCTCATGCTCATGCATCCATACTTCCTATTTCGATATTTCCTTTCCCCGTCCGTCCTGCTTCTGTGACCTGTGACCTACTGTTCCTCTTCATTTACTTATACTACTCGCATTTACTTACTATAAGCTTGTACATATTTCCATGTCGTTTGTTGTCAACCCACCTTGACTAACAGACTAACGGACTGACTGACTTACCTTCCTATTTACATCGCTGACTCTTCCCTCTCCCTCTCCCTCTTCTCTGGATGATATATCAATATTATATTATATTCTCACCTCGGTCCACTTCGATCATCTTAAAACATTATTTGTATTCTTTCTCGAACCCATAATTTTCTTGGTATTGGTGGATTTGATCTCCCTCGACCCTCCTACGAGACTTGTCCCAACGCGGCATTGCCAAGCTCGGCCTACAGCCCTAATGATACGGATCCCGGTATAGATAATAGAGATCGCATTTTATTTATGTCACGCCCTGAACCGGCTACCTCCCCGTCGCTCGATTATCGATTTTCGAATTTAATTTCCTCGAGCATGTCGTACTATTACTAGTCGACATTTCGTGGAGAAGGAAAAAAAAAGAAAAGAAAGAAAAATAGTTAAAAAAGGTGTTGACGACTCGCCGTTATTTCGTTTATCCATCTATATATATTTGCATTCTACGCTCTAATTCGGGTGTAACCTAATATATAAACTCTTTCAGACATCCAACTAAACGAATCTCTGGATCATAGTACCGCAACCATGTTTCCCATAGACAGGAGTCTTCTTCCGTCCTTGTCGACTCGCAGGGCGTTGATCGTGGTGGATCCCCAAAACGATTTTCTGGCCGAGGATGGCGCCCTACCTGTCAAGGCACCCGGAGATATGGCAGAACAAATAGCGGATCTGGCAACCGCGTTTCGACAGGCTGGCGGTGATATTATCTGGGTATGCAGTCGATTCGAGAAATCTCGATCTATTTTGGATGAGCAGATCTTGACCTCAGATCGAGGTCCTCCTCGTTCTCCTGATCTCTCGCGAGGCCGTCGTCGGCAAACGCCACCACAGCCAACCCAACTCGTCGAATGTCCGGAGGCTTTCTTAACTCAAGAACGTTTGGATCTACCGAAATGTGTCCGACCAGGAACCTTTGGAATAGAGATGCATCCAACTATCAAGGCGATAGTTAGCCCTAAGGATTACTCGCTCGTTAAGTCGCACTATTCAGCTTTCAAGTCGGAGCAGCTTCTTCGGTTACTACGTATGAGACTCGTGACAGAGCTTTTCATATGCGGATCTATCGCCAATATCAGTGTTATGGCCACCGCTGTCGACGCTGCAAGTCATGGATATACCCTCGCCATAGTGGAAAATTGTTGTGGTTTCCATAATATAATGCGATATCGCAATGCTATTAAGCAGATTTCAAACACGACAGGCTGCGACGTTTTAAACGCGACGGAGGTCTTGGCTTCTTTTAAGCCTATACCAAAGCCCTCGAGAAAGTCAGGCGACAGGCCAGCGACTTCTCCAGCCGGCAGGTGCTCTACCGTACGTCGTGCCGGGGGTGAGGATGATTCTGTTGTGTCCTCGACCTCAGATATCTTGTCGTCGTTTGAGAATCTGTCGCTAAGTGCTGAGCGTACAGCCGATCCTACCGACCGTGAGCCATCTGCGAAAGATCCAACAAAACCGATTCAACCCGTGGTGAAACCGATAGCGGTCGAAGATGACACCCGAAAGTCACGTGTTAAACGTTCTACTTCTTCGACGTCGGACAAAGCCGAATTAGTTAGGCGACACGAAAAGCTGGAGCAAGAGGATGAGTCACAAAGTAATCATCTCGATGATGACAATAGTAATGATGCACAAGCCACAAAGCGGGGCAGCGAAACAATAACTCCACCAACAGCTCAGACCGATGGCGTTGTCTCTCAGGACACATCAAAAACGATCAAATCTACCTCCGACGAGAAACCGAAAGAGAGTGTTTCCAACGAAGAACCATTAAAAAGTGACGAGGAACCCCCGACTAAAAAAGTCGATCCTGACCCCTCACCCGAGGAAAAATCGGACGAATCATCAGGGACTGTGAGTGAGACACCAATCGATAAATATCTTGAACGTACAAAAACGACGTTAGTAGTTTCGCAAACTGAAATTAACATTAATAGCAAAATGGATCCTGAGCATACGACAACACCGAGGAAGAGTAAACCTTTATGTGAAGGTGACACCCAAGTCATCTACGACATTCTACCGCCTCCATTGTCGGAGAATATTTTTGAGAGGGTAAGAGATGAGGTACAATGGCAGAGGATGATGCACCAAGGTGGCGAGGTACCACGATTGGTTGCTGTCCAGGGACAGATGGATGAAGATGGTACCATGCCAGTTTATCGCCATCCTTCAGACGAGTCACTTCCATTACTCCCTTTCTCTCCTACCGTGCTCGAGATCAAGCAGGAGACTGAGAAACACCTGGGCCATCCTTTAAATCATGTCCTCATACAATTCTATCGCGATGGTAACGATTACATTTCGGAACATAGCGACAAAACCTTAGATATAGCTAAGAATAGTTTTATTGCCAATGTTAGTCTAGGAGCGGAACGAACCATGACGCTCCGGACAAAGCGACAGCCGAAAAACACAACCCCGGGAGTTCCCGGATCTTCCTCCGAAGGACCGAAACGCGTAGTTGAGCGGGCTCGATTGTCGCATAACTCGTTGTTTCAGATGGGACTCAAGACCAATATGAAGTGGCTTCATGGTATCAGACAAGATAAGAGAATGGATCGTGAAAAGTCGGAAGAAGAGTTAGCTTATGACGGGGGCCGCATCTCATTGACGTTCAGGCAAATAGGAACTTTCCTGTACCATGATAGCAGTCTGATATGGGGACAAGGGGCTACATCAAAAACTAGGGGGCGGGCGAAGGAAGTGATTAATGGTCAGACTTCAGAAGCGATTGAGATGCTGCGAGGCTTCGGTAGGGAGAATCAATTGACGGAGTTCGATTGGGACGAATACTACGGCACCGGCTTCGACGTATTACACATCTCTGCTTCACCTCGATTATTCTTGTCGGCGGATCCGATAGTTAATATGAGTATTCAATTAATGCTCGCTGAATATGGAGTTAGCTATGCGAGGGGCAGCATATCGCCACTTTTCAATTGGCAAAACGGCAAACCAACAAGGGATCCTGCCGGCATACCTGATGTTTTACCTATCAAGTTCGTCGATAACGATTTAGCCAGGACGTCTGTCCAAGGCGAATTTACAATCATGATTTACATTGACCACGTCTATGGCAAGAGTGAAGAAGGGGATCGGTCACAAGCTGATCTCATCAAGGAGCGATGCCGACAGGGCCTTAATCTCTTAGAGAAGCATAGAGCCGGTCTAGACGCCGAGGCACTTCGGACCGAATTGGACATGTGGAATACATATGCCAGCGAAGGCAATGACTTCATCGCTGGTTCTGCTATGACATTAGTTGACTTTGCATTCTGGCCAGTCCTCTATGATATTGTCAGGGGATCGCCGGAGGAAGATGAATTCAGAACTAAATTTGAGAAACTGAGTGCCTACTACGAACGTATCAAAGCACGAGAGTCTAGCAAAAAGGTTTTAGCCGCCTCTGCGTCTTGCGCACCTCGCACAAATAAAACGCCGTCGATATCGGCAAACAAGGAGCATGCGGAAGAACTTAGTGATATTACCGCTGATGTTGCGGCTTCTGTCTCTACATCTACCTAATCTTCTTACTCTATATTACGAAGATATAGAAGTAAGACTCGCGATATAACGCACACTTAACGACAAAGAGCATATACACGGGAAAGGGGATGTTCATTGTAGCATAGCGTCGGGTGAACAAAAGGATGGCGATAGGCCTATTCGTTTTAGCCAAACGTCGCACACGGGGTGGTAAAAGTTCCCTGTACACATAGATATATACCTAGCGACCTAGATATAAGGTAGCTGTCGTTGCGAAACATTCGCTCTTAGACGAGACATCATGAATAAGAACTCTAGATCGTAAGATCATAAATAATACTTACAGACTTGGATACTTTATTGTTTGTATATCGTGAGAAATAGATGAACCACACGCAGAATAGGAAGAGAAATAACGTGCTCGCGTCCGAGCCTGCAATTTGGTTTCAATTTATTTTGATTTATTCTTAGCCTTGTTGGCATTTCGAAAGCATCGGATTTGCTTATCCTTGCTTCCCTCATCTCTTCAGAAGCATTGAATGCTGACTATTCTCAAGTATCACCATAGATACTAGACTGGGTATGTACCACGGTACAGCTAGACAGTCAGAGAATGCTCTTCATATCCTCGCGGTATCGCGACTTCTTACTGTTTCCAGCCAAACTAGATAACCGTTCCATTGGAATGTCTTCCTGGGTGGGATTTGTATTTTTATGGGGGCAGTAGGGGTGGACTAAGACACTTACTCGTAGTAGCCGGCGGCATAACTAGCAAGCTCAGAGTCATACATACCTCAGGTATGTGTATGCCTTCTTCCTTTCCCAGCGACGGGTAGCCGGTAGTCCTACACCTCACACGAGGACACCACGGCGCCGAATCAGTACCCTACCGCAGCACCCGAACTTCCACTCGCACCTGTCCCTCCACCTCCATCTCCAACATTCTCCTGCAATATAATCGTCGGCCTCCTTGCCACAACATCAAAAACCGTAGCTTCCGTCGTCGCCGCACCAGGATTAGTCTCGACATCACTCATACTCAACGCGCGCAGTATATGTCGATCAATCCTATCCAAATCTGGATCCGCAAAGCGTCCCTTCAAATAATCCGCAACCTGCAACGCCGGCATAGCAGCAGCACGAGCTAACCTATCAATCGCCGATCTAATCCCCGCGTTATTCTCCCTCTGCCACCTGCGGTACGAAGCGATCGTATGCATCTGATCCGGAGGTGTAACGGGATGATTATGATTCGCATCGAGAACTTCGACGAACCATAAATCACCTTCTCGTTTTAGCCGGCGCACTACGGCTTTCCATTGACACCCGCATTTTTTACTTTCCCGTCGACGCTCGCCTGTGCTTTGTGATACGAATTCGGCGCCGCCCCGGTCGCAGGAGAAGTCTTTGCGTATTACGTTGCCGCTGGGGTCGTATCGGCCTGAGGGGAGTTTCTCTTTTACGGTGCGTTTTTGGGATACGCCGTATCCGGAGGTGAAGACGTGCAGTTGCAGGGAGAAGACGGCATCGTCGGAGGTGTTGTAGGGACCTCGGTTTAGGGGGTGTGGTGTGTGGACTATGGGTGCGCGGGTCGGTTGTGAGGGTTGGGGGAGGGTTGCGGTTGTGGCTAGGTAGTCCCGCGCTGCTTGGGATTTTGGAGGGCGGCCTATTCGGCGACGTTTGCGTTGGGGTTCGGTGGTAGGAGTTGTTGCAGATGTGTCGACGGCAACATTGTTGTCGGGAGTGGCAATAGTAGGTGTGTTGTTTGTCGAAGGAGTGGATGTTAGAGGTTCGGTATTGAGGCTCGGATCGGTGTTGGCTTCGATATTTTGTTGTTGTTGTTGTTGTATAACATTGCTATTGTTGGTTTGTAGAGTTGGTTGTACGGCGGGCGATAAAGCTGATGGGTGTTGCTGCTGTGGTTGTTGCTGGTAGACCGGCGCGGGTATCGTAGTCGTAGAAGCTGTGTGGTGTAACTGATGATGAAGATGAGACTGCGATTGCGAATGCGGACGAGGATGGGGATGAGACGACGGATGGAGCTGTTTTGGTGGTGGATTAGATGGTGGAATTACGGCGAACGATAGTTGATTGTATTGTTGGATTGGGGTGAGGGAGCCATATTGTGACGAAGCCATCTTGTATTTTATTTTTTATCGTAAAAGACCGTTTATGTATGGAATATGTAAGAATGATGGAGGATTGAATTGACCGTCGGTCTAACGTTGAAAGGGAAGAAAGTGGGAATTGATAACGATTAGAGTTCTGTGTAACAGTACAAATAGGGTTAGTAGTGTGGGGGTTACAGCGGAAAGCTCCTGCGAGATTACCTACCCGACAAGGGTACTAAGATACATAGCTACGTAATCAAACAGGCTAGTCTCAATACGTAATTAACCATGCTTTTCTTATTTAAACGGTGTTGTATCCGTATATCCATGTTTGACTAACAGTTAATTCCCGTCCACTCTTGAACCTAGACGTTTTAAATTCTTTTCTTGACCATTCTTCACATACGTCCCAACTTTCGACATTGCTACCCATCCAATGGACTTTTTGTCACACTGTGTACCAACCTATCCCTGCATAGGGACCGAGTCACACTGTAAGAATGCGCCTCACAGAAGAATTGATGCTTAAATTTATCCAATTACATTGGCTTAAATCGACAAAATCGGCCTCACGCTGGAGGCCTATTCCATGGTGACTAACGAGCTTATTAAGACGGATATTCTCCTATAAATGTTGGACCAATTTCCCCTACTGTCTACCGTCCACATTCAAGAATTACCACTTGCCTGCAGGAATCAATCGTATTGCTATGTAAGACCTTACCATCATCTGTACGCAGTAATAGTCCCATGACCAATCAACTCGCGTTATTTGGTCCTTCAGTCTTAGTGCTTCGAGACGACGGCCAGGCAATTACTTCAGTCAGCAATATATTCGAGCAACAGTCACCGCAATCTGAGACCCGGAGGAATCCCTGCGCAGTGAACATTATCAATCGACCCAAATTATACTTAGGTGCGTATTATTAACTATATGAACTACAAGAAAACTAAAATGATGAGACTGAAGCCCACCATGAAAAGTTGGCACCCAAGTCTTGAAGTAAAAAAAAAAAAAAAAAGAACACGCAAAATCTAACCATCCACAAAACCATTGACCCACTGATTTTATATGCACCACACGAAAGTGTGTTGGACGTGAGCCGTCCTAATAATGACACTATCCTATGAAATATGAAAAGAAACATGTAGTAGCAGCAGTTCCGCCTCAGACTGAAAAGGATACACGAACTGAAGGTTGAATGGAACGACGAACGGAACGACCAGCGGGGCGACCGGCAGGACGACGCCCGCAGAGTTCAATATGCTTCAAATGAGCATCGTAAGTATGTTTCGCACCGCAATTACAAGCGCAATAACTACCCAGAACCAGCTTCCCACAATTTTTCATGTGGCGTTTATGGTTATCCTTGCGCAGGCTCGGGGCTCCACAGGAACAATAATACCATGGGCCGTTTGCATGTGACTTAGTCGCATTGAGATGTCGCATTAAGTCCTTCTTCTGCTTGAATGGGGCTTTACACTTATGACAGCGCTCGGGGGAGTTGCCAGATGATGGGGAGGACTGTTCGGGGCTGGATAGGTCCATCTGGTTGGGAGTTGCGAACGTAGACTGATCAGGGGTCGCGAACGTGAGTTGGTCGGCATTGAATACGTCCATTTGATCGGGAGTTGTGAACATAAACTGATCAGTGTTGGATGCGCCGACCTGATCAGGGGTCATGGACGTGGGCTGTTCACTGGTCTCGAAAATAGTAGATTGCTCAAGATCAAACGTAGCGGGCTGGCCATAGTCAGGTAGAGTAATTTGATTGTAGCTGGGCGGAGCGGATTCTTCATCTTGCGGGTAATAATTAGACGGGTTGTAACCATCTAGAGCGAGCGGGTTGTCCCCGGAGGAGATAAATTGGCCGTGTTCGGGAAAGGGTTGTTGGTTGTAAGCAGGTAAAGCAAACTCGCTACTAATGGCTTGATCTTGACTAGACCAAGTTGGTTGGATACAAGCAGATGGGCTGGAGTGGTGAATGTAGATAGAATCCGAGGAGTAATTATTATTCCCAAAAAGATTAACCTGCTCTTGATAGATACCAGCCGAATTGTCGGCCCTGCACTGGGTCGACAGCAAAACCTCATTGCTAGCCTGGGGGTGGAAGGCTAACAACTCATCGACGAAGTCGTCTGGGTAATCTAATGGGGAAGGTTGTATATAATACCCTGAGTTGACCTTAATGTTGCTCTGGCTGGGTTCATACTTGGGTTGAGCTGACTCCCTCTTAGAAAGTGGTTCATTGTGCGTCGTCATGTCGGGTTCTTTCGTCGTGTTGGGGCAACCTGCTAGTTGTGATATATGAAGGAAAGGAACATCATGAATATATAACAACGAATATGAAGTGAGGCGACATACCTATCCCGGCCCGAAACTGGTAAATTTTATATTCCTCAGGTCAACACGAACACATATCAAATGCACCAAAAAGCGGACGTCATGTTGTACAGCGAGGAGCATATTGGACGTCTGCTCCAATGAGGGTTTCCCCCCGAGGAGTATTGAATAAAGAATAAAAAACTAATCGTATGTATTTCCTCGAGGTCTACTGGACAGGGAGCGTCCAAACCCCAGGACGAGTAAAACAAGTAGAGGGAGAGATGTCTATGTACGCGTTAGCAGTGCGTTTTCGTGGTGTTTGTCATGGTATATGCTGGATTTGGGGCCTCCGATGGCATTTCGTAAGTAGCATAATATTCATACGATTATACACGGATGACTTATTTGAGTCATAGGGCCGCCAGATCTGTCGAATTGTAGCCCTCTCATCAGAAGCTACTCGCAGCGAGCGTATCGCTGGGAGTTTACTTTTTGATCCCCTGTCGCTCGAAGGAGGAAACAATAAGCCCTCTGCATATTTACATACCTAAGTATGTACATATGTAGGTATGTAATGCTATGCTCCTCTCAGTAGATGTACCGTGATACTTACGTGGGCCATTAGCGAATAATACACTTTTTCCACATGAGTTATCCGAACAAACCACTATGTCGCGTGGGAAGTGACTTATCGGGCGCCCCGTTTCGTCAACAGAAACATCCAGAGGCGCCGCCTTGGTATCTACCTAGGTAGGAGGGTATGTCATATTCTGACATGCATAATGCATAGCAGATACCTAGGTACTTAATGCCTCGTAAAATTGAGGCTCACAAATTTCGTCGGGCCGGAATGATGAGGAAGAAAAATAGAAGAAGAAAAGCTACTTACGTATCGACGGCGTCTATTTGAACCCTCTTTCTTACCATATAACCAGTACGGTCCTGAACGGTCCTAATCGGCCTCCTACCTGAAGAAGTCAAGTTGCATACGTACGACATCCTAGGGCGTAAGCCCTATGTCAATTCCCCTCTTCACTAAAGTGTGTGGCTTGGACATTAAAAGGACATTGGTTAAATGATAACTCACACATCCTTCCACACATACGCTCCAACTCTCGACTTTGCTACCCATCCAGCGCCATCAACAACTTCCTGCCTGGCATTCCTATCACGCAAGGCCTCTTCGACACTAATGCCAGCCGGGAATCCGTTTACCTCTTCACGTTGAACTGCTAACCAACCTTTCCAACCAGCCTTCACTTCCGCCCTGACGTTTATACCCCCTCCGATGACCACCGTGCCCCACCACTCCTGTGCTCGGCTGCCGTGCGATCCGTATAGCATATACTCGCCCGCAGCCTCGACAGCCGCACGTATTTGCTCCTGTCCCCGCGCGGGGCGGTATACATACACGTGGCGGAGATCCGGGGGTTGGGCTGGGTGGGAGGGGTTAGAAGTGGAAGGGGAAGAAACGAGTCGAGTTACATCGAAACGGCTTTCTGCGTCAACGATGACTATAGTGTAGTTATGCGGCTCAGCTATAAGTGTTGATACTAAGTGATATAGTAACGGTAAGTAGCGACCGCTTATGGAGAGAATTGGGGGTGGCGCTGAGTGTGTTGCTTTGTAGTATCGGGTTGCGATGTTAGCAAGAGCTGGGATGGGAATTTCTGGGCGAAGAGTAGAGGAGTTGCCGCCGGTAAGGCTGGTTTTGAGGGATTCGAGAAGCTATAGAATATTAGTATTTCTATAACTATAAAAAATAAAATAAAATTTATGAAGCTGGATGTTGTTATGAGAGAAGTATGAGAACGAGTATAGAAATGAGATGCGGCGATAAGATAAGAAGTGGACTCAATTGAGGTGACGGAGTCAATCTACACTCCTTCATCTCTCATTCATATAAAAATCAAAGTAAAAACTAAAGAGAAGATGTGAATTAATAACATACCTCTTCTAAACTACCCTCCTCAACTTCACCAAGCAATCTTGCACCAACGTGTTTCGCAGCCGCAGCATTCATTTTCGCCCACTTTCCCACCTCCCCTCATCCCATACCCGCAAGTCTCAATACAACAAGAAACAACAATGACGCCACCGTGTCACGTCTTCCCGGTATCACAACTCGAATCCGAAATCCAGGTTAACAACGGGCGAGCGCGCAAGGGTGGTCGCATCGACTTATCCGCCTGCGAGTTATTCTCGATGGTCCAATATGAATGCCAGATTGATCGTCCGGATGTCGCCGATAGTCCCGTAAGGTGTTGGCCCGTGCAGCGGTGGTTTCGCCGGTGAGTCTTCTTTTATTCTCTATTCCCTCTTCTCTTAAAAGATTTAGCAGCGAGATTTCAAAGGGAAATATGGCTGATTTCATTTGATGTTGGATTAGGTGTAAAGATAAAAAGGGAAGTTTTATGGTCGAGACTACGTTGTGGGAGAAAAGTAATGAAGCGAAGAAGGATGGCGGGGGTGATACGTAACTGTAATAAGTGACAGCAAGTAAAAAACGTATATTCTCATAAATGAAGGTTTATTAATGCAGACACAATGGGATATGTATAAATCAATTCTACTTTATAGTAATTATGAATGTCTTATAACTCGGTCTCAACCTTTCCGCATATAAACTATCAATTAGTATCAGGGTCATCCTTCAACTTAAGCATCTATTTATTGTACAAATCACTATAGGATTGGAGGATTGAATATAATCGACCCCCCTTGGCATAGAATAGTGTCAAGTCACTGAAGCATTTACACCAGTCGGTACGTAGTAGTCCATAACTCCTATTGCCAACCTATCTCAAGAGAATCCGTAGACTCCCATTCACCAGGATACAGCATAATCGATCAATGTTCGTACCACACGGGAGTATTCCCTTCTAGGGAGCCACATAACTCACCATCCCTTCCAGAGCGTCGCTATAGCGACATACCGTATCTACGAACTCATGCCATAATCAAAAGATGTATCACCCTCAATGCCAATATATGAATCCAACGTCAGTAATAATCACAATAGACAAAATAAACGTTGATGTTCGAGGGAGTCTGAATTCGGTAGGTGGATACTCGTTCGTATAATACAATCGGCCGTCCAAAAGCATCCGAAGCACAACCGTCTTCTATTCCAACCTCGAACCACACGCTAGAAAAGGTATGTGCATTGTCTCTAGTCTTTCTTTCTTCCTACTTCGCAAGCATGATTTTGCTATCCTCGCTCTAATCCTTCGTCGTTGATATCATTTCATACGGCTCGTGCGGCGGCTCGTTCCTGCTCGAGTTGCTTGTAGAAGTTGTCTCGTGCGTGGGTGCGCGGCATGTGGTATCCGTGCCTTGAAGATGTTAGTATACCGTATGTCCCTCTTATCGTCTAATTTTTCCTTCTCTTCCAACAAGTATAAATCAAGAATGTTCGTACCAGTAGAGACTGCCGAATGTGACACCAAGACCTATAATCCAAGTTAGCCCCAATCCTCCAAATATCGCTCGAGTTCGATCGTATAAGGCATCGAAGTACGAAATCGAGGAATTCGAGTAAACGGGCGACATACCGAGCGCAATGCTGAGATCAGTAACGAGGCCCCTTCGGAGCATCTACAATCATACAAAATTAGCGTAAATTCGACCGGAGGGGTATTCATTGCAATTGAGCGCAGAAATGACATACTCCAGTAATAGGTTTGATTGCCATTGCGAAGTATAATTCCGAAGAATTCGATTGAGAGGAGATTGGTAGGTAGCGGGAGAGAGTTAATGGTGGAAGAGTTAAATATGGAAATGGAATTGAAATGGAATTGAAATGGGCTGATGATGTTTCCCCATTCAATTCGCGCGAACCTTGGAAACCTTAATTGCTGCAGCTTCGGATAGAGTCACGTGAATTAAATCAATCGGTGCTTTCCACCACTGAACTTAAAGGTTTATGTAATCTGTACCGAAGTACCCTTTTTCCCGCCGGCTTATCTTCGGCAATTCGCATCTTCTCAACGTCCGACTTTTTTCCTTTTTCCTGCTGCAGAAGCTTCATCACCACTTCAATTTGTATAGATAGCTTCGATCTCAAGCTGCTATACAAACCCAATTCATAACAGTCATGAGTTTACACCTTCCGGTAAGGCGGGTAGCTGCTACTGGTATTCCCCCCTATTCCAATTGACCTTTAATATATTCATTAACTGACCATAAATCATATCAGCCCATGCAACCGCCAACAAACCCTCTCTCCACCTCCAATACCTCCAACCGCGAACCCAACGACGAAATGCCGGTAGCTGGTTCAACTGGGGCCGCACACCCTCCGAAAAGGATCCCCTAACCCAAGAACTAACCCGTCGGGAGCGAGAAACAATGGTAGCAAAGCGAAACATGGACCGCACCCAAGGCGGTTCCATATTCGAAGACGAAATCGAAGCACAGGAGCGAAAGCAAAAAGAAGAAAGTACCAAAGGACCCGGCATTAGTAGACAACAAGCCATATCCAAGATGAAGGAACACGTCGAGCTAGCGCAGAATCCGGATCCAAGATGGCGGAACAGGTACCTGCGGAAGAAGGTTATGCAAATGGTACGCGATGAATCCGAGGGCAAGCCTTTGTCGAAGGAACAGCGTATACGACTTACCGAGAAGCAACATACGAGCAAGAGCGCCATGCTGCCTACTAGCACTAAAAAACTAGTCCATTTAACGCATCAGATCGTGGGTAAATCCGTCGACGACGCTATCACGCAGATGCGTTTCAGCAAGAAGAAGATGGCGCGCGAGGTTCTTTGGCAATTGCAATTAGCGCGGGATACTGCGATCGCGGCACATGGTATGGGACTTGGATCCGTGAACAAGGATGGCGATGCGGAGAAGAAGGAGTCGAAGAAGCAAGTACGCAAGATCAAGACTAAAGACGGCAAATCGATTGAAGTGAGCGACCCTACGTCGCTGTACGTCGATGAGTCGTGGGTTGGTAGGGGTCCGCATATGGGTATGAGGATACAATACCACGCGCGAAGCCGTATGTCGCGGATGATGCGACCGAGTGCTTGTAAGTGACACCTACATTCCTATATATGCGCCACATTGGATTTCCTATTTGGTCAAAACAGGATTGCTAACGTCTACCTTTTTACCTTAGACCTATCGGTGGTCCTAAAAGAAGAGAAGACTCGGGTACGCCAACACGACGAGAGGATCGAGAAGGAGGCTAAGAAGGCCCCTTGGGTACATTTACCAAACAGACCTATAACGGCGCAAAGACCGTATTACACATGGTAATGTGTGGACATCCCACCCTGAATATAGAAAGAAGAGAGCTCGCAAAATAGCTAGGAAGTGAGCGTGATGTACACCCTACAAGAGATGATGTATCGATTCGATACGTGTACCATATAACAAGTGAAGAAAAAATCAACTCGACCGAGACATCATGAATAGTCTCGATGTGATATAAACAATATTTACGACGTCACGAAAGATCACGGGTTATCTACGATCAAAGTAGTGAGTTTCGGAATCATGATTTAGATTATTATCCATGAACTACCTAGAGTATGAAGATAGCTAATACCTAGGCAGTGTGAATCGATACGCAAAGATTCGCAATACGAGACACAAATCTTAAGAAGTAGCAAGTTGTATCGTGTTGGTAAATAGCAAAGTTCATCTCCTCATTTCGTTCCTAACTACGTAATTTGGTTTTCTGTTTATTTTCGTCCCCCACCTGCAAATACCAGCTCTCATGCAGAAATCAAAACATCGATTAAAAAAGGGGTACCTCTTTCGTATCATAGACCTCAAAATTCCGATTACAAGGTCTATACGAATGAAACTGATAAGGCAAGTGTTCCACGATAAATCCTTAAAGGGAATTAATAACTCGAATTTCAGCCATTTGATAGAAAACGAATTCGCATCGTGAGCAAAACTTCTTAACCGAAAATAGCGCGAGGTGGGGTTGAATTAAGAGGCGATACGCATCGAGGTCCGATTAGATCATAGTTCGAGGTTGTGTATGAATCGACATCTCTTCATACGGGCGGGCGTGCGCATCGAGTTCGGAGGAGTAGGATGCAAGCGAATATCGCGGTGACGTAGGCGTGACAGCACGTTTGTTAGCCGTGATGGTCGTGACAGCGGTAGGTGTAGGCGGCGAAGGCGAGAAATGTCTCGACAGGCTTGCTTCGGCTTGGCGCATATCACTAGCATATTGTCGTCCAGAACCAGGCAGAGGCTGTGAAATCTGCATCGTACCGGCACGTGCAGCAGCAGCGTTCTTCGCGTCTCTTTTTCGGCGGCGCATACACAGACAGGCAGCGAGGGCAAGTAGGACTACCGCAACACCAGCACCAGCACCAATTCCGGCTCTCACTGCGACAGACATTCCATTCTCGGGAGTAGACGAGTCATCATCTGACTTCTCCGCAGATGCTGTAGCGGCGCTAGCGGCATCCGAACTCTGGCTAGAAGTGGCTTTTGATGTAGGTGACTAAAAACAAATTAGCTTTTTATTGTAAAGGAGAGCTAGCACAATTAACTTACGGCTTCGGCCGAAGAAGCAGACGAAGATTCGGGGACCGCGGCGGCCGTAGCTGAACTAGAAGCATTAGGATCCGCGGTGGCAGCGCTAAAGCCTTGCTCAGACGAAGTCGCTTCAGAAAATACGGCATCAGAGGAAGGGGGCTCGGGAGAGGCGGTGGAACTCGGGCTAGAAACGGGGGCAGCAGTAGGTTCTGCAGCCGTAGTCGAAGGTGCCGAAGGAGCTGAATCGATTGAAGCCGCTGCCTGTTGAGTAGGTTGTGTAGCCGGAGCGGGTTGAGTCTCGGCAGGTACAGTAGCAGCCGCCGTCGCAGATGGGAGGCCAGCCGACGAGGATGCAACTGTTATTAGTCAGCCAGGAGCTCTCGAGGTATGGTTCTTTGAATCTGGGAATTCTTGCGGCTACTTACTCTTACACTGATCTGTGCCATAACTTTGCGCAATAGGAAGTTGAGCTGCGACGTCCGCACTAGCGCAGGCTTGGTTGACACAATCGCGAATACCATCGGTGAAATCCGCACCCTTTCCACAGACACAGAGGCGATCATTCATAGCACATCCCATAGAGAAGGCATTCGCAAAGACACCATTGACGCAACCAGACTTAAAAAAAAGTTAGCGATAATATTCATGAGACAAGAGAGAAAATAATTCAGCTGGCGTATCGACAAATTCATTGGAATAATTGTCATCCATAAAAAGATATGACACTTACTGCACAAGGTTGGATACCAGCGTCTTGAGCAATACCTTGGCCCAAAAGGGCAGCAAGGAAAGCGATGGTAGTAAATATCTTCATTGCGAAATTCGGAATATCGACAATGAATTAGAGGGGTGATATTGAAGAGGGTCGTAAAGTATGTAACACCGAATCGACGGCGGAGTTATGTATCGGCGGAAAAAAAAAGATGAGAACAGAAACTGAATTATCAGAGGGTATCAAATTGAAAATGACCAAACTTGCTGGTCAAACTTGAAAAACTAACGGACGACGAAAAGAACGAAATGTTGCCTAGGACAGGAAAAGAAGTGTTACAGTCCCACGATGCAGCCCATGGCCGTTCTTTCAATCGGTAAATGGGTTCGTGTTAGTTAGTGAGTTGAAAAAAATAACGAGCTGAAGGTGAATCGCCGCGTGCGAATGAGGTCCCGGTATGAGGTACCAGGTTCGGAATTTACTTAGGTCGACGAGTTGTGTAAGGTGGTTCAAACGTCGCGCGGAAGTCCGTGTAAATTTTGTTAACAGTCGAGGTTACCTAACGCAAAATGTTTGTGGACCTTGGGAAATCAAAGATATTCTTTTGTTGTCGTGTTCGCGCAGTGCGTGTATGACTTGATATTGAGGTCGAGGTGAGGGATCGTGTATTGATTCAAGGTTCCTCTTTGGCAGCACGCAGCCGTTGAAAGAAGGGTTACCAGAACTTAAGTGAACTAAGAGAGTGAACAAGGTGAATCGAACCCAGATCCCTACAGGGAGTGGAGAGAATGAAGGAAGGATTTTTTATTTGCAAAATGAATGAATGAATGTAAGTCCGGTCGTTGACCGAGGGAAGAAGGTTGAAGATTAGAAGTAGAAAAGAGAGTGTGAGTGAAAGAATTAGGGTGGACAAATCAACGTCTCCGACGAGTGGGAAAGAATTACCTATCAAGTCAGGTGTGTAACTCGACGACGATCAGAAAGAGCGAAGTGGAAGGGACTGAAGGAAAGAATGCAGGGTTCTGTGCTACAATACTACAGTACTACATGGCGGAAGGTACGAAGTTGAACGGTGTTTCGATGTATCGGGAAGGTTGCTTAGTACCACAACTAATTATGATTGGTCAATGCCCCCCGTTCCAGCAATCAGGGGTGGCCCTACTAGGCTGTGCCTTTCACTTCAAACAGTACATGTTTGTTATGTACCAGCGTAATTAATTATTCTATCGTTCCTACCTGAAATTCTACCATTTCTACGTTGTCATCCATAAGGTAGGAACTACAAATACAAGTATATGGTGGTTGCTGAATGGGTAAATAGCGGTGGAAAATCAAAGTATACAACCCTACTTCTTGCCCTACACCCTACATCCAACACCTACAATTATTCCTATTCCTACTGAAATGCTATCGTACAATGCAACTTGTTACGGGTTAGGGCAGGTACCGACATATATTAGTATATTCCTTGCCTACCAGATTGGGTCAAAAGTATTTGATAATTGGCCGAATCATCTCAATGAAGGAGTAAATGCTAATTAATGTTGCTTGTCATATGGTGCAAAGTTGCAGCCTTGGTTTAATCTATCTGAATTTATCAGACGAACCGTGCTTCCTTCTTTTTCATATACACCGCGCAAAGCCCAGCTTTTAGGTACTAACCTGTAGCATTCGGCTATTATTCACGTCGATCTTGTAAGGTACGCTATTGAAAAGATCCGAGGTTGCCATGATCTAATTCATGAAGTCGACGTTGTGCTCAATTGATGGATGTATATAGGTAAGTACCTTGCAGCAGGTTTGCTGTGGTAGAGTACATCCATGATAGTGAGAATATGAGCAAGAATACTTTCAAGGTTGCGATCAAATTGTCTGGTTGCACAAACAAATCCCTAGGAAGGGGCTCATTCGTTAGAAAAAGAAGAGAGTTTCCATGGGACATGCGATGCTGCATCATTTAGAAGGTCAAAAATGGAAAAGCTAACGTTACAGGTCTCGTTTAAGGTAAGACTTAAGGGACCGACAGAAGCTAAACCCCGGACCATGTCGTCAATGCAATCGTCATTTTCTACAGGGGATACGTGGAGTATATTGGTACGTGCTGAGCCCCTCCAGTTTCACCTTCGAGTCTCCAATTGCCCCTCTAAATTGGATATGTTGCAATGTACTCGATACAATATTCGGTACGTACCGATTATGCTTACCCGTAGATTGGACGGGAAAGAAGGGGATCGGTGGGATCTTCGCAGGGGCAAGAAACGTTGCCCGCGCTAGAATTTAGAATTTAGACGCTGTATTTTCTTTCCCGTTCCCCTCTAGTCTCCTCTAGTCCCCATCTATTTCTCCTTGTCTCCTCTAAAAAAGAAGTTCACGTAACCACATCGCCTACCACATTGTCGCAAGTTGTCGAATATCCCATAACCCTTTCTAATGTGGATACCATCGGCTGTTCATCAATCATGCCTTACCCATGCCATTGTTAATCATTCTTCCAAATACAGTTGTTTCCAAGCAACGGGAATGATTCGGCATAAATTATCATTGACCTAGATCCACAACCATGTATTCAATTAAGATGTGCCTGTGTCGCGAGGGCATTCGGATACCCTTGTGGGCGCTTCTGTTGGCGTCGTCACTGGGTTGACAACGTGACAGATCCCCGTTTGGCTCTTTAGCTCCGAAGATTCGTCATCAGCCGCCGTAATCCATTGGATGCGCGGTGTTGCGATCACTCGTTCATGCGAGGTTAATCCTCTGTAGTTGGTTCAGGTTTAACCAATCCCATGCTAAAGATCCCTTCTTGGCAAAGAAATCATCTCAAAATACCTGAGACCTTCTCTTCTCACAGCGGTTCATTAACCCTAGGTACTAATATCACTCAGCGTCTTGCAAAACTATTATGTTTGATTGGTAGCCCCACGGATGGTACAGTGTATTACCTATTTGTCGTAATAGTCACGATTCCTCTTCGGATTGGTTAGATTGGACTATTACACAACTCGCGAGAGACTTGAATCCAATTCTATACCAGTACGAGGCAGTTCTTTAAATTGAAGGGGCCAACCTATTAGGTACATCGTCAGTCTATCCTATCCCAGATTATCATTGTTTCCACTCGTCGGGAAATTACACAATGCGCTCGGAATAGCACCGATACGAAGCCCTGGTCAAATTAATTCTAGAAAGGTATATCCCCGGTCTCTCATAGTACTTGGTGGATCTACTCAATTACCATTTCAGGTATATTTCCTTGCTGCTTGTTTCGAATCTACAACAGACCCTAGGGACCCTAGGAGCGGCAAGAAACCTATCTTTAAAGATATGTCATAATTGTTTCTGACCGTCTTTTCGGTCGCGATGAGCCTTTGGGAATTTCCCGAAGCGACGATATCGTCTGTGCGGTCGAATGTATTCCTTTAGGGATCCTTGACTTCGGTAACCCGCAATCCGCATGTTCCGTCTGCATCTCGTTGATACATAGATCTCCCCATAGTCGGTTCAAGCCGTTCCGCAGAGTGGGGGTATACACTCGCTTCATACAACATTCAATCTCTTCTACATAATGAGAGCTTTTCATCGCGATTCTCTCACCTGAATGTGAAATTACTTACATTCATGTTACCATCAACGGCAACAAATAAGATTACAGATGGAATAGCCAAAAAAAAATTTGACGAATCTTTCACGAGTCATACCACTCGTATTCGTACGAGGTCATCGGGTAAAATTTAGGCCAGTGCGATTCCTTAGCTTGGTGTCACCGAGGGATTTTCGTTCATGTCTCTAGCAAACTTGAGCTCATCGACTGATTTGAAATCAGCTAGCGGAGGTCTCGAGCACCATAAAGCGCGTTTAAGAGCGAATAAAAAGAAAGATGGACCATCAAAGCGCAAACATCAACAAAAATTCAGCATCTCCGTTATTAGCAATATCCGGCAAATTCTATCTCCTACTTCCTATTCCTTTTCCCTATCTACTTGGGTGCCTAGGTAGGTATCTAGGGGGAGATGAAAGATAAAGTACGGAGGTAAGGGGTGGGATTGCTCTACTTCCAAAATGAATATGGCCCCACGAAGCTATCGTCTACTTCGAAAGCCTCAGTTCTACTTCTGTCACCGACAACGTGCGGGGCTGCTCTGGGTTAATTGTAGATCCGAACTCCATTTAGGAGGTGTAATAAGTCCGCAACCTTCAGGCCCGAAACACTTGGACACACGTGAAGCTGCTGCTCACATGTTCAACATTTCCATGAGCATAATAAGATGGCCCTATAAGGACCAACCAGACGAGTTTAGGAAGGTGTTAGCTGCCAGTCTTCTAGCATTCGAGACTCAACGTCGGGTGTGGCTAGCAGTTTGAGGGAAGCGGTCGAGACTTTCTACGTCTGGACAAATATCCTTGGTTGTAACCGTCGAATTATCTAACGGCGACGTTCTCTCTGATATTACTATGTTGGCGATTCGACCAATTGGCTGGGGGGTCAAGACATCGATATACGTCCCCAAGGCTGGCCGGTGGCATAACCTAATGTTGTCATGCGTCTTATGTCTGGTCATCTTACTAATCCCCGAGGAAGTTGCTCGGAGACAGTATCTACACTAGGTAGGTCTCATTCGTCGAGTTCCAGGGGCTGGGCTAGGCAAAGGTAGCCTCGCGTGGCTTAGCTGCTTTACAATCATGACCAACCGCAGAACTAGATAACGTGCTTCTAATACAGCATATTGGTGTTGCGTGTTGCCTTGCTTCATTTCCCCTTATTTTTCTCCGAAGGCTATGGGTGACTCAATGCCGTCGTCTATGTAGTGTTCAGCTGCGAAGCTCAAGTCGGGCTAAACGTCACTTAAATTCATATAAAACAAGGGACGTGAAAGTCATCAATAAAGTTTCGTGAGTGAGGCTAGAAATAATGCGTGAATTGAAGCTAGACTTGTCTGGATTATCGACCACCGACAGCCGTTTCCAGCTACATTCATCACGCCCGGTTGTCATCTAGGGGCACTCCTCCATTGCTATTCTTGATGCTAGGTACTCATGAAAGACTACAGTGGCTGTTGTGGCTGCCCACGCGAGGATCGTCGTACATACTAACATCAAATCAACCG